CATCCTGCTGTAACCTTCTTTTACTTTCTTCATAAAGAGTGGTTATATCCTCCTTAACTGAAAGAGTTCTTCTAGTTGTACATTTCAGTTTCCCCTATTACTACTCTTATTTTTGTTCCATACATATATATAGGCATCTTACCACTTTTCTCTCCCCATTCTCATTTTTTTGGCGCATATATATTTGGTGCCTTTTTGTACCCATATTTATGTGTTTAATTAAATAAACATTGTGAAGCTAACAATTTTTGTGCTAAATTCAGACCCCGACACAGAAACTTAATGTCGGCATAGATTTATTGATATTCAATGTTAAACAGTCAGTCAGTCACAACGTAGAACTTCGTACGTACGTACATCAGTTAGAGTTGCCATACCACACTAGCACAGAGATGCAGTTGTCGATTCAAATCCCGTAGTGGTAGAAGTAGTAGGAGTATAATCAGAAATTCAAAAGATTAGCGTTTGAAGAAATTATTGAAGGAGTATAGTACAGTGAAATAAATTGGGAAAGAGAAAAAGATAAAGACATGAAGAGTTCAGAAGATTAGAATTTGGGAGAACACAAAGAGTGGATGCACCTTCGCCATTGCAAACGATTTTGAGCCATGTCATTCAAGATCTCTAACCATCGGTTGCTGTCATCTCGCGAATCCCAACCAGGTAGTTTACACCTACCAACACGGCCCAGTCCACTTGTCAGTGACTTCATTGATTTGTGCCACGTTTTGGTCTGACCACCCCTAGCTTTCTTCCGACCTACTCCTACACCATGAAACATTGCACGTCGGGGCAGTCGGTGGTTGGGCATATGTAACACATGTCCCAGCCATCTCAACTGATGAAGTTTCACCACTTCATCAATCGATTTGCCATCCTTACCTAGTACCCGTTTCTTAACAACTGCATTACTTACCCGGTGGTCCCAGGATATACGAGCAGTGCTTCGAAGACACCTATGATCGAAAACTAATAGCCTACGAATATCCTCTAATCTTATTGGCCATGTTTCACTGCCATAAAGTAGGACGGAGCGAACTGCTGCACAGTACACCCGTCCTTTGGTTGCTAGACGGATATATCTCCTACGCCATAAATGACGCAAGTCGGCGAAAGCTAGACGAGCCTTCTGTATCCGCGCTGAGATTTCGTCACACACCAGACCACAAGGGCTGATGAAACTCCCAAGATAAGTGAAGCGGTCAAAACGCTCAACTATTTCACTCCCTATCATTAGTTCAGGTGTCGCTGCAACCCAATCCTGAAGTAACATTTTACACTTCGAGGGAGAGAATCGCATCCCGAACATGCCTGCATAGTTGCTTAAAGTGGTCAGAAGACTCTGCATGTTGTCAGCGTCTTCACCGAGTAAAACTATGTCATCGGCGTATTCTAAGTCAACAAGTGAGCCTCTTGGTAAAAGTTCAACTCCTGGAGGTTTAGCTGATGAAAGTGCTATTTCTAAAAGTATGTCAATGACAAAGTTAAACAAGAATGGGTAGAGTGGACAGCTTTGACGAACGCCACTTGAGGTAATCAATTCTGATGACAGTTCGCCATAGGCTCTAACTCGACCAGTTGTGTTCGAGTAGAGAGCCTTTATGACGTTAATGTACTTCTTTGGTACTCCTTTCAGTGACAAACATTGCCATAGAACCTCACGATCAACGGAGTCAAATGCCGCCTTAAGGTCAAGAAATACTACTATTGTGGGACTACTGAATTTGTGTCTATGTTCTAGGACCTGATGTAGGGTGAATATCTGGTCTATGCAACCACGTCCAGGTCGAAAACCAGCCTGGTTTTCTCTAGTCTGCTCTTCACGAGCTTTGGTTAGGCGAACTAGTATTATTGAAGCTAATATTTTAGACACTATATTAGTCAAACTGATCCCTCTGTGATTGCCACAGGAGGACTTTTGTCCTTTCTTATAGACTGACACAATCAGTGATTGGGACCAGTCAGATGGAATTACGTCCAGTTCCCAGATTCTACCTAAGACCTCAGTCAATCTCACTGCTAGTACTGGACCACCATCCTTAAAAATCTCAGGGGTCAACCTGTCAGGGCCTGCTGCTCTCCCTCGCTTCAGATTTCCTATAGCTTTTTCAACCTCACAGAGGGTTGGAGGACTTACATCAATTTGCCATTCAGGACGACTGGTGATCGTGGGTAATTGAAGTGTGGCTGAAGGCCAGTTGAACTGATCCCTAAAGTGTTCTGCCCATCGATCCAATCTCCTGGATTGAGAATGAATGATATGCTCATCTTTGTCTGAGATAGTTTCGCTAATAGTTGGGTTCCTAATGCCGGTTTCTTTAATAAGTCTGAACAGTTGTCTGCTGTTACCTATTGCCGATGCCTTTTCCATCTTTCTTGCTTTCCCTACCCACCACTGTTCACGATCATTGCGTAGGCTTCTTAGTAGCCTTCGCTTAAGCTGACTCCGCTCTTCGTTATGTTCAGAGCCAGGAGAGATGAGTTTTCGAGCATCTATCAGTGCGGTAGATGCTGCCGAGATCCATTGTTTCTCCCTAACGTTATGGTTTACCTTACTAGCGGATATCACTGCTGTTTCCTCAGCTTTTCGGATGTTATTCCACGCTGCCTCGGGGTGGACACAACTTACATGGCTGCCTAACTGTTTTTCTAGTTATACAAGAACTCCCGTCTAAATTAGAGCGAATAGTTTCACAGTATTTGATTCCTTGAAAAAGCTTGGACCAGATTGCCAGGCGAAACGTTGGATTTACCACAAATTCATTCGCTGAGATTTTACAAATATATTGTTCCTATTTAACGTTTTTCTAGTTGTTCCTGAAATATATTCTTAGCTTGCCTATCATTAAGTAGAACACTTAGAGGATTCCCTGCAGTGTCTTTCCTACGACCAGTAAGTCGCAGACAGATACGTGCTCGCACTAGAGCATGATCTGAATCTAAACATGTGCCCCAGAATGAGCGACAGTCTTCTATCGAGCCCCTCCATCGGTGGCTGATAGCGATGTGATCTAATTGGGTCCAACGTTGAGACGAATTCGGGGGTCGCCATGTCAAAAGATGTTTTTCCTTATGCTTAAAGTTAGCATTTGCAAGAAATAGGCGGTCATCTGAGCATAGCTGCAACAGACGGTCGCCATTATCTGTTCTTTTCGCCATGACACCATAAGATCCACCCAGGTGTCTTTCCCTTTCACTTAGTTTACCTACTTGAGCATTAAAGTCACCTGCTACTATTACTACATCAGAACGCCTAGCTTCTCGGAGAAGGTCAGAAAGTTTCCTGTAGAACTCATCTTTTATATCGTCTGAGCTGCGGTCAGTGGGAGAGTAGGCAGAGACGACGAGTTTCCCTATCTTTCCGGGTCCTTACTGATCCGTTTAGTCGGACAGCGCATAGACGACTGTCTACTGGGATCCAGTCTAAAAGAGCTAGTTCTGCCCAAGGACTTAATGCTATACCTACTCCGGCGAGGCCACGGGAAGTAGCATCAGGGCTTCCAGATACACGAAGCGTGTATCGAGATGAAATTTTATTTTGATTAGGTGCGGTCAAATGAATGACACTACTCGGATCTTGCATGCGCGTTTCGGAGACGTAGCACACATCGATGGTGTAAGATTCTAGAGTCCTAACTAAGGAAGCCTGTTGTCCTATTTGGCACAATGTTCGGACATTAAAAGTTCCTACATGTAGTTTAGAACGTGGTTTCAGGAGACCAGGAATAACGTTCTGTGTACTCGAATCGTTTGCCCTAGCGGTGCGAGGTGATAAAAGGACGTGGGAAGGGTTAATCGTGGAGATAACAGAGTTATTAGGTGTAGGAAGGATTTGAAAGCGACCAACTTGGTCTCGTGTGCAGTTAAGGGTATGAGGGCTAGTATCACTTCCGGGCTGCCCACACCGTGGAAGGGTATTTCTTGAGGGACCTGAAAAAGAAGTTGGATTAGTGTTGGTCTTCACGACCTGGGAGCGTGACCGCAGTGCCCAAGGGACAACTGCTTGAGGCCGGTCACGCACGACCTTTTTGTGGGGGATTTTTGACGTGTTAGCTCCGTTCTTCAAAAGTCCTTACCGCCGGAGACGGAAATCCGTGGGATAAGGTGAGGTGTGCATTTTTAGGGTCGACCTTTTCTAACCTCACCTCTCCTTGTGGGAAGGCAGCATCGCTGTCATGCTGGTTGTCTGAAGGAAACACCTTACTGCTTTCACACTTCTGTACAGTCAACAGTACGACTTCGCCTTCGGACCTTGGGACTGCTGCTTTTAGTCTCACCGCTCTTCAACCGACCTGTCTGGCATGGTAGGACATTGAGGAACGATTGTTCCAGCCAGCATAGCCCGATTGGATCATCACGATAGGCAAGCCTGACCACCACGTCAAGGTAGCAGCAACGGTCGGGAAACAACAACTCTGTACACAACTAATCTCAATTTATGTTTAACACCAAAAATTAGTTCTTTTCTCAAAGTATATCAAATAATAAAAAATGAATCAGTTCAGCAAAAATTTAAGTAAAAAATGTATACTGAATAACTGCCATTAAAGCATTCGTAAATTGAGCAAGTTAAAAGGTTGGTCTTTTAAATAGATTATGTTCGAGAAGAAACAATACAAACATTATATCAAACTACAACAGTCAGAATAGCCTCTTGAGAAAGTCAGTAAAAATAGCTAAATAAAAAATATGTAAATAGACATATAGTTGTGTACAAACGAGCGAAAAAAGACTGTATGCAGTTAATTAAACCAGGTAGAAAGAGAAAAATACTCAGCAGTAGTAATACAATAAGAAGGGGAACAGAACAAAATTCATAGAACTAGCTGCGTAAATAATCTTGAAATGCACTGATATTAAAAGTAGGTATAAATCTGCTCAATAAAAAGTATTTCAGTAGAAATAACTAACAAGTGTAACTATAAGTAGTAATATATAAGGGTATGTATATACGCACATATCATCAACAAAACATAAGAATGTTGTAGAAATAAAATAATTCACACTAGATCATCTGCAGTATACAAACTTGGAGCACACACAAGATCTCGTAATATTAAACTTCTTGCCTCCTTCATTCGTAAACTTAAATTTCTATCACCAAGATGATGACAAGCATTGCATATATGATGTAATAGTTCATCGAGTTGTAATAAGCCACGAACTAAGTGACCTTCAGGAACACTAGTCATACTAACCAATGATGGGAATGAATAACCTTGAGCCCAAGCGAACACAGCATTTACAACTTGTAGAGTTATCCTTGTGTCCATAGATGGATCTGTAAGACCATATTTAGTTTGCAATTGCTCTAACTGGAAAAGGAGAATGACAAAATAAAACATTTTATGGTTTTTAGATGTTCTGTTCTCCAAGTTTCAGCTTCGTACAACTTGGACAACTACTATAACAATCATCAAAGAAGTACAAGTATTTATCGACAGTTGTCTACATAAGATACTCAACATCCGTTGGCCGGAGACGATTAGCAACAAACGTAGCAACCAACTTTCAGTGGAAGAGGAAATCAGGAAAACACGCTGGAGGTGGGTAGGACATGCATTCGAGAAATCATTAAACTGCATTACAAGGCATGCCTAAACTTGGAATCCTGAAGAGGGAGATCAAAGAACACAGTCCGTCGGGAGTTGGAGGAACATATCAAAAGAATGAATACCAATTGAAAACAGCTAGAAAGGAGAGTCCGGGATGGAGTTGTTTGGAGAATCCTGGTGGATGGCCTATGCTCCCATGAAGGGTAACATATGTAATTAGTAAGTATCTACGTGGAACAACTGCAGACAGCTTTAAACTTTCCATGTTTAGAATTTCGGGCAGGTAACATTTATATATCTTTCTAAAATATACTTATGTTTTGGAAGTATTAAAAGACTAATATTTGAATGAAGAATATTCTTTTCGATAAATTCTTTTCAGGTTCTACAATTATATATCCAAATTAATAATCCGAAAAAATGGCCAGGTTAAACGCAAAGTACATCGTTTAATGCATGTAAATTTGGGAATGTAAAATCAAATAGAATAAAATTGTTAATCTTGATAATAACATTAGGATCACATCGATTTTTTTTTGTCCCCCTTAATCAAAAAATTTTCATCCCATTTTCCAATTTTTTTCAATCCGTTTCGTCCAATGAAATTCCTAGTTGTAAATGCGTTATAATTGGTTATGTAATTCTTGAAATTCGTATAAAAGCTCTGTACTTATCGATATAGAGAATTTTCTTCACAATATGGACGTCAGTAACATGCAAATTAGAGGCTCTGTTGTTCCTCACGTAGTCACAGAAACGGAAAATGCATTTCTGAATACATTGTATCTGGTAGCGTTTCCATCACTGGAAGCGTTAAGGAGCGCCATTAAAACTTATGAAATAGCAACGTACTACCATTATGCGGTGAGATTCTCATTTCCATGGAGATCGGAAGCCGTATATTAAATTTGTATGTTGGAGAAAGAGCTATAAAACACCAAGCGGTTCTTCGCGGCCGATTAGACGAAGGAGGTAATTTGATTAGTGTTATTATATTGTTCATTGAGGACTTCAATGGACACATAATGTCCGGCCTTCATCTTTTGTAAGTTTCTTGAAGGTTATTGGACTGTTGTTCGTGGGAATGTGCACCACAATCACGAGTGCAATTCCCTGAGGTACGACTGTAACACATGGATGCTCCGATTAACGGCGGCGAAATTGGAATCAGTGAAGCCACTGCTGATATATGGAACATCAGCATTCAATGTGATACACTACGCGTACCAATCATATGGGAAACGTCTTACAGCTCAAGATCTTTTCAATATGCGTTACTAAGTGTTCTCACAGGCCAACCTTCCTGGTAAGCAATGTGCATATTTATACTATTAACTGTAGGTGATTACGGTAAGTTGAAAAATCACATCACGTCACTTGGTGGCCTTTGTGATTATCAATTGGATGCAGATCATAGTCTGTTGTACTTCTTCTTCGCTACAGCAGACCAGATCAATCTGTGTAACAGGTTTTTAGATGTTGTTGGTTTTGATGGGACATACAAAACCAATAATGAAAACATGTTTCTTTATCACGTGGTGGCTCTGGACATGAATTTCATGGCAATACCTGTTTGTATTGCATTTATAAGTCGCGAAACATCGACTTTGCTGTCCAGTTTCCTCTCGTTCTTCCGCCAAATGAGTAACAATAGAGAAGTTATCGGTATTGTTACCGATGATTCACCTGCTATAGCTGCTGCCATAACGCAGGTGTATCCCAATTCACACCACCTTTTGTGCCGCGTGCACCTTCTTCGAAATGTCATCAAGAGGGTCAGCTTTCCTTTCTTTACAATTAACCCATTCATCGTATTCGTAGAGGCTACGATCTGATCTTCTTCAAATGTTCTACCGTCTTATGCTAACAAGAAATGTGGAAAGGTAAATCGAAATATGCTTTACAATGTATTGTAGCTTCCAACGGTATGTGTCATTTATCGAAGCAGCAGACGGGAATTTCTATCAATATTTGAGAGATCAGTTATTGTCCAAAAAGCACAAGTGGTCGAACGCTTTTAGACCAGCTGCAATGCTTCTAGATCAAAGCAATACTAATTTCGTTGAGACGACCCATCGAATTTTAAAGTTGCATAAGCTGAACAGAAAAACACCCGTGTTCAGATCGATATTTAGTGTTCTGCTTCGCACTGGATATTGGATAGAAGCTAGAGTTCAAAAGTACTCCACTGAATGCCGTAGCAGGGCTGTGCTGGGTCGCGAGCCTCAACTACGTCGTCTTCAGGAAACACTTACACCTGCTGCATGTCAACTGCTTAAGCGGCACATGCGTGTTCCTGTTACTGACTACGTATTGTCGGGGGAGTTTTTCACGGCCGTTGATACTACAGGAACTTACACAGTCTCCAAAAATCCTATTAGTTGTTCCTGTTTCTTTTATGTAGAACACAGAGTCGTATGTCGTCACATCTTGGCATATTGTTCACACGATAATGTCGAAGTTCACAGAGAAAGCATTGGTGACAGCATTCCAACAGCTACGTAACCACAGTAACGATTGGCAATGAGTTACCGGTACAAGTCGGGCGGACAAACGTCCAAACATCGATTCACTACTTGTGTTGGCGTATGTCTGCTGAACAGCATACCGCTCTACTTAACTATGCTCATCAGTTGCTTAACGATGGATTACCTACTACCATCACAATGCCCGTCGTCCGAAATACCACAGGCACCAACCGTCAACAGAACGTAGATTTGGATGCTACCTTAAATGATGACAAGATTGAAGTAATATCTATGAACTCAGAAGAGTTTACGGACCGAGACAATGAAGAAGACGAACGTGCGCACAATGACCGACTTTGTGATATTTGCCATCTATGTCAGCCGCCCAGTGAACTAGCTGATGGAGGTGCTTGGATTTTTTGTCCATGCAACGCTATGTTTCATTCGTTCTGTGCCTACGACCCAACAGAAGTATCACCTGGGTTCAACTGTCCCATGTGCGGCGCTGTCACGGACTCATAGTGGAGTCATCGATCAGGACCGAAGGAGCTGTGTAGAGACCGAGTAAAGGCCCTTTTCAGGGCCACCCACAATTTGATTTAAATTTTGTTTGAATTTCTTGTTCCCATTTTAAGGAGGAGTCATGAAACCATCAATAATCCATTTTACATTCATATGATTTGGTTACTAGGTACAGTAGAGAAATGTAGTAAGATCAGTTCACTAGTACAACAAGATAATTTCTATTGCTCAGGTCAAGTGAACAGACACTGATCGGTCATCACAATTCCATAGTAATAAAGCTGTAGATGAATAATGATCATCGCTCACTTTATTACCTTGCCAACAGCTTTTAAGGTTTTTCAAATTTAAGGTTTCAGTGAACGATTGCGTACAGAAAACAACGTCATATAATGAACATTAATCTGTCGAACAAAAGTATGTGCAAAGGTGTGTACGATCATTCCAATCTCTTTTCACTTAGCCAAGGTAGATGATTGTACTGAGATCAGTTCACTAGTACAACAAGATAATTTGTATTGGGAAGGTCAAGTGAACATACACTGATCATTCATCACAATTCCATAGTAATGACGATGTAAAATCACTTTTTCTAGATTAATAATATCGATCACTTTATAATTTTGTCAACAGCTTTTAAGGTTTTTCAAATTTAAGGTTTCAGTAAACGATTCCGTACAGAAAACGACGTCATATAATGAAGAGTTACATGTCTAACAAGTCATTAATAATAATAATAATGGAACATACGAAATGTAATAATAATGTTTCTTATGAGATTTATCACTGCATTGCAAAAATTCGATACAGTGATAAATGTCATTTAGACATTTGATAAATAAATGTACAGTTTAACTTAACAGATTGAAATACGATATTCTAAATACATAATGGTTACTTGATACAATTGACCTTATTCCACGTTAAGTCATATAATTGACATAGAAATTTATTTCGCTAGACATAGGCTTGTTCATTGACACTTCATTCAACCTATATTACACATATGCTTGTCAAAAAAGGTTACTTTTTTCAACATTCAGCGATTTACTGTTTGACAGTTTAAGAGGAGTAATTATTATCTCTTTGTGACGGAAAATCTACATACAGTTTTTCATTGTTCGTCTAGTATGTTTAACAAAGGAAACTGTTGGATTTGGAAATATAATTTCAGTCTTTCTAATTAATTAACATTTACAATGTTATTTACTAATGAAAATAAAAAATTCAGATCATTAATTTGAAAGGCTGTGCACTTAAAAAAACATTGGCTGTTAACATTAGCTGCCAAAAAATTTATGTCCACCTCACAAATACAATTACCGCATTACATGATGACTGATTACAACACTAACATGTATTTTAGGTGATCATTAATAAGTGATCAACTAAAAAGAATGTACAGGTCAAAATATTTTATGCTTTTAATGGATTTACAAAAAAACCTTGATAGCAGTATTGCGTTCATTTTCGACACCCTTTCCAAAGCTAAAATGATCCACTTTTTGGTATTAAGAATAACGGTTTGCAAAATAACTAAATTATAAAAATTATTTGCTTTTTTCTCAGACATCATTACTAATTTCAGACAGCGTAAAAGTTGCTTCATTTACACATCTTTTACGGTTAGCGTGACTTCGGCATGCCCCATTCACTTTCTCTTCATCATGATTTATTCATGAATATAACGTTTATTAAATTAGCGAACTATGTGTTAAATTAACTTATGGAAATACTTAAATGAAAATGTGTTCACTAATTGTGTATTAAACATTTGACTACCTTTGAAATTCATAATCACCATTATCAACTATTAATAACAGCTGTCAATTTTTTCAAAAATTAACTTTCAATGATCTACACATTTTTATTACTCTTGTCACGATAACTGATAACTTTAGTTGCATTTCTACTTCATGAAAAGAAATTACATTCACTAACAGGAGTATAGCAGGGTAATGAAATGGATTTGTTTTTGTTTTTTTCGACGTTAAAATTTTTTACAAAACTCAGATGGAACAATGCGAAAATAGTTCATTATTGTAAATAATAATCCGATGTAAAAATGTCAATTCTTACATCCAATAAAAGCACTTTATTGTAGTTCGATTTGAACGAATCAGATTACAAAACTGCACCATTTACAACCAATTAAAAAATTATTACAGGTGACAAAATGTTTGTTCATTTTCACTTGAGCACACACTTTCAAAAACAAATTCACCAATTAAATTCAACTTAGTATTGTTTGTTTGAATCTTCCCATCGATTTGTTAGGACTGCAACTGGTCAGTCTCTAATTGGCATATGTGCATACTGTGCGTATTGCCTCGATATACCTTAATTCACAAGCATGGTTAGCAGAGATGCAGGTACATCCAGCTGACGAGTCCCAAATAGGACGAAACGCGCGTCCTGGATTCCACTGCTAGCCACTATCCATCTCTGCTAAATTCACCAATTGCTAAATTTTTTTCACATCCTTCATTTTCGAAAAAAAGGGTGGTAGGGGATTATACGAGCCGTGATTCTAATGTCAACCATGTATTGTATATTATTATTATTATTGGTTAAATATCATTATTAATCCCCCCTAAACATGATTCATTCACTTCGCATTGATCCCTCCTTATTACGTCTCAATAATTTTTCACACAATTTAGTCTTCCATTAAACATTTGGTCGAATTGTAATTGCACTATCATAACTCTCTCACCCTATCTGACCCATATTTATATTCTGATCACAGATCTTAAATTTTCACTTAACATATATACAGATTCAAGTTAACATTCTATATGAGTAATATCAACATTAACAATTTTATTCTAGAACGAAATGTGCGTCCTGGATTCCACGGCTAGCCACTATCCATCTATGCTTACCATGCTTGTGAATTAAGGCTATATCGAGGCAATACGCACAGTATGCACATATGCCAATTAGAGACTGACCAGTTGCAGTCCTAACACATCGATGGGAAGATTCAAACAAACAATACTAAGTGAATTTAATTTTATTCTATTTGATTTGACATTCCTAAATTTACATGCTTTAAACGATGTACTTTGCGTTTAACCTGGCCATTTTTCGGATTATTAATTTGGATATATAATTGTAGAACCTGATAAGAATTTATCGAAAAAAATATTCTTCGTTCAAATATTGGAAGTATGTCTGATGACATGCCCTTGAATATTAGAAATAATTTAGTAATTTACCAATTAACACTACTTAGATATATTTAAATAAAGAACATAACATGATTACAATTGCACAACAATGATAAATTTTTTTATATGACCCATTCAACAATTTACTTTACACGACTTGAAAGCCATTATTTGTTTCTGCGATGGGTTACGGCTAGTGACTTTATAACATGGTTCACCAAACAGAAATCAGCAAAGTAAGTTGTAAGCTGGGTATTTTATTCAATAAACAATCACTTCAAAAGTATCACAGTAAATTGAAGTAGACGTGAACGGGTGTAAAAATACCTTTAATATTATAAAATAGCCTGATAAGTTGAGTTATGAACAATGAAACTGCATAAGCACTATACATAACGTACATTCTAATCTTGATTAGTACAAAAACAAAATTTCCAGGACACTACAATCTGAATAATTGTATAATACTTGTTCATTAACTTCTTATTAATTACAGGTACTTGGGATAGTTAAGAACTTAAAGCTGGTGTTATGGTTTAACAAGCCAGAAAATCAACTCTCAGCATTTTAAATTAACAGTGACTGAGAGAGTATTATGAATGACATTCGTAATACCTAGAAATGAATGTAAACTTAGAAACACATGAATCACTGAATATTAGATAAGTAATTTGGTGAAAACTTTAACCACGAGGCTTGTATAATTAGGGTTTAATATCTGACAGGGTTGTCAGTGATCAACGTTAAAAGAGAACACACAGTTATCTAATATTTCCCGGATTTCAATGACTGCTGAACTAATTCAGCTCACATTTTAGAGTTTATTTCATTTAGTCCAACAGAAGTGGTCTTAATTCACAAAAAATAGTAATTTCATTTAAATTTCAGTTCATCAAAGCATAATTCTATTACAATCAATTCAATAATATCACCTGTAGCTAATAACAATAATCTTTCACAATTAAAATCCTAGACTGACTTTAGTTAAACCACCATTGAAAACCTGAAAAAACTGGACAGCTTTTTCATTCAAACAGTATGGATTCACGACCCAGCATGCGAGAATCAAATCTTTGGTTTCACGCACGAACGCTTAACCTCTAGAACGCTGAGCCAGCAACTAACGGTTTAAATGTCCAACTTAAACATCATCAGGATACTACTTCTTTAAAAAAAACTACACTACATCATTCCATGAATTATCATAGATAATAATTTATAAAACAGATAGAAATCATTTGAAGCAAAGTAACCTAAAAACTGAAAGCCAAAGGTGAACAAACCTCTATAGCAGATAGTACAATCTTTTGTAATGCAGGTATAAGATTTGAAGGATAAGAAGTAACATCTGAACAACTATTAGACATATGATTTTGATTACAATCATCATTAGTAAACTTCATTAGAGATTCAAGTAGACTATGTAAATATTGTCCATCGTGTTGTTGTAACTGTTCTGCATCAGTAGTGGAACGTGTTTCAAATACAAAACACGATAAAACAGCTGCTAAATCAGGAGCTGATAAATCAGTAAATGAGCCATTAAGTAGTAGTTGAGTAATTAACACTTCCATTTTTGTTAATTCACAAGCAATTCGACCTGAATTAATGTAACAAAAAAGGAAGTAGAAAAAAAGAATAAATTCAGTTATCCACAGGTTGAGAAAAAATCACGAAAGATTTACAAACAACTCTTCAGATATGATATAAATGTTTATCAATTTCAATATGTCAGTCGAATGTTTCACATAAGTAATAACAAAAGATCCAGGAATGAATATATATCATAGCACGAAACCTAGGTCGAACAGAGTTTCATGTTGACTACTTCTAAGTTTAAATAGTATGGGTTTCACAGACTGAAAATAGTATGTCAAATATATAGGTGTAGAAAAGTCAAATGAACAGTACAGACGGTACTGATTAGAAGAGAGTTGGATAAAAAAAGGAATAAGGCTTGATTTACTCAAGTTCACGTGACATAATGAACAACAATTTGACAGACTGAAAAAAAACATGAAATGTAGAATAAGCAGTATTGTACGAGTGATTACGTCCAAATGTTTTCTGAACGGAAACAGTATTGAATAAAAACGTTGAAAATCTGAAGAAATCACACTATTTCGCCACCACGTCGTCAATACAGATAGTAATGAAACACTGTTGTTTTTCTACGACTGATTTTTGTGAAATGATGTAAATAGAGGGTAAAAATTCCATTAAGTCGATAATAAAGTCAAAATTCGGCAAAAACCAACAAGATAGCAAACAGCTTGTTATGGAACAACTTTTCATTGTTATTCTTTTGCATGACAAATAATGATTTATGATAATTTCTCTTATTGCCCGTACGGTGTTACAAAAAAGCGAGAAAAAAACCCAACACAAGTTTATGACGAACGGACAAAGTAACAATCTATGGATAAACAGCTAATTTAATAATACGTTTCTAAATAATTGACATTTTAAATCTAACATCAAATAAAATGAATGATTGAACATTATTCATACTGATAAAAATTCTCATAAATTCCGTAAGTTACTCACCTCCCCCCTCTCTCTAGACTAACTGTTTATCAACACAATTGATAATCACATCATTAACAAATTTAAAATGATTCAGATAGTAAATGTTAATTATTAATGTGAGCATTATCTAATTAATTAAACTTTTTTCCTATCATACTGTATGTACACAGATTTTCAGTCCATTTAGTGAATTAGTGATGTTGGTAGTCAATCGCTAGCATACTTTATTATTGAAATCTTCATCATGATGCAACTCACCACCTATCAAATACAGGTTTAGATCATTTGAATTTGAACTATACTATTTGAAGGAGGACTAGAGATATTGTTCAACTGCTCAAAATAAATTAGATAAAACAGGATCTGAACCTGTAACGACGCACTGATTAAAAGCTGAGTAATTAAACAGTTAAGCGACTATTCAAGTAGTCCACCTTTCTTTTAATAATCATTTAATGTGTATATTGTTTTGCAAAGCGATAATGTATATAGTTCCATATCACTCCAACAAAGTTTTTTCCTTACATTTTAAAATACAGTAAATGATGAAAATAATTACAATGTCTAACCTTTTAGACTCAAACAACCAGTATGTGTTGCTGAGTCGATAAAACCCAATTCTTCAAGGACACACAAACGACCCACATACTCTGTATTTAATTGTAATTGAGAATTAGATAAACTATCTTCAATTCGTTTTACAGCCCATCTTCGACGGCAAGTACGATGAATCAATTCCAGATGTGCTACAAGATCAGGACAACTAATGGGAGCCAAACGTTGAGTAATAACCGATGTTAGAAGTGGTGTTGTTAGTTCATCACTGAGTAAAGCATGCTCATCAAACACACAAGCATCCTGAAAAATTAAATGATCAAAAATAAATTATTTATAGATAGTGACAGTTGTATTATGAAGGTTTGAAGTAGTACTCTTTAAGCTACATGAGATTGAAGCACTAATATTTCAACAGATTGGTAGACTATAAACTCCAAACCGAGCTTGACAATGATGATGATTTAACTCCTTGACAGGCTTATGTACCCAAATATTGAGCGAAACCTTTTATGTGAGGGCTAGTCAAACAGCCCGGCTGCTGAAAATGAAGCAAATATGGCAAGACTTGAACTTGGAAACGAGTGGCTAGAAAACGAAGTACCTAGTTAAAAAAAAGGTCACCACTCCAGTTTAATAATAATGTGATGACTAATCAATTATAAGAACTGTACTTGAGTAACTACTAGTAAACTGCAATGCAAATATAATACGATTAGAGACTGACCAGTTGCAGTCCTAACAAATCGATGGGAAGATTCAAACAAACAATACTGAATGAATTTAAACTTCACCCCATCGCACAAGCAAGTGGCTATCAGGACTCAGTGGCCGAGTGGATAACGCGATGGCGTTTGAAGCGAGGGTACTGGTTTCGGGTCCCAGAGTGAACATCAACTCTGAGATGCAGGTACATCCAGCTGACGAGTCCCAAATAGGACGAAACGCGCGTCCTGGATTCCACTGCTAGTCACTATCCATCTCTGCTTATAATACGATAGTCAGATAAATCTAAAAATGCACTGAAAACTTTGGTCAATGATAGAGAATATGTATTTATGATTACTAAAATATTTTACATAAAAATATGCAGACAATAGGAAAAGGACAAACGTAGTTTATACAATAGTAAGAAAAAATCTAAACAGTCAACAAAATTAACTTATTCACTATGTTCCTGGGTATACTAACCGGTTGCCTAAACCAAAATAGATGTAGCGGGGCTTGAACCTTGGACTTAACCATAAAGTCACCGAGCTCAAGGAAAAGAAAAAAATTCCAAAACTTGTGACAAGATGAAAAAAACGGCTATGTCTTTTTTAATCATTAAGATCATTTATGAACAATGCCGGAAGATGTCTCTCACTAGCTATCATAAGGAAACCTCTGAAGTCAAACTTACTACCTGTCACTTGGGACATATATATATATATATACTGTGCAACATGATAATTACCTCCTCTGAAATTCCTTTGAATTTCAATGTTGTTCTTAAATCAACTTTAGTAGGCCAGTCAGCTGGTAGACCAAACATCGGTGACATAGAAGATTCTGGCATTGATGATGATGGTTCCGGCATCAATGAAATTACAAGATTAAATAAATTTGCATTTAATTCATCCATAAGAACTAGGGGATCACAATCACTTGCAGTTGAGTTTGAACCAATCACTAAATGCATACCAGCTTGTTTAGCTGCTATTTGTTGACGATGACGTTTAATACCACGAAGTAATAATTCCGATGATGTTATATTTGCATTATTTACAGTATTATTACAATATTGTTGCACAGTAAAAACATGATCAGTAATTCGCACAAATGATCGAATAGATAAATTAGATAATAACATTAAACGAGCATAACCATCTTCCAGTGACTAGTGGAATTTATAATGAAAAATAAACGTAGAAGTATGGAAAAGACAATACATTTTATGAATTTTACTGGAAAAAGAATTCTAAAATAACAAATTTAAATAAATGACACAATGTTTAATTATGTATGATAATAATTATAATTTCATAATTCAGTTCACTAAATTGTACGTAACAGAACTGTTCAACTTCGAGATGAAAGCAAGAATTGCAATAAACTGATATATGATACAATACAGGTGTAGAATCAAGCATATCTTAATTTTAATGGTATTTGATGAATAGTTAAAAAGAGAAAAAGAATAACTTATTATCATTTAATGACTAGATGGAAGTTCAGAAAGCAATAATTTATTTAAATAACGCTTCATTTATTATTGGATCGACAAAAATTGATTACAAACACCAACTCATGAGGTACCTGAGGCGATATATGTGTCTGTAGGTTTGAAAAAAGAAAGTTCTCTTGTAAGAATGACTACAAAAGTATAAATAGAGCAAACGACAGTTGATATTTTCGTGTGTGCTACTGGTGTCGACAAATATAAGTGGTATGTATCACCAATCGAAAGCGAAATGCCTGGGGACAGAAGGTTGAGAAAATCGAAGAGAACAAGAACAAAGAGTAGAGTGATTGTTATGGAAAACAAGGAACAACATAATCTGAGACAATCGATGGATACCTTGCAAACGAAGTCTTTACTGTATGGTTCTCAGATTTTACCAAGGCATTCTGTAATGTTATATTAAGACACAATTTGTTGTCTCTGTGTGTTCTCGTTTATTACAGTATCTGGGGCTAATGTTTACAACACTTTATCAACAACCGAAGTGAGGTCTAAGAGCACGCAAATATGGAAATTGTTGAGTTTAAACAAGTTAGTTAGTTATTAGTTACGTCTGTAAGACCCATGGAGCATAGGCCGCCGACCAGCGTTCTCCGACCTACTCTGTCCTGAACCTTCCCTTCTAGTTCTATTCCTCTCATGTCAATCTCCATTTCTCGGCGTTATGTGTTCTTCGGTATCCCTCTTTTCCTCTGACCTTCAGGATTTCATGTGGGGGCTTGCCTTGTGAAGCAGTTAGGTGCTTTCCTCAATGTGTATCCTATCCACTTCCAGCGCTTCTTCCTCCACTGAAATCTGGTTTGTTCTCTACCACAGTAGGTTGTTACCAATAGTGTCTGGCCAACGGATCCGGAGTATTTTGCGTAGACAACTATTAATAAACACCTGTATCTTCTGGATGATGGCTTGCGAAGTTCTCCAAGTTTCCACCCCATACAGAAGAACTGTCTTGACAATTGTTTTGAGTTCCAGATGTTCTTCAGTCTTAAATATGTTGCTCTTGCTCTGCCGATCCACGTCTCCACATATGCATCAGATTCACCGTGTTCATCAATGATGCTGCCCAAATATGTAAAGGTTTTTACATCCTTCAAAGCTTCTCCATCAAGTGTGATTCGGTTGATGCATGTTGTGTTGTACCCGAGAGTCTTGCTTTCCCCCTTGTGTATGTTGAGAACTACTACTGCTGAAGCTGCCGCTATACTGGTCGTCTTCTGCATTTGTTGTTGCGTGTGTGATAGAAGATTCAGGTCATCCGCGAAGTCTAAGTCGTTCAGCTGCATCCTAGCTGTCCATTGTATCCCTCCAGATGTTGACATCTTCATGATCCAGTCGATCACCAGGAGAAAGAGAAAGGGTGAGAGTAAACAACATTGTCTGACACCGGTCTTTACCTAAAACGAGTCAGTGAGTTGTCCTCTATCCACGATTTTGCAGTTTAATTCAACATAGAAATTCCGTATGATATTGACTAAACAAAGATTCAGAAAATGTAAAAAACTGGATATTACTTTTACAAGGGTTGATAGAAAGTAATAATAATAATAATAATAATAATAATAATAATAATAATAATAATAATAATAATAATAATAATAAATACAGTGAACGTTATTAGCTTAGCAAATACTTTTGAATATGAAACAAATAAATGTGCGTCACGTTCAGAAATTATTAGAAAAAACTGTTTACTCAACATAAACAAGTAATATAAAGCAATACACAAAAGATGGGCTGAATGAGAAGAGAATAAAGACAGAAAATGGCAACAAATTTAACAACATATGATAATTAAACATGGCGCAAAACCTAAAAGTCACGTCCTTAATTATAATTCACCCATTCCTATAGTATAACTTTACTGAAAATTCATTCAATTTTGAATTTAACGCAAAAATCTAAGTTATTCTCTCGAAGCCAGCTGGCTTGTCTCTAAATTACAGTTCAATCTTCATCAATGTTTGCGTTCAATGTATTATTTTTAAGTATATTTTAAAGGACAACATTTGTTGAAGATATTTCGTATAAAAGTATACTATTGTACCAGAAATAAAAAAAACACTTCTAATGATCTACGTGTCTCATTTTTTGATATCAATTCGTTCATGTGTATGAGGAGGAATTGCGTCTAATTGTATCACATATCAATCAGTATGTTATTCCTTGACATATTCCTTGATCATTTATCATAAGCTCTCACATTACAATGAAAGTAACAAGTATTGAATTGCTTTAATACAACTAAACATGAATCGCTTCGCGTCATCTTAAATATCACCATTTGACCCTTGATTTAATATTATCTTAATGTACGAGTGAAATATGGTGGATTTAATTAAACAATTATTATTTACTGATGTTACACGATTCCCGATTGCTAATTGTTAATCAAAAGTTCTTGATCATCCGTTACAAAAAATTTGTAAATAAATGTAAAAACTTCTTACAATAAGAACATATTTTAGAAAAAAAATCGTAATGATAAATATACATACAGCAGAACTAGTGATAACGAACTATGTATGACATTCAATTGAAAGATAAATGTGCCCAACTTCTATGAAGTTCATTGCACATGGAATGATGAGAATATGAGGCATTTTACCTGTCAATTTGTGGAACAAAGATTATTGGATAGTAAGCAAGGTAGGGGTTATAGGTAGTCAACAGGAAACCCTGAATATAGGTTTCGTGCCATCTGATACTCGTCAGCATAGTGTGCCAGTAATTTTGAAGGAATTGACGCTCCCTTTCAGATTGCAACTCGTGTCACACAGCTTCATTTGAACTAGTGGCCATATTGCAAATTGATCGACACAATTTTATCAGCACTAAGAACTTGACATACACGATACTGGTCACCACTAGATGACCAAGCAACTGTAAATTATTGGATAGTACCATATATACACTAATGAGCAATGTGATTTATTACCTAATTAGGTGTTCCTATAAAGAACTGTGCATCTTGAACACGTGTTTGGTGGTAAAGTGACATATGTAAGTTACAGAATTGTCACAATAACCTTGGAAAGAGATTTTCTAAAGTTCTTGTGAGTAATCACGATGTGTATAGTCGACCGAGTCAGAGGAGAACAATTTGCTGACGGCCATGCGTTCATGGTATATATATATATATACTTACCTCAGGTGTATAAACAGGCATTAATTGTGGAGGGTATGGTGTATTTGACAGTTGAGCATCTTCACCTTCTTTCAAAATATCCTCTTCATCTAATTCATTGAATTGATTTGCGTTATTGTTAATATTTCCTTGTTTTCTACCATTAATATCACTCACTGAATCAGTCTGATTTATGGATTGATTACACTTTTGAAATGATCTAGAATGATTTGTTAAATTAGACAATTCCCAAGTGATAATATCGCACTATAAGAAAGGAATAACAAATACCAGAATTAAGTGTGAAAAACCAATCAAACAATTATCTGTTTTCATGAAAAAAGGAAAACAAAGTATTTTGGGTGATTGAATTAAATGAATATTGTCAAGAGGATGGAGTCCAAACTATTAAATAATCTGATTAGGCTCTTATCGGAATAACTTGACTGATTGATTGATTTTCTACTAATTAGCACCAGTGGACAAATAGTGAGTGTTAAAAGATCCCTCATAATTTTTTTTCTATTACGCTAGTTTATATCTACTTGAATCCTATCTTCTATAGCTAGTCTTTTGTATTACCATAAACACTTACTAACCCTATTATTCTTGGATTCATGTTAACAATTTAATGTCGCTGTTTCAGTGAGGACTAAGTAACTTGAACCAATGTACATATATGCCAGGTTCTACGTGGCGTATGACTGACTGGTGAAACTGGAAAAGTCTATTTTGTCTTTTTACATATGATCCAAATAAATCGATTTAACTCACTTCTATTTCACTCCCATTCTTGATTTTTTTCTTTGTTAAATTAACCAAAACACCTGGTACTAACCAATTGGGTTGTTTTATAGTTACTTTATTATACAATAATGAATTATCATTTTGTGGTAGATGAATAAATACTATACGACCTGGACAGAATACTCGTTGTAGATCAGTTAGATTTTCTTCAGAAAGTAAACGGACAATTGATGATGTAAGCTTTTGATAATTGCAACAGGCCTAATTTATTTGCAAAAAAGATGAAAAACGAAAGAATAACATTTGTAAGATTCTGAAGATCGGAGAGAAAATATAACTAATCATTTCACATAAATAAATACACAGACACACTAAGTGTGAAATTTTATTTGCGAAACGATCACTGACTGAAATTTCATTAGTTTCAACGATACACTACTATCCAATCGACTCCGAGACTCTTCAGGGAAATAATAATCACTACCAAGAAAATTCTGATCATTATTTACCCAAAGAAGTCCGTACATAATTTAAATCTTTACAAAAATAAAACACGGTGAATATATTTCGAAATAATTTGAAATGTGCAAACTGATAACAACTTATGTACCTATGTAATCTGAGTGAATATATTAGTAATAACAATAACAATGATAATGATAACAGAAATAAAGGCACAACATATTTAAGTGAGGATACTTTCAGCATTCACGGCCATCACCATATCATAGCACAATTATGAAACTTACTCTCAACAACCCACTAAATATAAAATATAGGAAAATGTAGTGATGACCATTATAAAAATATGCACAAGTACATACGTGCATGAAACAAAATAAACTTGAAATATGTCAGTATTTTAGTACATTGAAAAAATGCTTAGACTAACAACAGCATAACCAGTGAAGTATAGGTAATATGAAATTGGTAACTTTACATTGTGACTAATTTTTAACAATCATCGACAACTCAGACAGTAACAGCTACCTTGACAACGTGGTCGAGTTTGATGATGACTCAATCAAGCTATATTGCATGGAACATAAGTTCTTTTATGTCTTAACATGCCGAGCAGGTCGGTTGAAGAACGGCAAAATTAAAAGCAGCAACTCAATGTCCGAAGGTGAAATCATACTAGTGACTTTAGAGAGGTATGATGGCAGTAAGTTGTTCTCCACAAACAACTAGCAACTGCAGGAGATGCAGACTGCCAACAAAGGAGGGAAAGAGTTAGAAAAAGTCAACCATGAAAATGTCACACCTTACTTCACCCTACGGATTTTCGTCTCCGGCGGTGAAAATTTTTTAAGTACTCGGATAACACATCAAAAACTCCACATAACAAATCAGTTTGTGACCGGCTTTAAGCAGTTTTTCCGCGTGCTCTGTGGTCACGCCCCCGGGTAACTTGACCAAGTTTCTTTTTCAAGTCGCTCGAGAAGGAATATTCTTTTATGATTTGGAGAGCCGGGAAGTGAAAACTGTCTTCATATCTCTAAGAGCACTCGAGATCATCTGGGTTACAATATGATGACTCAAAACAGTACCGGAAGTATATAGTTATGTATAGTTGAAATTTGACAAATAGCGATCTACAAGCATTAAACAAAGAAGGAAATCCGAAATACACAAATATGTTTATGTTCATTTTTGACCAGTTAACAATATTAGGTTATTATGCCCAGTCTCCATATTAACAATACAAGGTAAATAAGATAGAATACGTGGCCATGAATTGTTGGCACATCTGCCTCTTAATTATAAATGTGTATGCACCACAGAATGTGTTCATGGAAGTCATATGAGGATAATTTAATATGATTGAAATGAAATCCCTCGTGAAAATGGCACTCGTAATATGTAGCACTGACCTACTAAGTGAACGAAACAATGCTAGGTATTAGACCTTTATTGAATACTGAGAAAAAGATGATTATCCTCACACCTAAAAACTAAATATTAAAATGTAAGATTATTAAGTTGTTTTAATGAAAAATTCCATTTCGAAAATTGAAAACTTTTGATATAGAGTCTTTTAATTATTATAAAACAGGATGAATCCGCGTGGATTAAGAGAAGTTAGGCGTTTAAATTAAATAGTTTGATTTCCTATTAAACACTTCACAAAGATACTTTATTCTAAAACAAAGATCGAGTTTAATTGTAAATTAATTCAACTATATATAAATATATATAAATATATATATATATATATATAACAAGAAACTAACCTGATAATAAGTAGTCATTGCATCACAACAACTTATTTGACCAAAAGGACATTTCACTTGTAAAATAGGCTCACCAATTGGTACAGATAAACGAGAATAATTACTCATAGATATTGTAACTTTATTATTTGAAGAACGAGCAGTTTGATGAGGTATATTAGATGACAATCCAGCAGGTGGTATAAGAATAGTTGTTTCATCTAGTTTTTTGCGCAAAGCTGACAACCATTGTTTACGGTCAAGTTCACGTCTAAGATTGGCTGCTTCCATGAAACTTCGTCGCATTACATCCTTTATTTATGTATATATATGTTTTAAAAGAGTAATTGCAAACGAATACAGAGATTAGAATCAAATTCTAAATATTAATTTGGTAGCAAAACAGGCGAACGAATATGTACCCCACATATACGTAAACAGACAAAGGAAAACAAACGAAAATTATTACGCAATTCTATACATTGGATTTCAACTGAATAGATCATCATTCTTTATAAAAAGATTAGATAACATGGAAAAAACACACATAAAACTAATGTGTACATTTATTATCAATAACAAAATTACCTGTGGAGTTAACCAATTAGTTCGATGTAAATGTAATATCATAGAGTAGGTGATTTTAAATTTCGAAACTAATTGAGTTTGTTTTCCAAGAATAATATCACTTAGTGTATGCTCAGATGGTAAACCCGAACTTCCTGGTGTAAGTGATTTACCAATTCCACCAAGTAAAATAATTACAGAACCGGAAGCATCTAAACCACGACGACCTGCACGTCCAGCCATTTGTGTATACTCACCTGTAAGCATGATACATTTTTTAAACGAGTTCACAGGGGAAATAAAAAGATAGAAAATTTTTTTTACAATGATTGCATTTACAAACATAAGCTATCTAGCAATATATCACTATTAGGAAAACCTTGAATTATTACTCTATTGGCATACACAACTGAATTTCTGATCAATCCTTGTTGGCATATATACATTATGTACGGATTCCTTCGATAAAGCCATTTTATTAGAATTATTTTAAAATGAAAAGATTGTGACTAGTAATGGACTCAAAAATGCACTAATCGCTTAGTCTACCTACTTGAGCATTTAAGTCACCAGCCACTATCACTACATCAGAGCGCCTAGCATTTCGGAGGTCAGAACGATTTCTGTAAAACTCATCTTTTACATCATCTGAGCTGCAGTCAGTGGGAGAGTAGGCTGAGACGACGAAGAAGCAACGACGAGAGTACCCTATCTTTCCGAGTTCTTGCTGTTCCGTTTAGTCGGACAGTGCACAGACGACTGTCTACTGGGATCCAGTCTAAAAGAGCTAGTTTTTGAGGTGTTAGCTCCGTTCTTCAAAGGACGTTACCGCCGGAGAAGGAAATCCGTGAGGTAAGGTGAGGCGTGACACTTTTAGGGACGACCTTCTCTAACCTCTTTCTCACTTGTGAGAAGACAGCATGGCTGCAGATGCTGGTTGTCCGAAGGAATCACCTCACTGCTGCAACACCCCTCTACAGTCAGCAGTACGACTTCGCCCTCAGACCTTGAGTTGCCGCTTTTAGTCTTACCGTTCTTCAATCGACCTGTCTGGCATGATAAGACCTACAGGAACATATGATCCAGCCAATAGAGCTCGGTTGGTTCATCATGATAGGCAAGCCCGACCACCACTTCAAGGTAGCAGCTACAGTTGAGGTTTGTGCCATCATTAGTAAGAGTTGGAATTATTCCATTGTTGACAGATAGGAATGAGTTTTTGGTCAGATTTTGCTGGTACATATCCAATCCGTACGGATGGTCTTGATATGGCTATTCTGCAATTTCTAGGATGAAAAAGGCATCCAGGATTTCGCTGTCAGTCAAAATTCATTTATTCTAAAATATTTTTCAATAATCTATAATGAATTTCTCTACATAAATTGGGCAATAACGAATTGTACTTTAATAAGTGTTCATTGAATTCTGCAAGTCAAAAATGTATTCACCTTAGTCTATAGTACACTAGAGGTTGATCGATGTACAACTGTGGATTTAAAAGGGAATATGTTGATGGTCAATAAAGATTACGTAACAACACTGTCTTATATATAATCTGGTAATAAGTTGGCAAGACATCCCAAACTAACTATAGTAGTTAACAAAAATAGTGGACAATAGTAATTCAGAAAGCCTTCACTAAACGATGAAATATACTTGAAGTTATACCATAGAAATCTTCATGATTAGGCATAAAAAAGCAAATGTACACATTTCGACTGGTTGTCTTGAAAATCTTAAGACGATTTAAGTTCGTCTTAAAAAACAGTTACAAATTGCACAACTGATTAAATGATGAATTCACTAAACAAAAAACTCAATCTTTTTTCATTCTCAACAAACCAACTGTATCAACAATTTAGAAAACAATGTTCTTGTTAAAAAGTTTGAGACTATATACCATTAACGATAATGTAGAGTAATACAATGTGTAACACGTGAGATTTGTGAATTATAACTGTTACTCATGAGTAAATAGTTTTTTATCTTGTAATTTCCTGCTTATAGTTCAGCAAATGTTAATTGTACGTTGTCAGAATGGAGATTTGTGGAGATTATAGTAATTTTTCACAGTTGGATTGAGTCAACCAAGCTAAACCACCATTGAAAACCTGGAGGCACTGGACGGCCGTCTCATCCTAGTATGGGACTATTCAGAAGTGCGCATGATTACTCTCTCGCTGTTAAGACATTTCTCATCTGTTCGAACATATTGAAATGATCCATTTCGCGTTTATCTGCTTGGTTACTGTTATTGTTGAGTTTATTAACATGAGCTCTTTTGAAAGCAAGTTAATCATTATTTATTGTGTAATCATTTGTTTTTTAGATACATACTCATATGATAAATATTTGGAGATGCTAATAGAGTCTTCTTATCTGGAATGAGTTATTCCAGTGGATATAAAAGTACAGAAGTGAAACTTCTTTATACAGTAAAGTTGTTCAAATCACATTAGGGTTGTATGAAATTAAAACGTAACATGAAATGATTGAACTAGGCTAGCACTTGATAATTTTGAATAAATTGCGCACTGGGTAGATTGTTATAAATAAATAATATATTTGTAATATTCCAATGAGTAGAAAAATTAGATTTTCTGACGTCACGTGACTCAGTGTAAGCAACTTCTTTAGAGAATAAATAACCCAATCAAAATTAATCCAAGTTTAAACAATACAACGGAACAACAGGAATATATGATCAATCAAAAAACAGGTCCGAATAAATCAATGTTTATTTATTTAAACACATACATATTGGTACAATGTCACTTCGGTCAAGGTGATTCATAAGCGACATGTGTGTACATTTGTGTGTGTGTATGTGTGCACGGCTAAGGATGAAAATGTGTGACCTTTATGGTGATAAAGGATAGCGTTTAATTTGTAAGATAATAGTGTGAATTGTGAATAATATCAGACTAGGTGACTAGGACAGATGGTCCAAGTAAGGCCTTCATTCCTACTGTGCGCCGTACGATTAAGCATTATATGGAACGCTTCAACCACTCTCCTATGTAATTGGAAAAAACATTTTGTAATATTTTGATATTTTTGAAATCAATTTGGTGGTTAGTTTTTGATTGATCACATATTCCCGTTGCTCCGTTGTATTGTTTAAACTTGGATTAATTTTGGTTTGGTTATTTATTCTCAGAAGAAGTTGCTTACACTGAGTCACGTGACGTCGGAAAATCTAATTTTTTTACTCATCGGGACATTACGAATATATTATTTATTTATAGTCTAGCAACATTTATTTGCCAAGTTACTGACTTACAAGTGTCAGATAAGAGCTTTCTTCTGTCAATATTAAAAGTTGAATATTTAAGTAAGAGTGTGAAAATGAAAAACTGGAAAAATAAAAAATAAACACTGACTTGAATTTAAAGGACGACGTTTTTGGCCATCAAATTTCTCTAATGTAGTAAAGATGACACAGCGAGCCGGCATATTTACACCCATTGCAAATGTTTCAGTAGCAAATAATATTCTGATTAAACCACGTCGAAATAACATCTCCACTGTCTAATAATGTGTAAAATAACAAAATAAACTATGCTTTTATGAATAAAAATACAAAACCATTAGCTGTGATACATGGTCAAATGAAAAATGAATGTACAAATTACCTGATAGGGATGATAGATCTCCAGAAATCACTTGGTAAACGTCTTATTGTTGTAATTTTACTTTTGAAAATTCAAATTTCTCATTTTCGCTCCAAAAGCGTTCATTTTTATTTTCAACTTTACTTTGTATTTGCCATACGGGGTCATTTCCACTTTTAATACGCTATTTTGCGAGGTTTCCCAGGGAAATTTTTATGCTGTATATATACGCTTGATTTGTGTGCTTGTTCGCTCGTGCTCCCGACTGCTCGTAAAACATACTTTTCCCTCGACTGAATATGGTCTTCTCCCTCTAGTTAGCAGAGCTGGGGAGCAGTGAATAGTTTAGCTTCTCTTGCCGTTGAGTTGCTGATCCTTTGTTCCATTAGCAGAGTTTTAGGTAATCTCCCCAAACATATCATTAACATAGTTGAAAGCGTGAGTCAATTGAAGCTAGAACACCATGGAAAATCTGGAAACACTGGACGGCCACTGCTGAGGAGTCCCATAATAGATCGAAACGGCCGTCCGGTGTTTCCAGGTTTTCCATGGTGGTATAGCTTCAATTGACTCACAACATGATTCGACAACAAAGAATGAATTCACAGAATAAAAAGTATAGGATAACTTTAGAGTTTATGATTCAAATGAAGATTGACAGTGAATGAATCTACATTACAAAAACCAATTCTGAGCTATATCACCTTAGTTAACAGGGGAAACTATAAGAAGTCATCTGTTAAATTCACAGACTAAAACAAGTCAATTATCTCAACATATGAAGTTTATTGAGATCAGGGGCCGACCAATGTTAGACCATAATGAAAACCTGGAAGCACTGGAAGGCGGTTTTGTTTTAGTATGGGACTACTTGTTATATCCCCCGGTGAATTACGAATGGTAACTTTTAGGTCTATTTATGGATCAATGTAATATGCCTATTTCCTAATGTACAACTATTACGTAACTGAACTATTCATATTCGTATTTCTCTTACCATTAGCTTTATTTTGACCTTTGATTTATTATCATACGATTCTTGAGTTATAATCAGTTTATTGATTACTTTGGTTTGCATAAAAACCCAGTGTGTTTGTAAATAATGATTCATATTGCCGAGGCTGTTATTTGTGTTCCGCACTCAACTGGCTGGGCTAGGCAGATAGGAAGGACCGAATAGCACCCAAGACTGCTCGTACGATTTCAAGTATCATTTGCGTCCGATCAGTAAAATCCACTCCTCTCTAATTGCACGTTCATATATATTACGAGTCGATACGTCATAACACTACTTAGCAGTGTGCACCCACAATATCGCATGCGAACGCTTAATAAAGTTGGATGTCGACTCAGTGGTCTGAAAGTTAAGCATTCACGTGCGATATAGAAGGTCCTGGGTCCGAGTTCCGCATGTGAAACCGTGGATGCGCACTCCTGAAGAGACCCATACTAGAACGAAACCGCTGTCCAGTGCTTTCAGGTTCTCTTGGTGGTCTCACATTGGTCGGTTCCTGATCTCAATGAAACTCAATAATTTCCATAACCCTATAATCAAAATGAACTTCAATCGCAAAATTTCATTGAAGTTTTGTTTGGAAAGCTACAATAATAATTATTTTTCGAAGTATGATCAGCTTGATTATGATTGCAAATCTAAAAACCAATGGTATACCAAAGCAATAAACTTAATAACTCAAAGATGATTGTGTATCATAAGTGACATATCCAATCTCTTAATTTTTCATGACGCTAAACCGCCTATCTTAAGTTACTACTAGCGTAGCGAGTTAGAATCGTCACTTTATATGCTTTTACTTTCGATTTTCAGATTGTTTTAATCTGGGACTTGTGTTATTACTGATTGCTGTTTATCGCTTTTCTTACTAAGTGAAAGTGCATTTTGTGAACAAGTGAATAGCCAATAGCTACAGACTGATAATGATTAAGTCTCAGAACGACTTATATTCTGCGATGGCTGAAGTGGAATGAAAATATAGGTTCAGCTAGATGTCAAATATTGCAGATGTTTGAGTATAGGGAAGGTAACTTGAAGACCCACAACTACAAACGGTATCCCGCCTTTAGTTTTTAAAAGTTAATGTGAAGAAAATATCGGTTGACAAATAAATTTTAAGAAATTTCACAAATTATAAAACATAATTCTTACCTCTTTCAAAATAGGTAACATTCCAGCATGATGAACAGCTAATCCTCTAACAGCTAATTTACTAATAAACTGAACTGAAGCAAGTTGACGATCACATCTTTTTAATCGTTTAGTGACAGAACAATGTAGAAAATTTTTAACTTGTTGCTTTTCACCTGTTTTTAAATGTGAAAGAAACCATAGAGGCAAACTTAAATTCTTATTGAAGCATATTATATTATAATCATAAGGAAGAAACAAGTCGTCTCTAGTTTAAACTAATAACAATATTTATCAGTTGTGCCCATGGATTTTAGGAACCTGAAGGAACGAAAATCGTACATAACTACTCAGCTTGCCGATCACCAAGAGCCAATATCTCCTGACATTGTTCCACTATGAGGTGGATAGAACTTTTAAGTCAAAGGCTCAGGGAGTGATTTTTAGGTCTTGGTGTCAGGGCAGAATTCTACTTCACACACGTACGATGATGAATAAGTGGGACGAAAATTTACTGCGCGTTTCGCCTTACTATCCATAATAACAATATTTGAAATCGTTTTCTGGAGGTAAATTTATTTTAAGTCGGATCAACTTTTATTTCATTTTATTAATATTCTGTGTACAATTTTATTCTTCAATTTACTAATCACGTCGTCTTTATTAAGAGTCTTGGTCTAAATGGTCCAAATTTGCTGAATAGTTAATTTAAGGGATGTTATTAATGAACATGAAATTTATCACATTTTCCTAAGCTACATACCCCATTTAACCACGCCTCCTTCAACACTCCAAATTTGATTCAAATTAAAAAATTAAAAAGTTTAGTTCATGAAAATTCTTGATATTGATATATGATGTATATCTGAGACGGGTATTGATGGTTTCGTCGAAGTACAACCTATACTACCTTTATCTGTCGATTCAAAAAGTTTGTATCATGTGAACTTTACCACAAACAATATAGTATTGGGGTTTGTTACCAGAGCTAAGCCAGAATTTATCGATCGGATCTCCGTTGATGGTTACTTATGAGTTGTTAATTTAGTAGGACCGATGAAACTGAGAAAAAAGTAATGTGGCAAATAATTTATTTTCGTAATCTCTGCCTACGACCTGATATGTTACAACGTGGATGAGCTCTATTGTCAATTAAATGACCTTTTCAATAAACGGCACTTAACAGATAGATGAATATATTTAGAAGAAACATCAACAATAATATAATTGGCATTAAAGTCAAAAACTGATTACTTGAATTCAACAAATCCACTGAAGATAAATGACCAGCCAGAGTTTCCAATGATGATCGAGAAAAGGCGAATGCTATAGTTGGCATAAGATCACGATCTTGAAGAAGGTGAATTACTCCAAGCCATAAATTTTTGGTACGATGATCATGTACACTTAATCCGTTAGTTGCTATTAAAGTGAAATAAACATGAAATTATTCTAAAAATGTTTGAATCAATATACTACATTAAATAATAACGTAACTCATTTGCCAATCAAAGAGTTCATGTAATAGGCTTGATACACAATTTGTGTGTAAGCTAGTGAGACGACGCCCCCAAATGGCCTGGTACGACCGAAAGTAGGGAGGGGCCACCCTCCCTATCAAAAAGCTTTCACATGACCATGCGTATACAGCCTCTGACAGGGAAGTCCTACTCACTGCCTTCTCGTGGCGGGTGTGTTGCTTACGAAAGTGAGAAGACGAAAAGCGAATGTCCGGCCCTTTAACCGGGTTGGTGGACACGGCGACTCCACCTAGGGGAGTTGGAAAACCCTGATTTCAAACCAATGGCGCACATGAGCTCTAGTATCCTGAGGGAACAAATGGCGTGTGAACCAATCGTTGATCACGGGCTATCATGGGACTGCATCTCCTTACGATGCTCCATTGCCTAATGGATCAGATCTTTAGGTCGAAGGCTGACGCCAATTGCTTTGGTCAGAGCACCCGGGCAGTATCACATTCCCAACACAAATAAGTGAAATGATGACTTCTACTGACAATACCATGCACGCTCCTACTAAAAGTCACACAATTTACATTATTATCATCACTACTATTTACCATGTCGCCTATTCACTCACTTTCATTCCCAATTTGTGTAACCTTACTTTCCATCTTGTGCAGCAGCTCGCTCTTGGTGGAAACTCTGTTCCATGTAAACGATTTCTAGTCGCTGTTTCGTCGAAAGTGAATGCTTCCACCGATTATGAATACTGAAGCAGTCTTTCTGAAACCACGTACACCGTTCAAGCTGGCTTCCTTCAACGTTCGCACACTAATGCATATTGGACAACAGATAGGGCTGTCTATGTCTTTGGAAGGTCTTAATGTTGACGTTTGTTGTCTATCCGAGACCCGCATTCAAGACTCTAGTGAAGTACTACAAATCCGCTCTCCATCTGTCGCTTCGAAAAGCTTGTTTCACGTGCACTTATCCGGGGACCCTGTGTCATCTTCGTCTGGTCTTGCTGGCGTTGGTGTCGCACTAAGCGCTAGAGCTGAGGCAGCACTAATCGACTGGATCCCCATTAACAGTCGGTTATGTGCTGTTAGATTAGAAAGTTCCATCAAAGTGAGAAGAAATCGGCGTGAGAAGCGGTGTCTTTTCGTCATCTCCGCCTATGCTCCGACAGATTGCAGCCCGGGTGCAATCAAGGATGAGTTTTACCATCAGTTAACAGTTCTTCTCCAGAAAGTGCGTTCGACAGATATTGTAGTACTAGTCGGAGACTTGAATGCACAGGTCGGGCGTCTAGGCACAGAAGAGAGTCGTTTAGGTGGCTGGTGGGGACTTGTCGGTCGCAGGACAGATAACGGGGACCGTGTACTGCGATTGTGCACAGACTACAATCTGTTTCTGGCTAGCATTAACTTCCGGAACAGTCATCGCTGGTGTGCCACCTGGCATCCTCCCTCTGTATCTCAAGCCTGGACTCAGATTGATCACATCGCGATCAGCTACCGCTGGCGTGGTTGTGTACAAGACTACCGCTCCTTTTGGAGTATCTATCTGGACTCTGATCATGCCCTGGTCTGCGCCGATATTACCTTACTTTTCAGTGGCCAACGAATTGATCGTCATCAACGGATTGATGTTAGTAAATTGGTTGCAACTTCTGTTGCAAGTAAGTATCGAGCGGAGCTAGCTTCTAGGCTAGTTTCCATCCCACCGAACAGTATAGATGAGCATTGGTTGCATCTTCACGACGCCATGAAAATGGCGAGTAAAGTCGGTTGCGGCTTCGAGAAACGTCCCGCTTACAAGCACTGGGTTTCTTCTGGCTCCTTACAACTGATGGAAGCCCGTCGGTCTACTCCAGGTGACCACGAGTTTGACCATAAACGTAGGGTGTTACGAGGACTGAAAAGCCTGGTAGTAGGAGCGTGCTAATGAGCTAGAAATAGCTGGTAACTGACGGAAGCTCTTCCAACTCATCCGAGCCACTGACAGCAAGAAGTCTGGTGTGAGTGAAACAATCTACGAGGATGACGGAATGCCAATCACTAACATCCATCGACGTCTTGTACGATGAGCGAAAGTCTTTGAAGGGCAGTTCAACTGGCCTGCTCGACCGTAGCTGCTAACATGATGTAGTGGTTGGGCTTGCCTATCGTGATGATCCAACCGAGCTATATTGGCTGGAACATATGTTCTTGTAGGTTCTACCATGCCAAGCATTGCTTGTGTATCCTGCGACCACCGGGTAAGTAATGCAGTTGTTAAGAAACAGGTACTAGGTAAGGATGGCAAATCGATTGATGAAGTAGTGAAACTTCATCAGTACGGTCGAGAGTGGGGAGAGTCCGCTCTCCCTCTCCAAATGGTCTCACATGGTCACGCGAATATATAGCCTCTGCCAGGGAAGTCCTACTCACTGCCTTCTCGTGACACTACTGTTGTTTACGAAATTGAGAGGACGAAAAGCGAATGTCCGGCCCTTTAACCGGGTTGGTGGACACGAAAAGTCTACCTAGGGGAGTTGGAAAACTCTGATTCCAAACCAATGGTGCACATGGACTCCAGTATCCTGAAGGAACAAATGGCGTATGAACCAATCGTTGATCACCGGCTACCATGGAACTGCATCTCCTTACGATGCTCCACTGCCTTGTGGACTAGACTATCAGGCCAAAGGCTCGGGGTGTGTCCCCTAGGAAAACCGACTGCTTCAGTCTGGGCACCTAAGCAGTATCACAGCCCTCACACAAATCAAATGAGATTTGTGAGGCGCATATTTATCTGGTGCACGTTTGTACCAATATTTATGTGTTTAAATTATAATAATAATAGTCTTTCGGATTACTGCTTATACTCTTACTACTTCTACCACTATGGGATTTGAATCGACAACTGCATCTCTGTGCTAATGTGGTATGGCTATTCGAACTGATGTACGTACGTACGAAGTTCTTGCGTTGTGACTGTCTGACTCAACTGGCCTGCTGCTCCAGGCAACATCGATCAGATTGTCAACCAGGTAGTCTACACCTACCAACATGGCTCAGTCCACTTGTCAGTGACTTCATTGATTTGTGCCACGTTTTGGTCTGGCCACCCCTAGCTTTCTTCCGACCTACTCCTACACCATGAAACATTGCACGTCGGGGCAGTCGGTGGTTGGGCATATGTAACACATGTCCCAGCCATCTCAACTGATGAAGTTTCACTACTTCATCAATCGATTTGCCATCCCTACCTAGTACCCGTTTCCTAACATCTGCATTACATATATATATAACCAAACAATTATATCCCTTTCTTTATTATTGATACAGAAAAACAATAGATACTGAATTTAAATGTAGTTACAAATAAAGTGTGACTAATTTGATTTCGAAGCTACATGTATATTGACTTCATAATGAACGAAGAAGGTAACTGAGGACAATGAGATACCTATCTCATTAAAACTCGTACACATTCTGCTAAATAATTACGTTAAAACGATAGATTATTTAACCGTCCTTTTTACAGTGTTCAAGAAGAGTTTGATATCCGAAATCTTTGTTAATTTCTCAGTTCATTTATTCGGTGGGTGCTGCGTAAAAGAAAAAAAATTCTCACTGATGATTTCACTTAGGCAGTATAAAGTTATGTACTTATGTCTTCTGTGCACATCTCAGTTTAGTGCACACAACTTGCTGGAGAGAGAAGAGCGTAAGTAAGATTTAAGCCCAAAACAAAATCGCCAGTGCAACACCCACCCACTAGATGAGTGTAAAAGTGGTTGAGGATACTTGATACCCCAAACATTTAAACAAAAAAAGCTGAAAACTCACTGAAATGTACTCTATTTATCGGTGACCTCCAAATAATGCTTGAAAGCTTTGTTCATGGTCACTAAGAGGGCTAGACACATCCTACTCGCTGGCATAAAGTAGTAATTTATTTCCGTTAAAACACATAATAACGTTTGTTTCCTATCTACATCATTCTAACAAACCAACTATCCTTATGATTTAGTTGATAACGCCTGCCTGCAATCGACAGATGTGTCCTCATATGGAGAGTCTATTACGTCAGTCGCTAGACTCCACTTCTTTCTAGTGACTGATTCGAATTATTTCTACAATACTATGCCGGTATATCAAATCAACTCGTAAATACAGATAATGATAGACCAACAGTAGTCCCATCTGGTGTCAGAGAGTCGTCCGTGTGTCTTAAAATCTTTGGCGAGAGATAATTGTCACATACATCTATCGACGTATTGGACGATGGGCAGAATTCTTTCAAGGGCAGTTCAACTCACCTGCTGCACTGGCAACATCGATCAGATTGTCCTGTCCACCATGACCGGTGACGACTGCTCCGCCAAATGAGGCGGAAGTCCGCAACGAACCCCTACTCTTGAAACGCTAAAAATATCAGCAGGCCCAGATGACTTACCTCCAGCTCTGTTTAAAGATGGTGGTGACTTTCTGGCTAAGGAATCGACTGAGTTGTTTACAAAGGTCTGAAAGCTAGAGAGTGACCCAACGTTATGGGATGAGTCGATAGTCATCCCTATCTTTAAAAAGGGTTCACGTCGTCCGTGTAACAACTATCAGGGGATAAGTATATCTCCGATTCGTTGGACAGGAATGTTCTCTGAGATTGTCTAGTGAAGAAAGGTATGTCTGAGAAGTTTATTAACATCTTAAAGGCCCAACATATAATCACCTCAGGCAGAGTGAGGGCATACAACCACCTTTCTCCCTTGTTCCCTTCAAGCAGTGGGGTTAGACAGGGTTGCCCAATCTTGCCATTTCTTTTCAACTTTGCCATCGTCGACATTCTGGAAACAGCTCTGATAGATGTAGGTAATGGCGGTATGGATCTGTTGCCATGCAATCCGCAATTAGTCAGTTGGCAATCAGTGTCCATAGTTACGATATATGCTTTGCACCTTCAAAGTGCAAGGTACTCCTACAAGACTGGCAGGACCCTAATCCTGCACTCACCCTGGGTAGTGAGAAGATTGAAGTAGTCGAGAAGTTCGTGTATCTAGGTAGCTGCATAAGTGCTGATGATGTCATGGATGATAAGATCAATATTGTGGGTTGGTTGGAGCTAGACTTTAATACTGCCGGTTTTCAACTAAATGGTCAAGGAGCTAAGAGTTCGTGTGAGATATCAAAGGTCCTGGGTTCGATTATCACATGCAAGATCGTGGGTGCGCACTGCTGAGGAGTCAAATACTAGAACGAAACCACCGTTCAGTGCTTCCAGAATCTTATGATGGAACAATATTGGTCGGTTCATGATCTCAATGAAACTCAACATCGTCATACTGATCTAAAACAATTCTCTACAACTTACGTGGTAATGCACGGAAATGACCTGGAGTATTCACTTTACCACCAGCATTCTTTCGTGGTGCGTTCTTAGCACTCGATGGATTTACCGGAGTTTCAGTAGGTTTCTTTTTGTCAACATCGTTTTCGCCGCTAAGCATGCGATTTGCCTGTTTATAACCTATATTTATGTAAGAAAGATGTGAGAAAAAGAAAACATATTTCAGGAGTTATTTTTCAATCAGAAGGGTATTTGTGGAGATTTCAGTTATTTTTTAGTGAATCAGTTTGTAAATCGCTTCGACGGTTTTTATAAATGATTTTTTAGATGGCTCTAATTGTATTCCTATATTCTATACAAGTCAAAGAAATAATGCTACAGTGCCTATAACTCTAACGCAAATAGTAGAGACCGGAAAAACAATGACATATTCACTGAAACTTAATACTGCACCTAGAATGAAGAGAAAATTGATATTTCCCATAACACGTTTCGCAGTTTCTATGAAACGGATTTATGATAATTTAACGGTATTCATTAAATAGTGTTTATCTCATACAGATAATAAAATTGTTCAAAGTCTGATATATGAGCTCCAGTGGTCTATTGGATAAAAATAAGAGGATTCACTGTTCCTTCAGAATCAGGATACAAATTAAAGCGATAATAACTTAAACAACATTATCAATAATAAATACTGATAAACTTAAACACACGAAATAATGTTTGAAATCGTAAATTGATCACAAATATAGAGATCTTGTGTTCCATTCGCAGATGGAATTGGGGGTGTGTACGGCTGAGAAGGGATAAAAAACGAATGTTTGTCTAAATATGAAACCTTTACGAATAGGTATATGACAAAAACTATTCAAAAAATATATATATATATATATATATATATATCATTAAAAAGGAAACAGCTTAACCTGATAAATTGAATTGACCAGCTTGATCTACAATTAGATGAAGATGATCTTTACTACGTTGACTATCCATACCAGTAAAAAGAAAATGTTCCAATGGAACTGGACGTTTATTAGTTGCAACTACATGAACTTCAGTTCCACGTATACGTCCTAACCAATCAGCGAAATCAAGTTTATTAGGAACTGTTGCACTTAACATAACTAATAACACATGTTTAGGCAGCATTATCATAATTTGTTCCCATATATGACCTCTTTCCACATCATTGACATAATGAACCTGTAGAAAAAAAGAAATATACGTACACATATAAACATTTTGAGCACTAAATGAATACATAAAAAGTAACTATTACCTTGCTTGGCTAAATAATGAGAAAAACAGATTGTAAATACATCAAACAAAACTACCATGATAGACTACAATTGTTTAAAATATGAGTAACTGACTAATAATATCAAAACATCTAGTTTCCTTGATGAGTAAACAAGGCAAGAACAGTAAAAATTACACAATAAAATGAACTTACTATATTTTATGAATTCTAAGCAACTACTCTGAATAGTCTACACTTACAATTAATCTGCACAAGATGCACACATACCAATAAGAGATTGGTCGGTTGCAGTCCTACACATCAATGGGAAAATTCAAACAATCAATACAAAAACGAATTAAAACTTCACCCTATTGCGCAAGCTAGTGGCTATAAGGACTCAGTAGCTAAGTGGATAATGCAATGACGTTTGAAGCGAACGGTACTGGATTTGAGTTTTGGAGTGAATATAAACTCTGGGATGCAGGTAAATCCAGTTGACGAGTCTCGAATAGGACGAACCGCGCGTCCTGGATTCCACTGCTAACCACCATTTATTTATGCTTATAATAATAGCAAGATTTCAAGTAGAAAACGCAAATACGTTAGTTAATGAAGTTGTAATAAATGCTCAGCAAAATAAAACGAACAGAAGAACATTATACATTGTGACACTAAATAGGAATAATATATTTGTAAAATCTCAGCGAATTTGTAGTAAATTCCTTGAAAAAGCTTGGACCAGATTGCCAGGCGAAACGTTGGATTTACTACAAATTCATTCGCTGCGATTTTACAAATATATTATTCCTATTTAATGTCTTACATCAACTCGGCGCTCAAATACTGTGAAACTATTCGCTCTAATTTAGACGAGAGTTCTTATATATTATACATTGTGGTTTACATTAAAGCATATTTACGGGTGGAAGAGGTCATAAATAATATCAGTAATAAAATAACGATTGGATCATGAAAATATTTAATCAGAATAAAACGTTTAGTCAAATTATTTTCAGAACTTTGTTCTTAGCATGATAGAACCTGAGTAAATAAGCATTTTATTCAGTTTAGTTTCACCAGGTCATAACAATAATAGAGCCTAGTTGGTGTGTCAACACTGTAGCAGTCAGTCACTAAGTCGGAGAGCACAGACTGAAGTGAATGAGCCCACTGGCAATTCTCCTTATTCGGAAGATAAACTACCTATCACAGCGCAACGGTAAGCTATAACTTAGATTTGTGAGAAATGGCCGACAGACATGAAATATAGATGTATTTAGAACATAATCGTGTAAAGGAAAACCAATGAGTGGGTACTGTCAACATAGAGCTAGGTCCAAAACAAGGGAGGCAAACCAAGCGACTAAAGCCGTCAAGATATACGTTGAGAATGTTAGGTTGTCACTTTGTGTACCGCTGAGTACAATAGGGTCAGATAAAGAGGGGAAGTGTGGAGAGATTGAGATATACAGTAATTATTACGTCCCTAACTGCTGATACAAACATTCAACGCCACGTGAATGAGATCCTTGAGAAGAGTCAATCACCGCAGATAATCGAATTCCTTCATGAATTCGAATAACGATAATATGACCTGAGATCAATCACAATCCAGCAGATACGTTCAGATTGTACTTACATATTGAACACATTGTAGCCTTTAATCTGAAGTCGTGTCTATTTCATTTACATTAATGTATCTCTCAGTCAGTCAGTCAATCAGTTACAACGTAGAACTTCGTACGTACGTACATCAGTTCGAGTTGCCATACCACATTAGCACAGAGATGCAGTTGTCGATTCAAATCCCGTATTGATAGAAGTAGTAAGAGTATAAGCATTATGTGAAAGATTAGGGTTTGAAGATGTTATTCAAGGAGTATAATCCAGTGAAATAAATTTTGAAAAAGAAAACGGATAGGGACATGAAGAATCCAGAAGATTATAATTTGGGAGAACACAAAGAGTGGATGCACCTTCGCCATTGCAAACGATTTTGAGCCATATCATTCAAGATCTCTAACCATCGGTTGCTGTCATCTCGCAAATCCCAACCAGGTAGTCTACACCTACCAACATGGCTCAGTCCACTTGTCAGTGACTTCATGGATTTGTGCCACGTTTTGGTTTGGCCGCCCCTAGCTTTCTTCCGACCTACTCCTACACCATGAAACATTGCACGTCGGAGCAGTCGGTGGTTGGGTATTTATTTAATTTATTTATTTAATCACATATATATTGGTACAAAGGGCACCGGATACATATGCGCCACACAAAATAAAGAGAATGGGAGAAAGGAGATGCGTATGTATAAAAGAAGGAAAAAAAAGGAGAAGAGTAATGATGGGGGGAACTGAATGTACAACCAGAAGAGCTCTCTCAGTTAGGAAAGTTATAGCCACTCTTTATGCAGAAAGTAGAAGAAGGTTACAGCAGGCTCGCCACTGGCTTCTATTGTGAGCCATATCTGATAACGTCTCTAGCCACTGTGTTGCACCATCTCTCGGACCCCAGCCAGGGAGTCGTGAAGGACCAACAGAAGCTAGCCCTTTGCAGCTTTCTTTCATGCCACGACACCATGTCATACACTGACCTCCTCTCCGCTTTTTCCGACCAGTCCTAGAGTCGGCAAATAATGCACGACGTGGAATTCTCTGGGAAGACATTCGTAAAACATGTCCAAGCCACCGAAGTCGGTGTTTTAAGATGGTGACACCAATTGAATTGTCGTCTCTGCGCCCGAACACACGATGCCGAACCTCTGCATTACTAACATGGTGTTGCCACTGTAGGTCAGCAATCCTTCGGAGACAACGATGATCGAACACAGAGAGACGTCTAACATCCTCAACTCGGATAGGCCAGATTTCACAAGCATAGAGCAAAACTGCTCTCACCGACGCGTTGTAGATCCGACCTTTTACAGCCAGACTAACATCACGAAGGCGCCAAAGATGGTCCAGATTGGCATAAGCCGCTCTGGCTTTCATTATACGTGCATCGATCTCATCACTCACGCCACCACCAGCACTTATGTAGCTACCTAGATACACGAACTTCTCAACTACTTCAATCTGCTCACCATCCAGGGTGTTTACAGGATGAGAATTCTGCCAGTCTTGTAGGAGTACCTTGCACTTGGAGGGTGCAAAGCACAAACCGTACCTGCGGACACTGATTGCCAACTGATTAAGTGCTGATTGCATGCCTTGGGCATTATCGCACAGTAAGACAATATCATCCGCATACTCAAGGTCGAGAAGTCGTTCTCCAGGCAAATTATCCACACCGCCATTACTTACATCCATCAGAGCTGTTTCCAGGATGTCGTCGATGGCAAAGTTGAAGAGGAATGGTGAGATCGGGCAACCCTGTCTAACCCCACTGCTTGAATGGAACAAGGGAGAAAGGTGGTTGTATGCCCTAACTCTGCCTGAGGTGTTCGTATACAGGGCCTTTAAGAAGTTACTAAACTTCTCAGGCACACCCTTCTTCAATAGACAATCCCAGAGAATAGTCCTGTCCAACGAATCGAAGGCAGCCCTGATATCAAGAAACACTACGATTGTTGGCCTGCGATAAGTATGGCGATGTTCTAACATTTGGCGGAGGGTGAAGATGTGATCAATGCATCCTCGACCAGAACGAGAACCAGCCTGCTCCTCGCGAGTCAATCGTTCTCGGGTTTTAAACAACCTACGAAGAATGATAGAAGCCAATAGTTTGGACGCAATCGGAAGCAGACTTATCCCCCATATAGTTATTACAGGAACAACGTGAACCCTTTTTAAAGATAGGGACGACTATTGACTCATTCCATCATGTTGGAACACTTTCTTGCTCCCAAACCTTTGCAAACAACGCAGTCAGTTCCTTAGCCAGAAAGTCACCACCATCTTTAAAAAGAGCCGGAGGTAAGTCATCTGGGCCTGGTGATTTGTAACGTTTCAAGAGTTGGAGTTCCTTGCGGACTTCCGTCTCGTTTAGTGGATCAGTCGTCACCGGCCATGGGGGGCAGGACAAACTGGTCGATGTTGCCGGAGCAGCAGGCCAATTGAATTGCCTTTCGAAAAATTCAGCCCATCGTCCAAGACGTCGAGAGATGTTAGTGATTGGCATTCCGTCATCCTCGTAGATTGTTTCACTCACACCAGACTTCTTGTTGCCAGTGGCTCGGATGAGTTGGAAGAGCTTCCGGCAGTTACCAGATGCAGCTGCTGCTTCCATCTCATTAGCACGCTCCGACCACCAGACTTCTCGGTCCTTACGCAAGCTTTGCCCAATTTCATTGCGTAACAGCCTTCGTTTGTAGTCAAAGTCACGGTCACCCGGAGTAGACCGACGGGCTTCCATCAGTTGTAAGGAGCCAGAAGAAACCCAGTGCTTGTAAGCGGGACGTTTCTCGAAGCCGCAACCGACTTTACTCGCCATTTTCATGGCGTCGTGAAGATGCAACCAATGCTCATCTATACTGTTCGGTGGGATGGAAACTAGCCTAGAAGCTAGCTCCGCTCGATACTTACTTGCAACAGAAGTTGCAACCAATTTACTAACATCAATCCGTTGATGACGATCAATTCGTTGGCCACTGAAAAGTAAGGTAATATCGGCGCAGACCAGGGCATGATCAGAGTCCAGATAGATACTCCAAAAGGAGCGGTAGTCTTGTACACAACCACGCCAGCGGTAGCTGATCGCGATGTGATCAATCTGAGTCCAGGCTTGAGATACAGAGGGAGGATGCCAGGTGGCACACCAGCGATGACTGTTCCGGAAGTTAATGCTAGCCAGAAACAGATTGTAGTCTGTGCACAATCGCAGTACACGGTCCCCGTTATCTGTCCTGCGACCGACAAGTCCCCACCAGCCACCTAAACGACTCTCTTCTGTGCCTAGACGCCCGACCTGTGCATTCAAGTCTCCGACTAGTACTACAATATCTGTCGAACGCACTTTCTGGAGAAGAACTGTTAACTGATGGTAAAACTCATCCTTGATTGCACCCGGGCTGCAATCTGTCGGAGCATAGGCGGAGATGACGAAAAGACACCGCTTCTCACGCCGATTTCTTCTCACTTTGATGGAACTTTCTAATCTAACAGCACATAACCGACTGTTAATGGGGATCCAGTCGATTAGTGCTGCCTCAGCTCTAGCGCTTAGTGCGACACCAACGCCAGCAAGACCAGACGAAGATGACACAGGGTCCCCGGATAAGTGCACGTGAAACAAGCTTTTCGAAGCGACAGATGGAGAGCGGATTTGTAGTACTTCACTAGAGTCTTGAATGCGGGTCTCGGATAGACAACAAACGTCAACATTAAGACCTTCCAAAGACATAGACAGCCCTATCTGTTGTCCAATATGCATTAGTGTGCGAACGTTGAAGGAAGCCAGCTTGAACGGTGTACGTGGTTTCAGAAAGACTGCTTCAGTATTCATAATCGGTGGAAGCATTCACTTTCGACGAAACAGCGACTAGAAATCGTTTACATGGAACAGAGTTTCCACCAAGAGCGAGCTGCTGCACAAGATGGAAAGTAAGGTTACACAAATTAGGGATAAAAGGGGGTGAATTAGCGATATGGTAAATAATAATATTAATAATAATAATAATGCAAATTGAATTGTTTCTTGTATGAACGAGAATATAATTGTCAGCTAAATGTTTCATTTCATTTATTTGCGAGAGGGCTGTGATACTGCCCGGGTGCCCAAACCGAAGCAGGTGGTTTTCTTAGAGGGCTACACACCGAGACTTTGACCTAGAGGTCTAATCCACAAGGCAGTGAAGCATCGTGAGGAGATGCAGTCCCATGGTAGCCGTTGATCAACAACAGGCTCATTCGCCATTCGTTCCATCAGGATACTGGAGCCCATGTGCACCATTGGTTTGAAATCAGGGTTTTCCAACTGCCCTAGGTGGACTTTCCGTGTCCACCAATCCGGTTAAAGGGCCGGACATTCGCTTTTCGTCCTCTCACTTTCGTAAGCAACACACCCGCCACGAGAAGGCAGTGAGTAGGACTTCCCTGGCAGAGGCTATATATTCGCGTGGCCATGTGAGAGCATTTCGAGAGGGAGAGCAGGCTCTTCCCACTCTCGGCCGTACCAGGGCATTTGGGGTATATGTAACACGTGTCCCAGCCATATCAACTGATGAAGTTTCACTACTTTATCAATCGATTTGCCATCCTTACCTAGTACCCGTTTCATAACAACTGCATTACTTACCCGGTGGTCCCAGGATATACGAGCAATGCGTCGAAGACACTCTTATCGGCCATGTTTCACTGCCATAAAGTAGGACAGGACGGACTGCTGCACAGTAAACCCGTCCTTTGGTTGCTAGACGGATATATCTCCTACGCCATAAATGGCGCAAGTTGGCGAAAGCTAGACGAGCCTTCTGTATCCGTGCTGAGATTTCGTCACACACCAGACCACAAGGGCTGATGAAACTCCCAAGATAAGGGAAGCGGTCAAAACGATCAACTATTTCACTCCCTATCATTAGTTCAGGTTCCGATGCAGCCCAATCCTGAAGTAACATTTTACACTTCGAGGGAGAGAATCGCATTCCGAACATGCCTGCATTGTTGCTTATAGTGGTTAGAAGACTCTGCATTTTGTCAGCGTCTTCACCGAATAAAACGATGTCGTCGGCGTATTCTAAGTCAATAAGTGAGCCTCTCGGTAAAAGTTCAACTTCAGGAGATTGAGATGATGAAAGTGATATCTCTAAAAGCATGTCAACGACAAAGTTGACACGTTGAGAGCACCGGTTCTCGTCCGATCACCGCAGTTAAGCAACGTTGGGCCCGGTCAGTACTTGCATGGGTGACCGGCTGGGAATACCGGGTGTCGCGGCCTTTAACAACCAAACAACCCATACCCCACACCCACCCCAACACACAGACACATTCTATTTCTCAAGCGTCAACAACAACCACTAATACTACTACTTATCCTACCACTACAACATCCATCATGTATTTCTACTTTCGTTAGATTTTTTCCATGTTGTGACAAATTACAACTTGAACCGATGGACATTCACGTAAGATTCCGGGTTTTATTGTCTGCTTTTGGATGGCTATTCATTAAAGCTAGAAAAAAGTATCCCCACCGAAGAACTAGCACAGCTTTCAAAATCTGCTACAAGTATAAGAATTTAATTTGTAATGGTTTAGATTGTCCCGATGCTGATATTTTGATTGAATTTTGATCAGTCCTAGCATATGAGCGCCCAGTGGAGATTGCCACGAAATAGCCACTATGAAACAAGTTTGTATGGAATAGATGGATAACACTGATCGAAATTCAGTCGAAATATCAACAACGCAATAATCTAAACCATTCCAAGTTATATTAAAATTCATACTCGTTGCACAAGTGAGTGGCTATGAGGAGTCAGTAGCATTAATACTTAAAATGAAAGATACTGAGTCCGAATGCCGGAATGAACATCAACTCTAGGATGCAGATACATCCAAATGATGAGTCCCAAGTGGGACGGAACGCACACCCTGGATTTTACTAGAAGCCACATCCCATCTATTGAATATAGACAAAAAGACCTTTTACTAAGATTATACGTTAATCAATTATGGAACACTAAAATATATCAGTACCACAAACGATTTATTTATCTATAAATAGTAACAGTTAAAACAATAATGTGGAAAGGTGTGGATCTGATGATAAGATTCCCCAGTTAACTAAACAGATGTTCATCTCATTCAGTCCATGATCTGGAACAAGAAGACAGTAGTGCACATTGTTACTGCACTAGGTTACTACTTTGCTGTATTCAATGAAGTGAGGTGTGTCAGTTGAAGTACAATTTATAATCAATATTACAAGGCCATAGAAATTTGATAACATAAGGATTTATAAACAGTTTGTTTCTGTGAAATGATTTTACGAAATAGAGTACGTTATTAAACAAGCTAAAATAATCAAAAATGACAGTTTACAGAAATACAATTGTAAAAAGAAAACTGATCTACGTAGTTTACTGAATTGTCCGTAGTTCACAACTGTTAGATCATGGATTTTAAACATGACTCAATTACAAAGTCATTTTAAACTCGACACGTGATTTATGGATTACAAACTAAAACGAAAAGTATGCCCAACCACAAGACTAACTTCTAGTGTTGTAGATCGTGAAACTAGAGATTCAGCAATAAATCCCCTTATCCATAAGGTTTTTGGAAAATTGACACGGTGAGATACAGCTGGATTTATCAATACATATGTAAATGCAGAGTTGTATTTTGTTTCAGCATGGAAATAAATATTATGAATATATGGGCAATAAACATTTAAAAAACACTTGCTTCGTCCATAATGACTATTTCCAGATCTCTGATAACATCAGCGTCGTTACACAACATGTTATGCAGAATTTCCGTGGTCATTATTAGAATTGTAGATTCGGGAGCCAGTTTGATATCACCTGTAATTAGCCCAACACTATCTCCAAACGTCTGTCTACAAACGATTTCAATAAAATATGAGAATGGTAGTTGGGAGACACCAAACCAAGTTAGTAACTGTCTGCTGTTAGTTACAGTAATGTAAGATATCAGTTGACATCAGGTAGACGTATCGAATTGTATTTTAACTCTAAATTTTAAGCTTTTATGTCATTTAATATTCTTCACTATCTGATCTAATTAGTTTTTTCAAATTGCCCAGATTAACTATTAGGACAACTATTTGGTACAGTAAAAATGAAACTATATACCGTTCTTCAGTAGTAAAAGCTTTGTCTAGAAAAAGTTACTGAAAAAAGATATGTAAGATCTATGCAGTTAAGCATTGTTCATTTCATTTAGAAATCTAATTACCATGTTTACTTAAAGAGGAATATAAAAACACTACAGATACGTACTTCAACAATGGGGTAGCGAAGTGGTTTAATACATTCTGAAACTAACTCAAATGGGAGTCTTTATTGACTCCCATAAACCGACGACAAAAAAATCTCAACACAACCCTCAAGTTCAGACACACAATACAACGAACTAGAAAAACGACTACTAGATATAAGTGAATGGCATAGTAAAAAGAACAGAAGCGTCGAATGCTTACCGCCATTTTATCAACCTTTATAAGAGTGGAGAAGGATTCTTGTATCCCACCGTCGTTATACCTAAATGATGAGGGAACTAAGACTGGTCAGTGTCCGGCCAATCGTTTCAGCTGTCTGTTCTGAGCATGGAATCTTGACTGATTATGTTCAACAATGATTTGGATTATCAGCTTTTTACTCAGCTTCTTTGTTAGATGTAAGCAAGCGCATAATGTTTAATTTATTATCACTACCTTATCGTATTTAGTTCTGCGGTCATTATTTATTACGCCGATTGCTTTATCCTCCGCCACTGGAATGTCTGGTCAATTTTTAGACACTTATTTTTAATACGGTACCGAGATTTTTTATTAGGGTACGTTTGGACTAAAACATTGTCTGAGTGCATGCTCCTAAGATAACAAATTCCTCTAGGGACCCTGAAAACGATGGTTAATATTGATTTGATCTATCATCGTTCACTTGATGCTACTAGCCATTAAGTTAGAAAATACTACTTATTAAAACAAAAGATTATCCCTGATATGTAAGGTTCATTGTTAGAGCAAAGTCTTAGAGAGAGACTACGATTATTAGGTTGTAGATAGTATAATTTCGCAAGTGGTACCTTCACTAGTTTCTATTTGAAATGGTCTACGATAACTGAAATGCCAAGCATTATTTATTTTAAAGACACCTTTTAAAAATTGAAAACAAAATAAGAACTAAATTTTTCAAGGTGTACACAAAATATAGGAAAATAAGAAGCTATTAGTTACCAACATAAAACGCGATTCATCCCAAAAAGCAGTTAAAACACTGTACCTGAAATCGTAAAACTTTTGATTCGATAAAGCTTTAATCGGACTAGTATAGATGACTCTTGTGCCCCGACGCCGACAGAGAGCACAAGCATATTCTGCGACAACTGTCTTCCCAGCTGAAGTATGGGCTGCTACAAAGACTGTTTGATTACGCTCGAGGCACAAAATAGCTTGCTTTTGAAAGGTATCTAATTCAAATTCCCAATTGAATGCTGGGTTATCTACAAGTTCAGTTAAAGGTGGGAGTTCGCAAGTGGTATCCTCCTAGAAATCAGAATTACGAAAACTAATGATATAATTATATTAAATTATTTGACAGTATATTACTAGAAAAATTTACTTCATGGAGAGACTAACAAATTCAAGTTTCCTATTTGTATTTTAGTGGATTAAATGTAATTCTTAGGTAAAATACAAAAGTTTTAAATTGTTTGGTTGTGTATTCTGATAAATGAACTTTATGAACACTGATACTGTAGTGAACGAAGACTTGGTGAAGAAAACCGATTTATTATTTTATGCAAAACCACACAGTGCCTTTGTAAAATATGATTATCATACATTAAATACATCATCTGCACATCTTTGAGTTATCCTTTATATACTTCATCATTCTTCCAACTCTGTTGTTAATCCGATTGCTCTGTTTTCCATCCTCTTCTCTTCATTTCAATCTTCTGTTGGTAAGCATTCCACTTCTAAATCCTATAACATAATACTTATATCTATCAGCATAAATAGTCCACATTACAATAGAAGTCACCAATTTTTACCTTTGCATGTAATAAATACTAGATTCAAAGTAATTTGGTGTACAGTTTTACGACATTACATTAACAGAGGATAACGAAACAGAAACTAATGTGTTCTCTAGTTGTAATTTAAATTAGGTTCGAAGTCTCAAGAATCTGAATGCAGAGAGTACTGAGTATCTTCCTACTTTTTCAACAATATAATTAAAAACTAAATAGAAAAAGGTTACATGATTGTTTAACTCATCTACTAAGTACAGATTAAAGCAATTGGCGTTGATCTACATCTTGTGTGAGGGCCAGTGATTCTCTCCAGTTGATAAAATTGCCGTAAGTGATAGTTTTAACCAGCATCTACTAGCTGAAGGGCAAGTGCTTTGTTGGTTAACTAACTCTCCATATGAGATTTATCCGCAAACGACTCATCAGAATTATACGTGATGATGTAGACTTTTCCTCAGAATGATGAGTAAGTGGCAACATGATACACGACTACCGAATAACTTATGCTATAGATAAAGCAACCCGCACTTTTGAATGATCCATCCACACCGATGAAACTCCCAAGGTAAATATATGATGAAATTAAAATCTACAGAAGCGTGAAAATTCATATTATTGTGGTACATAGCAAAACAACATAAAAATAACAAGAGTTAGTGATGCTAACGAAAACTAAAAGTTAAATGCCCTACATAAAACAAATACTGATTAAGTAGAATATACTCTTGGGGTATTTTATCAACAAGCTTTAACAGAAAATATATCGAACTCAGTCTCAAGTATTTGCGTCCAGTCATTTTGGTTTACAATATGAAAACAGTTTATTGAAGCCAAATTTCAAGTGAGATCTATCGAAAAAAATAGTTACATTGAAGCATATGGAACACTGAAACTCGTTACTTCAAAACAAAAACTTTAAAACAAAAGTGCAGTAATCGTTCAAGTGTCGCAGGAACCATATAATATGACCTAAAGTAGTCAATTTTTAGCACACGACAAAACTTGGTGTTGTTACGTGTTGTGTGAATCTCTATAGTCACTTTACCACGTTATCGTACGATGTTGTGGCGATAAGACAAACCAAGAAAATGACTAATTTTCAGATGTACAATTTTCAACCACCTGATGCAGACAGGATATTGGCTACCGTTTTCGTCAATGATTAAAGTTTAATGTCTATAGACTTCGTGAAGTTTAAAGCCATTAATCTCAAAGGGTCCAGTTATTGTATCATGGCATCAGCCTTCAGTGTGTGTCTCTAAAGATGTTTCTGTGGCTGAAGGAAGAGATGACAGTTGTAAGGGTGTTATATGTTTTCACTAACCAGTATATGATATCCGGCTAGTCGGGATCCCACAGCAACTGAAAATACACTCAGAAATCGAAATAACCCACAATCAAACTATATCCCACAGCTAGTTGTTATTAGAAACGTCGACCGATATACAACAATATAAACGGAGGTATCAGAAGTGGTGAGTGCACTATCTTATATTAAGTATTTAAGCTATACAAAACATAACGTTAAGAAACACCTAACCAACTAGTTACAATAAAGATAACAAGGGCAACATACTCTTTATATTCCGCCTACTGGTGCATGACAAGTAGAAAGCATATAATAAAGTCAAGAAACAGTCACACAGTATATTTTATCAAGTTCAGCTCTCAGTAAAATTTTGCACAAACCATTTGAACATATAATGCCGGATATTTAAGACAATACACAAAAACGTACCTGACAGATGTATGACGGTTGGGGTTTGGAATTTCGAAATCTTTTTTCCAGCAACTCTTTTGTTTTCCTATTAATATCTACCCTCTTACCATAATTAAAACGTTCAGTATTTGACGAAGAACTAGTGCTAATTTCAGTTGAACCAATCCAATCGGCCAAAGTCTCATGAGAAATAATTGGGAGGGAGGCATCCAAAACAGCATCAATCCCTGCTGGCTCATATTTGATGGCTCCCGGTCTGAGTACAAATCGATCATGAGAAAGTCGAGAACCAAGTTTGTTAAAAACACTGTCCCTAACTTTTTCAACTGCACTCACGATAGCAGCCTCAGTCTAAAAATATGACAATGAAACACTCAACTAACCTTTATCCCTCCAAACTTGGTAACACCACACTCGGTAGGCAAAATATTTTCGCAAAACAAATCTGTGAAATTTAACTGACCTCCAATACATTCACGAGTAATTTTTGCCTCGTAAGACGTGCATTCTACATCTTGACGAGCTAATCTTTCGTAGCTAGATTCCGAATCAATGTAATTATCTTGAGGAAAAGAGTGGTCCAGAAATGCGTGGAAAATAGTCAAGTGCGACATCAAGTTGTGGAGATTTTATTTAATGCAGCCAATTGTGGTGGGTCACATACAAGATTCTAACAGCTATTAATAGTATAAATCAATGTCAGTTTTGCAATGGGTTTATAATGTGAATAGATTCAATTTCACGATAGCACTTTTTATAAGAACTAGAGAATGTCTATAATTTGGAAAAAACGGCTACCATTAACCAACCACTTGAATATCAAGCATAATGGAGGGTTTAAAGGCAGTAAAGTCGTGGAGTTCAATACTTTCGCGGCCTGTACTGATAAATCAAGTCATCTCAAGTATTGTGAGCGCTTGTTATACGAAGCTAGTCACAATAACGAAACATTTGAAACAATTTTAAGGTCAAAACTGGAACTCGATATAAACGCAGTGACAGGAGCATGATCGATGACATAGACAACATACCCAACCGTTGCTGCTACCTTGACGTGGTGGTCGGGCTTGCCTATCGTGATGAACCAATCAAGCTATACTGGCTGGAACAATCGTTCCTCGAGGTCCTACCATGCCGGACAGGTCGGTTGAAGAGCGGTGAGACTAAAAGCAGCAGTCCCAAGGTCCGAAGGCGAAGTCGTACTGTTGACTGTACAGAAGTGTGAAAGCAGTAAGGTGTTTCCTTCAGACAACCAGCATGACAGCGATGCTGCCTTCCCACAAGGAGGGGTGGGGTTAGAAAAGGTCGACCCTAAAAATACACACCTCGCCTTATCAAACGGATATACGTCTCCGGCGGTAAGGTCCCAACAAGTACGGAGCTAACACAAAAACTACCCAAAAGACCGACCTCAAGCAGTTGTCCCTTGGGCACTGCGGTCACGCTCTCAGGTCACTAAGACCACTTCTAACCCAATTTCCTTTTCAGGTACCCCCAGAAGAACCCTTCCACGGTGTGGGCAACCGGGAAGTGATAACTGCCCTCATACCCCTAACAGCACTCAAGACCACTGTATTCATAATCAATCTCCTTCACTTCCTACTATTTCTTCTACCCCTGCTTTCAACACTAAACTTCCTCTTTCGGTTTCCTCCTCAAGTGTCGCCATGGCCAACGATTCTAGTGCGCGAAACACTGTCCCAGGTCTAATAAAACCTCGCTCCAAACTACACATTGGAGCCTTCAACGTACGTACCCTAAGTCAAATCGGTCAACAGGCCTCCTTGGATAAGACCCCAGAATATCGTACCATTGATGTATGCTGTGTCTCCGAAACACACATACAGGATCCTAGTGTGGTCATTCACTTGACCTCACCTCGCCAAAATGGACAGCAAACGGAATACACCCTCCGTGTATCTGGCGACCCGTTGGCTAGTTTTCGTGGACTTGCAGGTGTAGGCATAGCACTTAGTACAAGGGCAGAACAGGCACTACTAGAATGGATCCCCGTTAACAGTCGCCTGTGTGCTGTCCGGTTAAATGGCTCCGTAAGAACTCCGAAGGATAGGGACACACGTCGTTGCCTTTTCGTTGTTTCTGCCTACGCCCCCAGTGACTGCAGCCATGATGAAGTGAAAGATGACTTTTACAGAAAGCTCTCTGAGCTTCTTCAGAAAGCTAAGCGCTCAGACATAGTACTCGTAGAGGGTGACTTTAATGCCCAATTAGGTAGCTTAAACCAAAAAAAAGACATTTAGGTGAGTATTTTAGTATTCCGGCTCAGCGAACGGAGAATGGTGACGGTCTGTTGAAACTATGATCAGACAATCGTTTATTTCCAACAAGCACTAATTTTAAGCATAAGGAGACATCGTCTAACATGGTGATCACCTGCACCAAACCAACGATGGACTCAAATAGACCATATTGTCATCAGTCATCGTTGGAGAGGCTCAATAGAAGATTGTCGCTCGTATTGGAATACATGTTTAGACTCTGATCACGCTTTAATAAGAGCACGCATTTGTCTGCACCTACACTAGACTAAGAAGACCCATTAGGATTGAACTGGAGGACGAGAAATCCAAATGTAAATTCCAGGAACTGAGTTCACATCTAGGCAGTTCTGTAAACGAGACCGACCCAGATGCTGTTTGGAAAGACATACGAACAGCTGTGGAAACAGCAGTCACATCTATTAGTAATTTAAACCATAGGATTCCAAAATACTAATTGATTTTTTCTACGTCTATTTCACTGATGGATTCTCGTTAACTCATCCCATCAGACTCTGAAGAGCGTAAACAAATCAGATCTAGGTTGACTAAAAGTCTAAGGAATGATCGTGAGCAGTGGTGGGCAACGAATGCAAAAGAAATGGAAAAGGCAGCGGTTGTAGGCAACACCAGGCAACTATTCAGACTAATAAAAGAAACCGGAATTAAGAAGTCAAGTGTAAGTGAAACGATCTCGGAAAAAGATGGAACCCTTATCTGCTCTCAGCCCAGACGTTTAGAACTATGGGCAGAACACTTTAAGTAGCAGTTCAGCTGGCCTTCAGCTACTGCACAACTACCCACTTCCCAGACAATCTGAATGGGACATTGAAGTAGGCCCCCCGACCCTACCTGAGGTCCAAAAGGTCATAACTAATCTGAAAGGATGAAGAGCAACTGGTCCTGATGGATTGACTCCAGAGGTATTTAAATATGGTGGCCCAATTTTAGCGACTAAGTTGACTAATATTTTGGCTAAAATCTGGGAGTTGGACGTAATCCCATCTGACTAGTCACGATCGCTTACTGTCCCAATATAAGAAGGGGTCAAAATCATCCTGCGATAACCATAGAGGGATTAGTCTGACTAACATATTATCTAAAATACTAGCCTCAATAATTATCGGGCGCCTAAGACTTGTGAACTGCAAACATGAGAAAATCAGGCTGGCTTCAAACCTGGTCGTGTCTGCATCGACCACATATTCACTATTCGTCAGGATTTAGAGCACAGACATGTTTATCGGCGTCCGACAATGATAGTTTTTCTTGACTTAAAAGCAGCATTCGACTCTGTAGACCGAGAAGTTTTGTGGCACTGTGTCATTGAAAGGTGTACCTTAGAAGTACATAAACCTTGTGAAGACTCTTTACTCGAACACTACCAGTCGAGTGAGAGCTTATGGAGAACTGTCATCTGGTTTTACAACCTCAAACAGTGTTCGACAAGGTTGTCCACTATCCCCATTTTTGTTTAACTTCATTATAGACCTATTGCTGGAAATAACACTCGTCGACTGAATTTTCAGGAATTGATCTCCTAACAGGAGGTCCACTTATCGACTTAGAATATGCAGATGACATAGTCCTGTTTGGTGAAAACACTGAAAAAATGCAGTCTTCTGTTAGAACTGTGTAATAATGCCAGGATGTTTGGGATGCGTTTCTCCCCATCCAAATGTAAATTGTTACTCCAGGACTGGCCTGCGTCAACACCTGAACTAAGGATAGGGAGTGAAGTAGTCGAACGCGTCGACAACTTCACTTATCTTGGAAGTCTGATCAGCCCTAATGGGTTGGTGTCTGACGAAATCTCAGCACGGACTCAAAAAGTTCGTTTGGCTTTTGCCAACTTACGTCACCTATGACGAAGACGAGATATCCGTCTACCAATTAAGGGACGAGTATACTGCGCAGCAGTTCGCTCTGTTCTACTTTACAGCTGTGAAACGTAGCCATTAAGAGAAGATATTCGCAAATTACTAGTATTTGACCACAGATGTCTTAGAAATATTGCTTGCATCTGCTGGGATAACCGGGTAAGTAATAGTAAGGTTGGACGTAAGATATTAGGAAATGATGGTAAATCAGTTGATGAGGTGATGAATCTTCATCGACTGAGATGGTTAGGTTATGTGTTACGTATGCCTGAACACCGATTACCATCACGCGCTATGCTGACTAGTACTGGGGATGGTTGCAAGAGAGTTAAGGGCGGCCAAACCAAAACGTGGCATCAGTCCTTGAAGTCATTAACTTCTAGTCTGAGCCATGTTGGTAGATGCAGACTACCTGGTTGGGGTCCGCGTGACTATCGTAACCAATGGTTGGAGACTCTAGGTGACATGGCTCAGAATCGATCACAATGGCGTAGGTGCATACACTCTTTATCTTCCCTTAAACCTTAAGATGAAAATTGCTTCATAACGTTCTTCCTTCCTAAACTATATCCTTATATACAACCTATCTTTTATATACTACCACCACTAAATTAACTATTTCTATAAATCCGGTGATCATCTTGTTGTGATAACGAGGTATGGCAACTTGGACCGATGCATAAATGTGCCTGGTCCAACGTTGTAGTTGACTGACTGATACTAATAAGATACGGATACAGAAAGGTCACTTAGTCGTATCACATGCACATAGGTATGAAAGTAGTGACCGTTGTTCGACGACTTAATAATCTTAAGCTTTAGTATATCATGCGATCTGATGTGTTACATCTCCGTTATCAATCTCGGCAGACATTATTTCAGAACATCTTGGAGAGCTAAAAAAACACGTACATTTCGCAGACCCAACTCCAAGGGATTGGAAGAATACCATAGTATGCCGCATTTTGAAAATAAAAAACCTTTGACCTGTCTATCTGACTTGGATATTGTCGCAGTACCTGGAACACTTTAGGGATAAAGTGAATATTTATTATTTATTTATTTGAACACATGAATATTAGTACAAAAGGAGCACCGAATACATAAGCGCCACAGAAGTCACTTGATTTGTGTGTGGGCTATGATACTGCCCGATTGCCCAAACCAAAGCAGGTGTTTTTCTTAGGGGGTCACACTCGGAGCCTTCAACCTTCCGCGTCCACAAACCTGCTAAAGAGTCGGACATTCGCTATTCATCCTCTCAATTTCGTAAACACCCCCGCTACGTGAAGGCAGTGAGAACTTCCCTGGCAGTGACTGTATACGTGTGGTCATGTGGAAGCATTTCGAGAGGCAGAGTTGATTCTCCTCAACCTCGGCCGTACGAGGGCACTAGAGGGCTTCCTTTTAAGGTGAATATACGGGAAGGACCACACAACCTACTGATGACAGAGTAAGTGTTTGCAATGGCAGTTCTTACATGACAAGCTTATTCGTTAAAAGAGGATCAGGTAGCATGACAAGACACAAGAATATCTGTTGAAATAAAATTCGTAGGTTCCAAACAGTCGTTTGATAGTGTTTCGCAAATGCCGGAGGGACTTCAATCTGTGCACGAGTTTCAGGTGGTGCTTATATGACCTTAAGAATGTCCAACTACTTTCTGGGACTAAACAAAGATTGTAGGCTTATGTAAAGAATCAGGACAAGGACTAACAATTGACTGTCAGGGTTAGGAATTAGATTCGGGGCTCTCACTACGAACTGACATCAGTCAGTGCCATAGTACTAATTAGCTTTATGGATGAGATTTGAGGCGAAATTCAAGACCAACTGCATTCTATCTGATCGGTCCCAACATAAGTTGACGGTGTCGCCCTATATGAATAGTACAGCACTAAACAAGCATGAGATACAAAAATCTTGCTAAACTGAAGGCAAAATAAAGGCTAGCAGGAAGCCAGACGGACGGGAAAACAACATTGAGACGATGAGCAGCAACCATAGCTCCCCATAACATAGTCATTATAGGAATACGACGTAAACGTACTACACGTAGTAACCGAATATCAAAAACTGATTTATATAATTGGTAAAAATAACACGAAACTTCAATAGTGTATTAAACAAGCGAAGCATCAAAAAGTGAACAGATAACAGGCGATAGCTAAAGTATTTCACCTAACGATAAAAGAAGGAACAAGTTTGAGAAACAATACAAGATTAAACTAAAAACAGGAGGCCAAAGATGAAAGATGAGAATTGGAATGGCCGTCTAACTGATGAACTCCTGACACAACGAACTAACCCATGGATCACATTGACACAAATCAACTGAAATCGTGCCCAAAATAAAAAGGTTGGATGAGCCCGACCTACTTTGGAAATTTGAATAAAGAACATAAAATTCCGTTCAATATCCAATATGCAAAACAATGGCAAGCCAATGTTATATACACTAACGGATTTACCGCCAAAATACCTAACCATAATCTCATATCCAAAAACATTACCGAAATCAAAGCTGACCAGAAACACGTTGTAATGATAGGAGACCATCATTGTTATTCAACCAGTGACCAACGACTCCCCACTAACCACCAAGGCGACTCTACCATACCTAGACGCCCTATCGGCACATTCAAATCTCCAACTAACACTAAAACATCTATCAAACGTGATTTCTTGTTGTCATTCAACTCGTGTTAGAGCTCATCCTCTACTGTATCCGGTCGGAAATTTGTCAGGACGTAGGCATTGATAACGATATAAAGTAATACTTCATTTTAACTTCTCGCTCTGACGAAACTTTCTAATCCTGAAACACACAGACTACTGTTAATTGGGGTCCAATCGATTTGTACCACCTTAGCCCTGGCACTTAGTGCGACACCAAAGCCAACCAAACCGAACGAAAATGTCACAAAATTACTAGACAAACGCACACAGAACAAGCTTCCCGAATCGAGAAGTAGGATGCTCAATTTTAGCAATAATGCAGTCTTAAGTACGGAGTGAGGGTCTACGGTAGATTTGCATATCAAGACTTTCTAAAGATAGCCAAATCTACCGTCCGATCTGCATTAGCGTTAGGACGTTGAAAGGAACTAGTTTGACTGTTACTCATAGCTCCGGAAATGCTTATTCAGAATCTGCATTTGGTGGTAGCAATTAGACTAGTTCGTGACTAGAATTCGTTTAAACACGACAAAATTGTTGTCTGCTTGGTCGTTTGAACTACTTGTGATCTAAATACAAATCGAATATAACTAAAACTGTTACTCTGACTATATTAATGCGCCTATGACTATTGTTGAGGCTAAAGTGGAATAAGTAGTTAAAATCTACTACTGCAAACCACCCTGCATTGCGCTCACGCTTTTGACAAACAAACGGGTGCTTCATCTGAATCAGATGACCATGGTTGGTGAATGAAAAGGAAATTTGTGTCCATCCCAAAACATTCTCAGCTGAAAATCTATAGGAGTTGACGAGACTTCAAACACTAATGGAGTAATCAACAAAATCCACAAGATTATTAGTCTCGTCACCATCTCCATAAAACGAAGCTGTGTGACCAGGGTACCTCAATTCTACTACAGTATCCAGGTGAAATTAAGAAAGCTATCAGTAAGATGTTTTCGATAAGATAGGATAAAAACACACTAACTGACGGAAGTAAAGTGAACCAATTAACATAGCTAGGTGGGCATATGTAAAACAACGAAGGAGCACGGTCGTTATTTTACTCTAAATATTTTGAATGGAGACCCATGTGAGATTGGCCTTAGGAAAATTGTCAGAAACCAAGCGGTTGCAGAGCATTTAAAACTTACTTCTTTAGCATAGGATTCACGTGATTTGCAGCTCCTTATTCGTCTTTTAAGAAACGTGATCGTTTCTCTTTTAGGTAGTAAGAAAGTTCCCGCTTCATTTATCTGAGCTGTTAGTCGAAGAAAATACCCTTTCGGAAAACACCAACTCTGAACAACATCCTCAGAAGCCTTTCTCAATAGTTCATCAATTATACTAGGGACAGTTGGTAAATCATCAGAACTGTCAGGTGATTTGCGTATACAACTCCATAGATTAAACTCCGTTTTGGTTGAACGAAGAGCCTGTTTGCTAATCTCATGGATGGATTTCATAATTGTTGGTTCCACCTACGGAGATCAGGTCAGTTTCAAATAAAACTCACTCTGATGTTAGTGGTATTTATTCCATGAGATGTAGCCGTAGCACATGACCGTTTAAAATTAACATCAGGATCCACTACTTTCCCCGTCATACCATCTCTATGTATCGGGATATTATGATACGGGATCTGGGTTCGTTGGTGAATTAAATCATGTTTTAGGGAGTCCGGGATTAAGTTCTCATTCTTTGGGAAAGAATGTTCGAGGAAAGCGTGGACTTGTAGTATCTGACTCATAGTTCTTATTCTCTTATACTTGTTAAGCAACTGCAACTTAAGTCTGTAATCAAAGTAAAGAAACACCAAAACAACAAAAATTGAGACTACAATTCCATTTTTCTTTTGGAAGTAAACAGAAGACAACTTCGGGGGTCTTCATAAATCACATCTTACAACTGTGAACCGCATGGTGGGCTTACGAAAATTATGCAGTACCCACAAAACTTCACCCACCTTGCCGAAATTCGCCCTGCGTACCCTTGAAATACAAGCTACCGACTCAACTCTGCCTGTAAATATGCTTATTATTAACGACAGAAACGGCATTCAAAATATCAAATATTGATCTGATATGCGCTTCAAACACATCTTCAATGTCAGGCGAAACAAAAACTCAAGGTATTCAGGAACATGATATGTGTTCAAAATAGTCGCACAACCAACATATCGCTATTCTAGTGATACAGGACGAAATCACCCGTTCCATATGTTTCTTGATGGCGTATCTCAAGGGGGGCAGTCAAAGGGTGTAAAAAAAAGAAAGTGTGAGAAACAGAGGAGTCAATGTTCATGGAGGAATGGTTAAGGTATAACTACTTAGTCTTTATCTCTTTCATTAAAGTACTTATTAATCAAGAGCACTCTAATATGTTGAAGAAAATGAGTGCAAACAATGTGTGAGTGGATAAGGAACTATATAAATCAAAGTGGTTTAGAAAGAAGCTTGAAAGTATGATATCACGTGTAATTATAAAATAAAGTGCTGATAATAGTATTCCGATAAAAATGGTTATCTCCATTCTTTGTCGAAGCTATTCGAGCCGATTTTGTTTAGGTAATTTATAGGGTATTGAGCAGGCTTGTTTTAACGAATCGTCCAGTTTGCTTGGTAGGAAGTGGAACCACTTCAGCGTTTTATGCACGATTTTAAAAGGTATTTTACACAAATAAAACAGCATCAATACCATTGGTTCGTGACATCCCACTTGCCATAAGGAGCTGTTCTGCTCTACATACACGGGTGGATTAAAGTTATCTCCCCACCATCATGTTTGCTGTTCAGTAACGCCATCCTCCCTCTTTTTATGATGTTAGGCCCTCTTGCGTTTGTGTCATTGTGAATATAGCTTTAATCAAGGCCCATAGTTGGGATACACTGTCTTTACTAGTTCCATGTTACCAGCAAACCAGTGCGCTAAAGCATTTGTATTATGTGTTAGACATCCACTAAGTTTATCATACTGCTATAAAGATAACTGAAGGTTTAAGCTAGAAGAGATAGGTCAGATTATATTTCGTTAAGAGATGGTAGGAACTAAAAGCATATCAAAGGATAAGGAAGAGTAGAAGATTGTAAAATCTTCAGGGTCAGAAAAGTAAGACATTGAGCAACTCACAAGAGTTTAGAACATTTTGGGCTTCTTTTGATCGGCCTTGGTTGATCAGCATCCATAAGACTAGTGAGTTATCTGTCTACTTGTAATATTAAAAAATGAAAAGACATGACCCTTAGGAAGAATAATGTGATTTTAACCATTAGAGAGATTCAGAAACTGAAAGTGAGGGTTAGGAGCAGAAGGTCGTGATTAATAATCAATGAATACTGGGAGAGGATAAAACATGTGTTCTTTAATTTTGTTATAATCATACTAATAACAATGGAGTGCGTTATATTCTTGTTTCATCTAGATTATAGGCGGTCCATAATAAAATGCTCATTGGTGGGCGGGAGTTCAAGGAATGGTTGATGAAGCTCTTTGGAGTCTGGTAACAAGGTCACTGGCATTTAAATTTGGTAAATGTGTCACAGTTAAGGATAGGTATTGGCAACCTGTTCCACAATAAACTATACCGTACGGTAAAAAACTTACAACGCATTTGTTTATGGTGTTTTACGGTATTTAGCGTGTATGCGTTGTTTCTTAGTCGATAGTCTGGGTCATAGGTCATAGTTGGGCAAGAGGTTAGAAACGAGAGTCCATTTATTACTTTGTAGAGAAATATCAGATTGTTCCTTAGCCTACGGTGCCATAAAGGTTCTAAATAGAGGTGCTTACATCTACTTGTGTAATCGAGAGTGGAGTCACTTCCTAGCAGTTGGCGTGTAAAGCGTCTTTGAACATCTTCTAATCTTATTTTGTCAGTGGTATTCATATTAGAGAAGATAAAAGAGCAGTATTCTAGAGAAGGTCGTACACATATTTTGTAAATGATAAGTTTAGCCTCTGTTGCGAAGAAATTTTTCGTTATGAAACAAACTAACTGTCTAGCTTTAGAAATAATACGGGAGGCATGTTCTTCAAATTTTAGGCTTCCTGTGTAATTAATTCCTAAGTCGTGTACTGATTTAAGTGTCTGGAGTATACTTTTATTTAAGTAGAGTTGTAGTTCATACGGGTGCTTTCCACAGTGCATGATTCCGCTTTGGTCATTTTTCGCTCCAGTTAGTTAGGTTATTGAGATCATCTGGAATCAGGGATACACTTTCACTTAGAGCTTCAGGCTTATAGCTGTATACTAATTTGAGATCATCAGCATATAAGTATGGTTTCCCAAACTTTGTGATGTTACATATATCGTTTATATACATGAAAAGCAAGAGTGGGCCTAGTACACTTCCCTGAATGACTCCACTAGTTATTGGTCTGATTGATGAGAGATGGCCGTTGTACTTTATCATTTGTTTACGTTCCTTTAAGAATGAAACGAACCATGGATAGAGTGGGTATTTGATTTCGAAGCCTTTTGTGTGAGACCTTATCAAAAGCTTTTTCGAAGTCTAGACATATGACTAATACTAAAATTCCGTTGTCTCGTTTCAGAGTTATATCATTAATGTGGTCAACTAGGCATGTATCACATGATCTGGACCTGAGAAATCCATGTTGGGAGACCGAGACGAGATTATTAGCAATTAGATGTTGGACTACCGCCAACTTAACTACTTTTCCATCACTCTAGACACCTCTGAAGTTATATTTATGGGTCGGTAACTTTCAGCATTTTCCTCAGGTCCTGTTTTAATTTTGGGAATGATGTGTGTAGTTTTCCAGGCAGTACGGTAACATGCTGTAGAGAGTGATATCACAAAACAGTTTGGGAAATAAAACACACATAACATCACCTCCACATTTTGGCATGCTAGCCGGAATACCATCTGGTCCATCAGTGTAGGAGTGTTTCAATGTGCTAATTGCCTTAGAGATATTCTGTACATTGTAGTCAACGTTAGTAATCTCACAGGAAGGTTCTGGGATTAGTTTATAGTGACCTACTTTTATGACGAGAATGCGATTGTTATAAGGTACACAATTATTATCATAACTAATTGTACAAGTGATTGTTTTACTGTACTTTTTTAACTGTAAAAAAGATACACTTTTCCTTCCGTTGCCTGTGATCTTGCATAAACTCATATACGCTCGGTAGTTCCGCTTGTAAACTTTGGCACGTCACGGTATTCTTTCGATACCACGAGATCGCCAACAAATATATCTTATTGCAGACATTAACAGCCATCTGGTTTTTGGCCCACCGACGGATCGACGTCGATATCTCGCAAGTAATCGTCATGTAGTGGCGATCATAATCAATCGCTACTTGACGCCATCTACAAGTTCACAATCATTTAGTGGTTTTTCATCAGCTATTGAGGAACAAAAGTGCTTACTGAATAAATCCTCAACAAGTTTAGGATCTTCGTATACTTGTTTGTTTTTAATAAGTATGTTCCCTCTCGATTTAGAACGTTTAAGTTTATTTTGAAAGAGTATGGTGAGTTATTGATAAGTTCGACAGCACGTTCTTCCTGTTTGACTGTTTTTTTGTGAACTTATTGCCTTTTCCCGGACAAGTATTTCTGTCACCATTACTAAAGAGAAAAAGTGGAGTTGTTTCGAATGGCCTCTGCTACTAAGCACCTTATTTCTGGATCAACTGCTATAGAAGCAACGATCATGTACTCCGATCCACCATGGTACAACAGGAGAACTCCGAATAATGTTAAAATGACACAAAAATAAAGACACCACAAAACAACAACTGCCTTCGAAACAAGCAAAGATGTGTAGTGGCTAGCAGTGGAATCGAGGGCTCGCGTTTCGTCCTATTTGAGACACGTCAGGTATATGTACCTGCATCTCAGAATTGATGTTCACTCTGGGACGCGAACCTGGTATCGTTATCCTCAAATGCCATCACGTTATTCAGGGCTCGGAAGCTAAGTGGATAAAGTGATAGAGTTTGAAGTGAACAGTACTGGGTTCGAGTCTCGGAGTGAACACCAACTCTGAGATTGATGCACTTAAAGCTGACGCGTCTCAAACAGGACTAAACGCTAGTCCTGGATTCTACTGCTTGTCACTACTAACCTTTGCCTATAAAGCTTGTTAGTCAACTCAATATCGAGGTAATACGCGCAGCATGCACACATGCCAATAAGAGAGTGCTATACATCAATGGGTAGATTCAAGCAAACAACACCAAACGAATTTATACTTCGAAATACTGTAGTTCTCTCGAAAGAAAAAAACTTCATGCCAACTTAGAATTGTGTCTACAAATTAGAATGTGTCAGTTGTTATGCCTTCTATATTGGAGAGTGATCTCACGAAATCTTGATTCGAACCAAAGAATATATTAGGTACATAAAGAAAATACCTAATAATCCTGTAGAACTAGATAGACTTCGAATTAAATTGGTAATAGCAGTTCGCATCATTTTCAACAACCACCGAATCGATTTCGAAAAACATTAAAATATTACAAAACGGTTTTTCCAACTACAAGGAAAGGAGAGTAGCTGGAGCTTTCCACATAATACTCATTCCTGCTGCTCTCAATAGAAAAGACGGCCTCGCCATACATCCTACTTCGACTGTCTATCCTAGTCACCTAGTCTGATATTATTCACACTTCACACACTTAGCTTACAAAATAGACTCTATTCTTTATCACAATAGCAGTCACATTTTCTCATCTCTGGCCCACACACATGTACACACAAATTCACGTACATGTCGCTAATAAATCATCTTGACCTAAATTGCATGACGTTGACTTTTCAGACCCGCTTTTTTGACTGATCGCACCCAATATTCTTGCTTCGTTCCTTTGTACTATGTAAACTTGGATTGATGTTAATTTGGTTATTTATTCTCTGAAGAAGTTGCATACACTGAGTAAAGAAACGTCAGAAAGTTTAATCTTTCAACTCATTGGGATATTTCAAATATATGATTTTTATATATGCAATGTTAGACAACTTATTTTCAAGGAGCGTAGCTATGATCATTGAGAACAAAGGATCATGACAGTGTTGCTTCTTCAGTGCCACCGATTGAACTCATTGCCTGTTCACATATGCCTTTATATGCTTGAAAGTATGAACGGATAATTTTACTGGCCAGAGGTTCATTAAGAGCATGGATTGAGTGTGAGTTATTAGCGAACTTCTCAGGTTGATTTTCACGCTCTGTAGAGCTCGGCATATTCAACTCACGGAAAACCAAGTCCATTTTGTAGTTCCTTTTCTACCAACTGCTACGTCGAAATAAATCTATGACGCTTATAGAGTATGATGGGCATCAAACATTATATCTTCGAAGTATTCGAGTAGTAATGAGATGTCTACAAAAAGCATACATAATGGTGTGACCTTGCTCAAGACAATCAGTAACCACTAGATGAAACAATAGATTATTTTAAGATAAGTTGGTAATTGTTAGCCACTTACACAAATGTGCTGATTTCATAAGTCGAGTCAAAACACTACCTCTGGAAACGCGTGATAGGTAGCTATCTGCTCCCTGGGACCGAAAAAAATCATAGATATGTTCCCATTTTTTTCGAACAGTTTTACTTCTGTGTTTGGCTAGACGCTCCATAAAATCCCGTTGATATGTGAATGTTTAAACTCAGTTTAACAACCTGAGTACGACTGTGACAATGTTTTTGCAATGTCGTCCTTGGTAAGCTGTTTGTGGAGCTTTCAAGAAACCAGATGTCGAATGCTACGCGTTAAGGTAATACTCAACAAAAACGGTATTAATTGTTATCGTTCAATCGACAACAACGGTTGTCTTGAAGGATCTATAGAGATGTATTCTTCTGTGAAAAGATGGTTGTGCATGGTTTTAATGGAGGTAACCTTTTACTCACCATTTACTTCAAGGACCCAAAACTCAGAGTGTTAGTGGCATCATTTTTATCTAAGTGGTAAATTCATTTTAAATGAAGTAAACGCAGATACCGGCATCGCCTTCTTTGCCTGGGTTGTGGTGATGAGCTCGAAGTTCCATGCTCTTCGAAGAATGTTGATCGCCATTATCATTCATTTCCTGAAGACAAGCATCTGGTTCCAACGCCCTATGTTTACGTCCATATGTACACACATATCTGAAGAAAAAAGTGCTTTAGAGTTGGGCCATGTCTGTTCTTTTTACTTACCCGAAACACGGGCTATAGACCAATAAGACTTACTTTACAAAGGACAAACGAGAATGTTTTGAGACTGAAGACCACAGTCAATATCAGGCAGTCACCATCATCAGCAGTCATTGACGAATAAAAACATAGTTTACACCATAACAAAACGTTCTCCAGTAACATCATCCATTGACGGTCTACCGAAAAAAAACTATTTGATTTAGCTTACTGTGGCTTAAGATATCGTTTCAGCATGCGATGTGTGTTCGGCGTAACGCAGTCGGACGTGGCAAATAAAAATTACAGTCATGGCAAAATTCACAGCATAATCTAGTTTTTTGATAAATACATCAAACAATGACTACATGGACGTTCAAATGGTTTGTAACGGAATAGAAGAAGCCTTCGCTTAACGGGCTTCCGTATCTATTAGCAGTTGATCACCAATACCTCCAGACAGGAACCCAGGTATATTATTGATAAAAGATACCATTCTTAGTCCTTAAGAATCTGTCAAGTTTTCTCTCGGACTAGCTCAACCGGTAGCGAATTCCAGCATCTAACTACATTTAAGGAGTAGAAGGCACGTCTACAACCTGTTCTGCTGTGTTGTGTCTCAGGTTTCTAGGCATCATATCTCATATGGATCACTTTACACTTTGAAGTGTTAAAGGTAAGTCCGTTGTAATCTGCCCAACTTTGGAGTGGAGTCAGATCCTCTTGAAGTGCCAGTTTATCGTTAAGTTAACCCTAACCTTAAAATGTCGATTTTTAAGATATGAAGTAGAGCAATCAATTAAAAGTGATTTGCCACTTAATCGTTTGAGCTTACTGGTAAGACATATATGGTAAGCCTTTTCGAAAGCTGTTGAGAAGTTAAGGTAAATGACGTCAACCCTCCGATTTCGGTCAAAGATGGTTGCCCATCTGTCCACCACAGTCAACAGGTTAGTTATACAAGAGTGGCCTCTTCTGAAACCGTGCCGTTGGGGTGAAAAGAAGTTTAAGGATGATAAGTTGTCGTGTATACCGTCGCATATCAGGGATTCCATAATGTTTGAGGGTACAGAGAGAAGCACTAGAGGTCGATAGCTCGAAGTTTCGCTGCGTCAACCTCCTTTGAAAATTGGTGTTAAAATTGGTTGTTAAAATCTTAGAAAAGATTATTCGGAAGGAGCTGTTAAAGTATCTCGGTGAAAACCGGATCCTTTCCGAAAAGTAGCATGGTCTTAGAACAGGTTACTCTTGTCTCACTAACTTATTAGTCGCTCGTGAAAGCTGGTTCGCTCGTAAGGACCAAAAGTTACCTGTAGACGTAGCTTACATCTATTTTAGCAAAGCTTTCGACAAAGTTCCGCATTACCGGCTGTTATATAAGCTAAGGAATGTCGGGATTGGAGGCAATCTATTGATGTGGATAAAAGACTTCCTAGTTGGGCGTCAACAAATAGTAAGGGTGAACTCCAAGTTGTCTAGCTGGGAAACTGTGCTTATTGGAGTCCCCCAGGGTACAGTTTTGGGGCCAGTGTTATTCCTCCTGTACGTAAATGACCTCCCTCGTTTACTATCGTCATCGGTCTTGCTCTATGCTGATGATGTCAAGATATGGAGAGCGATAAAACGTAAGGGTGATAGCTAAGAACTTCGAAATGACCTGGAGAAATTGTGTGAATGGTCTCAAACCTGGCTATTGCCGATAAATACTTCCAAGTGTATTGTGATGCAAATTGGCCATCAAGGTACAGATACATACATGATGAATAACACTGAGTTACCTATTGTCCAGGCACACAATGACTTAGGAGTTATCATTAGTCAAAACTTAAAGACTAATGCACACTGTCGTGCAATAGCCGCCAAAGGTTTTGGAACTTTATGGTCCATATGTAGGGCTTTAAGTCATCTCGACGTTAAAACGTTTCTGACTTTGTATACGGTGTTCGTGCGTCCTAAACTTTAGTACTGCATACAGGCAGCTAGCCCCTGCCTAAAAGAAGACAGTGAACTCTTGGAAAGGGTTTAGAGAACAGCAACTGTGCTGATTCCCGGAATCACGAAGCTCCCGTATGTATTAGACTGACCAAGCTAAACCTATTCCCACTGTCATATCGAAGAATCAGAGGCGACTTGGTTACAGTTTCCGAATTGCTTAGTGATAAATTTGCACTTAATATGCCCTCATTTTCGTTGTCTCGCAAAACAGAAAATTTACGAGGACACCTCAAAAAAGTTCACAAGCCCAGAAGGAAATACATGTCAGCTGACTACCGACCTTCCCATCGAATCATCAAGGAGAGGAATTCATTACCTGAGCACGTGGTTGAGGCTTCGTCCGTCGACTCTTTCAAAAGAAAGCTGAGTCAGTTTAAAGACCATCATTGTCAGAACTAACACAGGCCACCAAGTCTCCTGTCCTTTCCAAACTGAAACTGAAACTGAAAGTGAAACTGAGTTATCAATCTCAGAGCGTTTTGCGGAAAATTGACCTTGAAGGTATAGTAAACCTCCACCAATAAGCATATTTATATGCAGAGTTAAGTCGGTTGCTTGTATTTCAAGGGTACACAGGGTAAATTGTTATATAGTTGTTATATTGAAAATACGTATCTTACTAAAACAATCTACATTCATGGTTTGTAAAATATCAACACAGCTGAGTAATTTACTAAAGTGAAACTTGTAAATTCTGTAACAATTTGATCTTGTCTGGCATGCTTCATGTAACAAACTGTTATCTGAGAATAAATTATTATTATTAACTGAAGGAAGATGTGAAAATAATGTACTTAATATATGATTCTCGTATTTTACCAAACCATTGTGGATTTTGTACAAGATAATAAAATAGTTTTCCTCACTTAAGTTCTCCTTCACTAGAATGGCGATATGTTGGTTGTGCGACTATTTTGAACACATATCATGTTCCTGAATACCTTGAGTTTTTGTTTCGCCTGACATTGAAGATGTGTTTGAAGCGCATATCAGATCAATATTTGATATTTTGAATGCCGTTTCTGTCGTTAATAATAAGCATATTTACAGGCAGAGTTGAGTCGGTAGCTTGTATTTCAAGGGTACGCAGGGCGAATTTCGGCAAGGTGGGTGAAGTTTTGTGGGTACTGCATAATTTTCGTAAGCCCACCATGCGGTTCACAGTTGTAAGATGTGATTTATGAAGACCCCCGAAGTTGTCTTCTGTTTACTTCCAAAAGAAAAATGGAATTGTAGTCTCAATTTTTGTTGTTTTGGTGTTTCTTTACTTTGATTACAGACTTAAGTTGCAGTTGCTTAACAAGTATAAGAGAATAAGAACTATGAGTCAGATACTACAAGTCCACGCTTTCCTCGAACATTCTTTCCCAAAGAATGAGAACTTAATCCCGGACTCCCTAAAACATGATTTAATTCACCAACGAACCCAGATCCCGTATCATAATATCCCGATACATAGAGATGGTATGACGGGGAAAGTAGTGGATCCTGATGTTAATTTTAAACGGTCATGTGCTACGGCTACATCTCATGGAATAAATACCACTAACATCAGAGTGAGTTTTATTTGAAACTGACCTGATCTCCGTAGGTGGAACCAACAATTATGAAATCCATCCATGAGATTAGCAAACAGGCTCTTCGTTCAACCAAAACGGAGTTTAATCTATGGAGTTGTATACGCAAATCACCTGACAGTTCTGATGATTTACCAACTGTCCCTAGTATAATTGATGAACTATTGAGAAAGGCTTCTGAGGATGTTGTTCAGAGTTGGTGTTTTCCGAAAGGGTATTTTCTTCGACTAACAGCTCAGATAAATGAAGCGGGAACTTTCTTACTACCTAAAAGAGAAACGATCACGTTTCTTAAAAGACGAATAAGGAGCTGCAAATCACGTGAATCCTATGCTAAAGAAGTAAGTTTTAAATGCTCTGCAACCGCTTGGTTTCTGACAATTTTCCTAAGGCCAATCTCACATGGGTCTCCATTCAAAATATTTAGAGTAAAATAACGACCGTGCTCCTTCGTTGTTTTACATATGCCCACCTAGCTATGTTAATTGGTTCACTTTACTTCCGTCAGTTAGTGTGTTTTTATCCTATCTTATCGAAAACATCTTACTGATAGCTTTCTTAATTTCACCTGGATACTGTAGTAGAATTGAGGTACCCTGGTCACACAGCTTCGTTTTATGGAGATGGTGACGAGACTAATAATCTTGTGGATTTTGTTGATTACTCCATTAGTGTTTGAAGTCTCGTCAACTCCTATAGATTTTCAGCTGAGAATGTTTTGGGATGGACACAAATTTCCTTTTCATTCACCAACCATGGTCATCTGATTCAGATGAAGCACCCGTTTGTTTGTCAAAAGCGTGAGCGCAATGCAGGGTGGTTTGCAGTAGTAGATTTTAACTACTTATTCCACTTTAGCCTCAACAATAGTCATAGGCGCATTAATATAGTCAGAGTAACAGTTTTAGTTATATTCGATTTGTATTTAGATCACAAGTAGTTCAAACGACCAAGCAGACAACAATTTTGTCGTGTTTAAACGAATTCTAGTCACGAACTAGTCTAATTGCTACCACCAAATGCAGATTCTGAATAAGCATTTCCGGAGCTATGAGTAACAGTCAAACTAGTTCCTTTCAACGTCCTAACGCTAATGCAGATCGGACGGTAGATTTGGCTATCTTTAGAAAGTCTTGATATGCAAATCTACCGTAGACCCTCACTCCGTACTTAAGACTGCATTATTGCTAAAATTGAGCATCCTACTTCTCGATTCGGGAAGCTTGTTCTGTGTGCGTTTGTCTAGTAATTTTGTGACATTTTCGTTCGGTTTGGTTGGCTTTGGTGTCGCACTAAGTGCCAGGGCTAAGGTGGTACAAATCGATTGGACCCCAATTAACAGTAGTCTGTGTGTTTCAGGATTAGAAAGTTTCGTCAGAGCGAGAAGTTAAAATGAAGTATTACTTTATATCGTTATCAATGCCTACGTCCTGACAAATTTCCGACCGGATACAGTAGAGGATGAGCTCTAACACGAGTTGAATGACAACAAGAAATCACGTTTGATAGATGTTTTAGTGTTAGTTGGAGATTTGAATGTGCCGATAGGGCGTCTAGGTATGGTAGAGTCGCCTTGGTGGTTAGTGGGGAGTCGTTGGTCACTGGTTGAATAACAATGATGGTCTCCTATCATTACAACGTGTTTCTGGTCAGCATTACTTTCGACACGGTCTGATATGATGTCTGTCTTCACTCTCTCTGCAACCCTTGTGTAGATTCAGATTGGTTATATTGCGTGCAGCTACCGCTTATATGTTTATGTGACGCACTCGTTCTCAAGTGCGTATATGGTCCCTTGTCGTGCTTTGGTTTGAGCCCCTTTATTTTGATTTTCATCGGCCAACAATTTCATTGTTCTGAAGTAATTGATAGATAAAAATCGACCGCAGCTTCCGTGGATACTAAATATCAAACTGAGCTAGGTTGAAGGCTAAATGTCAGTCCACCAAGAAATACATCGGAGGACTGGTTGAATTTGCCTGACGTCAGGAAAATGACAAGTAAAGTCCCTTATGGCTTTGCGAAACGCTTCGCTGACTAGCACTAAGTTTCAACAGACCCCTTGAGACACGTTGGTTGACTGTGGCTTATCACGAACTTGAAAACAAACAGATTCTTAGGTCTGCAAGTCATCCAGAAGTTGTGTGAGAACCGAACACTTGGTAGTTGAAGGATGCTAACTAGTATGGAAGCAGCAACTGCATCTGGTATCTGTGAAAAGCTCTTTCAATTGATTCGAGTCATTGAGGGGAAGGAGCTCGATGTGAGTGGAGCAATCTAGGAAGCCGATAAATCATTTCTAAGGAAACCTTGGACGGTGAGCAGAATTTTTTTTAAGCGACATTTTGGCCGTCCACCAAACTTGCCTGTCCACTATAACCAGTGAAAGCTGATCCACCTGACAAAGAGGTGGTTCCCAAGGAATCCCAACTTCCGAAGCGTCAGAGATCGCCGGGTCCAAACGACTCACTCTGGCCCTTATCAGACATCACGGCGAGCTTCTTATTCAGGGAACCGACTAGATTGTTTAGAAAGGTTTACGAAGTAGAGAGTGTTCCGACATCCTAAGATCAGGCGACTGTAGTCCCAGTTCTTAAAATGGGTTTAAGCCTTCTATGATACAAAAATCCAGAATAAGTTTACTTTCAATCGATTCCGAACTATTGGTTTCCGTCATAATTCACACTGTTTGAAACATATGGAAGACTGACTTGCGAGAAGCAGACCGACTTTCGTTCTGATCATTTGTTTATTGATTATAATTTTCACCCTCTATGAAATTCTGCATTCATGCCATACTTACTGCATGCTCTGCATACAAACATATCAGATAGAGTGAAAGTATACACCTACCTCTCCCCATTGTTCCATTCTAGCAGTTCAACGGGTTACGTAATTCCCATTTTTATTTTCCTAACGTATATGAAATACTTAGGACAGCATTAGTAATCATTTGTATGTTGTAGGCTCAACACATTTCAACAATCAATCATTGGTTCTTTACAAACTAGAGATATCAAGCAATAATGAATTACTGATTTATTCTTCCCATCCAATATCTTGTTTTTTCATTAGGATTGAGGGATTGTGAAGAATTCAACTTGATGGTAGTTAACACCATAAACTGGGTTTAGCTAGACGACCATTAAAGATCGGAGAAAGAAACTCTTTCGTCCTAGCCATCAAGTGTTTCCTGCTTTTCAACAGTAATGTAGCTAAAGCCAATTTGTAGTGTAAACTATTTCATATTTTCTACATAACTGGCTGACCTCAGTTAGATAACCAGTGAAGTCATCAAGCAGCAGACAGCTGTTTTATGATAGTGTGGGACTCCTCGGGAGCAGAGATCCACCATCTCACTTGAGATCGAACCGAGGACCTGCAGGCTTAGTGTTCAGCTTAAACCTTTATAGCATCGAGTTTTCGTTCATCACTAGTGGATGTTTGCGACAGATTACTCTCCGTGTTCTAGTGAGATACCGTGACGGGTATAATTCAACCTTGTGGGGTGTCTGGGATTTATTCACCAGTGACATTGTAAGGTGTTCGCGTAATACCAAGGTTTGATTATAGTTGGGGATGTATACTTCCGAATCCAGACTCAGTATCCTAAATGTTGGGCGTTTGCCTTCAGATCTGAAGGTCTTGAGTTCAGTCCTCGGTGGGGTCGTGAATACTCCCTGTTGAGCAGTTCCCTCCTAGAACGAAGCAACCGTCCACGTTTCCTAATTTTAAAAATTTATGCAATCACTGTCATGTAATGTAGACTATAAATCTCAGCAATCTAAATAAACCACTATTCTAATTATCTCCGTATTGGCTCACACACATTTTTATTCCAAAAAGCTTGGAATTCTTTTGAAATGTAATATGTTTTGGAATACTTATTGATTAGTTATCTTCATGTTTTAAACATGTGATCAGGGTGTTGTTGTGGGGTGGATAACGGGTCAAGCATTTTGACTTTTTGTGGAACTTTCCTTACTAACTCTTTTTGCAGTTGAAGACATTGACAAAATGTTGTATTTAAAGTATTTTACGTATTCGCATCAGTTCACCGAACATCTGACAGACTAAATAGTTCCGTTCGCATGGTTTATTTTAGTTATTTTTTTGCTCACTTAAACATTACTCAGATTGTATACACTTTTTTACCCAATGTTACATAAACAACTTCTGTTATACACTCTGCTAATGAGAAAACCAATTCTTGAATTAATCCGTTTATTAAAAGTGATGTCTAGAATTGGTCAGTTTCATTAGCAAATTGATTAAATGACACCTCACAAACTAATTGGTGTTTATTACTAAATGCTTACGAGACTTCCTCGTAAAAGGTTCCAGAAGCCGCGAGGAAGTTGAAGAAATACTTCCGTCAGTCAATGTTTGGTAGAAACTTTCCAGAAAACTCTAGAAAAGATTGGTTTCGTGTCGTCTCCAGATTAAATAACTGCCGATATTGTTCCCGATTTTGACATATTTTTAGCGACTTACAGAATATCAAGATCACCAATAAATATCCTTATACTCTATACTCAAACTAACCTTTGAAGTAAAGCATCTTTGCGCACTTCCTTCCTTTCGTATTTCGTTTGAGGTTGAAACGTAAGCGATTTCTGAGGAACTAGGTGACGAGTACTGAATGTATCATTTGGCCTTACAGATGAACTTATTTATTTAAACACAGAAATACTGGTACAAAGGGGCACCAAATACATATTCGCCACACAAATCTCAATTGATTTGTAAGACGGCTGTGATAGTCCCCAGGTGCCCAAACCGAAACAGGTGGTTTTCTTAGGGGGTCACACCCCCCGCCTTCGACTTAAAGATCTGATCCACAGAGCAGTGGAGCATCTTGAGGAGATGCAGTCCCATGGTAATCGGTGTCCAACAATTGGTTCATACGACATTTGTTCCCTCAGGATACTAGAGCTCATGTGCGCCATTGGTTTGGAGTCAGGGTTTTCCAACTCCCCTAGGTGGAATTCCCGTGTCCACCGGCCCGGTTAAAGGGCCGGACATTCGCTCTTCGTCCTCTCGATTTTGTAAACAACAACCCCGTCACGAGAAGGTAGTGAGTAGGACGTCCCTGTCAGAGGCTATGTACGCGTGGCTATGTGAGAGCATTTGGAGAGGGAGCGCGGACTCTCCCCACTCTTGGCCGTACCAGGGTATTTGGGGGCTTACCGATGAATGGCCCCATACATTTATGTGTATAGTAGGCGTTCGTTTTTTATCTCAGGTAGTGAGATAAGCATTTTAACCGCTAATTAATTATACAATAGAAAATTCAAACTGAATTTGAAATAAAATGTAATCACTGCAGGGAAATATGAGTTTGTCTTTTTGAAAACGACGGTATTTTGACCTACATTTTGTACTTTGATTTATATAGTGTTTTTCACAGATTCATTTGTGCATATCGTTTGTAAATTTACATTCCTATGATCATTATCTCTCGCTACATAGGAGGATACTTCAACACCACTCCCGACCTTGACAAAATTAATTCAGAATCCAGCACTAAATTGGGATTTTGAACTTGACACATTTCAAAAACGTGCAATCCTTTGTCTTGAAAACAACGAAACAGTATTTGTTTCAGCACATACATCATCCGGTAAAACGGTGGTTGCAGAATACGCCTGTGCTATTTGTTTACGTCGTGGGTCACGTGTTGTCTACACAAGTCCAGTTAAAGCACTTTCCAATCAGAAATTTCATGAGTTTAGGTTAGTCATCTTGTTGAATAAGTGAAATAATAGTTTTGTATGTATTTTATCGTAGTTTATATATATGGAGGTATACTTAGCACAGTTTTGTCTACCACTTATTAACTACTGTAGGGAAAGATTTGGTGAAAATGTTGGACTGATTACTGGAGATATCAAACTAGCTCAAGAAGCATCATTACTTATCATGACCACTGAAATATTATATAATATGCTGTGTAATGCATCTGAGATTATCAAAAATCTTGAAATTGTAATCTTGGACGAGGTAAGCTTTTGATTATCATTCCATTACCAAGGTTGTTTATTAAAACTATTTTGTCACAATCATATTCTTTTATTAAATTACATATCTGTGAAGCAAATCGGGCTTGACTATTATAGATGTCTGCATTTCGTACCACAAGACAGTTAATTGTGATAAGTTTATTTGGGTTTAGTTCAAATAATTCCCGAAACATATTAGTATTTTAACTAAAAAAACGTCATGGGCTTATATTCTTGAAACTATTATCACGGTTATGATATTTTATTACGTCCTGTTGACCAAAATTACTATAAAGGTATTATTTTACGTTAGAATACATTTTATTGCACTAATTGATCACTGCGACTCGGAATCACAAATCAAGTAAAGTTAAACAACCACTGAAAACTCGAAAGCATCGGATAGCCGTTTCATCGTAGTTTGGAACTCCTCAGAAGTTCACATCCACGACCCTGAAATAGGAAATCGAACCAAGAACCTTCACTCGGGTGAAAATTTCTAACCACTATACCACTGAGTCTAACTTCAATCGGTCTATGTTATTGCGCGATTATCTTCCATGAAATTCAACAATATCCATAAATCCATACTGACAGTTATCATGTGCTCACTAGTGACTAGCTTTGAGAGGGAATTTCCAGAGTTTTATTTTGAAGCCATGACAATTGGAGCTGAACCTTGTCGAGTGTGATGAATGTATCCACTGAAGATGATTGAAGTACGTCGTGCAATATCGTGAATTGATCGAAGTCAAACTTGTTCACTATTTGATCCATGCTCAGTGGTCCAGCAGTTGGACGTTCACGCGCGAGATCGAAGCTTCTGGGCTCGATTCCCACGTGCGTAGTCGTAGGAGCGCTCTGCTGAGGAGTCCTGTATCAGGATGGAACGGCTATCCAATGCCTCCAGGATTTCAATAGTGATCTAGCTTTAGTCGGTTCGTGGTTTCAGTGAAATTTACCAATCTCCACAACCCCATACTTGTAATCACTGAAAAGTAACCAACTTTATGTTTAAATGATATGACGGATTTTAGTCCTTTTAATAAGATAGAACGAAAATCCTTTTATGATAACTACACAAGAGTCAATCTGAATAATATAGTATCTACGGTAGTAGCCCCATATTCGTCGAATGCTTGTCTGCTGTTTCACGAATGAAAACTAAGGGAAACTAGGGTCGTTTCAGCTATGAACATGGATATATTGATTAAATGTCAGGTTTTATAAAGTAATAAAATTTACTGTCGCCCAACTGTAGTCGTATTCTTTTTACCTTAAGGTGGCATTCGAATTCATTTAGGAGGCGGTTTTGTGACATGGTTTGCCATAGAAAGGTATGCCAAAGAAGTACATAAACCTCGTAACAATATTACTGCTCAAGTCAAAGCTTATGACCAACTTTTACCAGAATTGTGAACCGCAAGTGGTATTGTTCAGGGTTGCCAACTATCCTAGGCTCTATGTCGATCATGGCTGATATGATAAGACAATAATTGAGTTAGATTATCTGATATATTATTTCCACTGGCAGTTGAATGACCTACAGAATCCATTTTTTTGCAATCGCTTACGATGCCTAATCATGTTGATTTTCTGGATCTAAGATTTTGTCTAAAGATGTTATTTTGTCTATTTTGTTGACAGCTGTCTTGTCACCTTAAGTCATTTCATTTGGGAGCTTGTGTTAATAATTCTGTTTCATTAGGAATTATAATTTAATCACATCGTTTCACCTATCGCTCACATGAATTCATCAATTTTTAATCCATGATACTTCCTTGATGCTGATTTGATTCTATTGATGTAGTTGCAATTTAGCAGGTAGTCCAACGGACTCAAGATTAAGATGATGTAAAGCATTTAAAGGCACGAATATTTCAGTGGTAACAACTGTGACTTTAATGTCAGTTAATTCTATTTTAATCCTTTAAATAGCATCAGTTCCCTTCCTAATATGTATTCATCCCTCTGACTAGTGTTTAGCAGCACTAAGCTAGTGAGTTATCATTTACGAGTATGATCTGATGAAACACATCCTAATATTCACCGACATATGTGTCCCTAGTCGAAAGTTTTGAGTCTATTAGTACTTTTAGTTATTTAATTGTTGTTGAGATCTTTATTTGAAGCATTACACTAATTTTATTATTTTACTCTTTAAATTTAATTTATCCAGATTATCTTCACTCTGTCTTCAATAAAGAAACGATTCGTTCACTAACAAACTATGTTTTACATTTGTCTAGTTTATCTGTTTGTCTCACCAGCGATTGCTGGATGATAAAATAAGCTGTGTTATTATTATTACTATTATTATTATTATCACCATAACTTTCATATTTCCTTCCCTTTTTCTCTTTAGGTACATTATATTAATAATCCAGATAGAGGTTACGTATGGGAACAGATTATGATAATGCTTCCTAAGCATATTTTACTGGTGATGTTAAGCGCCACTGTACCAAATAGTTTTGAAATAGCTGATTGGTTAGGACGTGTAAGAGGTTGCGAAATTCATGTTATTGCAACAGATAAACGCCCAGTCCCACTGGAACATTACCTATATACTAGCATGACGGAGCAATATACATCCCACCTTCACCTCATTGTAGACAAAGATGGTCGCTTTATAGATTCAGGTAACGTTTACACGTCAAAATAAAGAAATATGTTGTCACGTATTCCTTCATACTACTTGCGCTCAGGAGTAAAGTACTAACTCATTTACATGAAGTTGTCTATTTGTTTGACAATCTCATGTCAATGATTCTTTTCAAATGAAGGGTCCCAACCTATGATCGTAGCTATTTTCTATTGTATGAAGCTTATATGCTTTGTCAGTAGAAGTATAATTTGTCAGGTTCCTCGAAATATTTCCAGTTTTCTACCAGCTTCTAAATTATTTATGTTATCATATGGTAACGCCCTTGATTTTATGTTCAACACATTTATTCATTCTAAACTTTATATTGACACTTAAATTACGTGAAGAAAGGTGATTCCAATTCAAAGATACCTAAACGTGAATCTTTTTTTCAAGAGGTTAGAGTTTTGTGGATTTCAAGTAATAGTTTTTGTATTACATTTCTGGTCGATATCTCTGGATGAAAGATGTGTAAATGGATATTTCTTGGCCGCTACTATAAATGGTCCTTTTTAATGTCATATAGCTGGTTGATGATCCATGATAAAGGTCCTAATTAGTCAGTCTCTGATTGCTTGAAACAGTTTCACATCAAATGGCAAAACAACTGGCTGATTGACGGATTATGTCTGTATAGAAAACTGTTTCTAACACATGATGTCCTGGCACACTTCATATAAGAATCGTTTTCACTCAGGCCACAAATATCTTATCACTGATGCATACAAACAAACTTCCCCAGTTCTTTGGTAAGGAAACAGAGACTTTTTCTAACGCGTCAGGAATTCATCGAAGAAGAGAACAACTTCACTCTTTTTGTATAAGTTTTACAGTTTTCTTAAATTCGTTAAAACAAATAAAAGTTTCTGAAACCTACTTTTAAGAATAGTGTTATAGAAAAAATGAAAGTACACACTACATATTGTATAATGTTTACAATTTATTTCTGTTTATAGGTTATCAGACAGCGGCTTTGTCGAATAGTAGTCGAAGACCATATCGTTCCCCTGGTAAGTTTATTCAAGTTACATATAATAACAAAATAAATGTTAGGTGGTTAGAGTTATTAAAAAGGAAATGTCGTTGGAATAGCTCAGTGGTAACGTCTCAGGCTGTGAGACCAGGTGACACAAGTTCAAGTTCATTAAGAAGCATCACTTCTCTCAAGATTGTTGGTACACCTTACTAACGAGTGTCGATTGGTGTGGAACCTATGTTTTCACGGTTTTCTGTCGACTACCTCCATCCAATTGACATTTCAACATAGTGCATGGATGTCGAGTCACTTAGACTAGTAGCCATATCCCATCTTGACAGATAGGATTTTATCAATATTAAAGAAATTTATAAATATGATATTGATCACTACTCAGTGACTGATTAGTTGGGAAATAAATCTAATTTTATACGGTGATTATCGTCAACAAATTTGTTATGTATATTATTAATATTTTTGAAAATATATTAAAGTGGTTTTTGTTAAGATTCCGCACAAATTTTACTGAATGATCTGCATCATGAAATGAAACAGGCTATTTTAAAATGAAATCCACTTGAACAGAGAGCTTTGTTCATTTTTATTCAATATATCATCAGCACTAACCTTTGACAAAATACTATGGGATTTTTAGATCTCTCGAACTCATAATCTAATTGATTTATATCATGAAATTCAGTCAGGTTTGTGTTGCACCTCATTGGTTTTCAATAGTTCTTGAGTTAAAATCTATCTTTGGATCAAGGTACTGTTAATTTTCGAGAGGCACTTGTCGATCAATTAATATTAAGGCCTAAATATTTAACTTAATTCCTCTTCTATCGGTTGTAACTTTTGTGTCATTGCATCCATCATTGCATATTTCTCTAACATTACCAAAAAAGCATTGCTATTTATCGATCGTAAGATTTTGGTTTGCATTTGATGCTGAAAATTTCAAACATCATAAATCCGAAGGTATAATCATTTTAAGCAATCTTTTTGGATTGCTCATGTTTTATGTGTATTTATATGTATGTGTATGTGTACACAGAATGTAACAGTAATAGTAAAATGAAATTTTTTGCGGATTATGTTTGTAAACAGAGAATCAGTTTTAGTCATCTACAATTATCGAGATACACATCAACCTAATTAAGAAATTACGATGTGACTACATTTACTCCCTAAATGGAGGAGAATTGAGTGATTGGCTCGTGATAAAGTAACAGTGACTTAATAAAGGTACAAAACATATCAGCTTACGAATCATAGAATAGCTTACAAATAGGGCGATACAAAACTACATTTATTTAAATATTTTAAAATTACACTCCAAAAGTACATAATAAATTTAGGTAGGAAAGTTCTGAAAGTCCAACTTTGCTTAATATTTATCTCGTTATATCAGTTACTCAGCATTACAATTTGAAACGTCACCACCGAGCTATTTAGACCGCTACGAAACTCTCGTAGGACTAACATATATACAGTTTATCTGTAACTGAGTAGTGGCTATTACCATGTTTGTTTATCCCTTTTGAGACTGATAAAATTCTATTTATCAGGTTACAAATTTATCTAAACGTGAAAGTATCCCAAACTTAGACCGGGTTATTTTCCAACTTGATCGTAAGATTTGATGGTAAGCACTATTGTAAAGAGAAACGTATTCATTAAAATTCTTCATTCAATATATCTTAATAGCACTCAGAATAATTGATCATCTAGTTCAGTTTTTCCTTGAAAGAAATACTTAAATCATTTCTTTGTTAAATTTCGTAAACTGTTTTACTCATACATCTAATACATTTTTATGTTTTAACATTGATCATAAAAGTAAAAATTATGAAGTTTTATAGCTAAGGGTTAATAGTTTGCAGATAATTTTAAAAACAGTTGTTTGGTTTATACTACGTTAGATTTATTTTAATGATTAAGATGTTGAGGTTATTTTCAATTTTCTCAAATATTTTATACTTAGTAACTGGGCCTCATTGTCAGTAATGATAATATAGCTGCCCATATACACTTGAACATGTAAATGCTTAATCAAAAATCCGTTCGTATTGCAAATTGATAAAAATTGTTATGCAAACTTACCGAACTTTTTTATGTGTCATCACTGTCTTATTGTTTAGATTGTATGTACTCATCTATGGGCATTTCTATATATACCTACTTCATTTGTCTTTATCACTCTTTGTCGATTTTCATACATAAGCTGATTCACACGTAACCAAACATTTTTCGGGTAGTAATAGTCAAATATCATGCTGTATTCATCGATTCATTCTTACTGTCTGTCTGATAATTCATATGCAGGAAATATACATCCTCAACACTACTCGTATTCGACATTTTACTTCTACGTTTAATTAACGTAAGGAGTAGCAAATATATATATATATATATATATATATATATATATATATCATTAGAAAAATCTCTTTGACTAACGATTTAAATTATCTCCAACTATTATATATTTTAATTATTTTCATTTTATTATTTTGTTAAAGCTTGTAGCTGGAAAGACGCTTTCCTTATACAAACTAAAAATACGTGGCTTGGATTTGTTAATTTACTAAAAGAACAAAATCTTATGCCTGCGATAGCATTTGCATTCTCTAGATCATCCGTTGAAACATTAGCTAAAAATCTATCATCAGTAGATTTAACAAGTAAATGTACGTGATGTGCTGTTGCTGTTTTGCAAGATATTTTTTCGATCATCTTATTCTTTTTGGGGCTGTGAAATCGCTGGAGTTTTCTTTTTTAGTTAGTTTACATTCTGGTAGATAAAGCAGTGTGAAGATGTACTCTGTTTAAAAAAATAAGTTCTATTTACACAATACATTTCGGATAATTTGGTCACACGTGTATTAGTCAAGGCATTTGCGTGTAAAAAACAAGTGGCGGTCAGTTAAACGTTTATAAATAATCGGGAGAAAAAAATTAATATAATACAGAGAGAGAGAGAGAGAGTAAATGTTATCACACTATCATTGGGCGTAAAATTGCATAGAGGATTACCAGCGATGATCTAAGGTTACGATGAATTGTGTTTTGTAGATATAAAGGTTTTTATTCGGGAATACGCAAGATTTCTTTGAATACCTAGAAATTCGTCCTTGACAGTTTCGACACAGCGTTTTAAAATCTTTATTGAATGAATTTTAAAACACTAAAAATTTATATATTGTGAATTAGAACAATTCATATATTAGTGAACAATATTGTTTTGAATTAGATCATCAGTCTTCAATACAATACACTCAAACAAATCGAATGACTGTGTGTGGCGCATATATATCTGGTGCCTCTTCGTATCAATGTTTATGTGTTTAAATAAATAATTGGAATTATTAAACCAATCAAGTCAGCTCATAAGACAATGACAAAAGTGAAATAAACTATATCAACAAACATATTCAGTAAAAAGTACAAATTGATAGGGCAGTTATAGGTGTCCTGATTGCGATGAGAATAATAAAAGCTTGAGTCAATGTTTCATAAGAGGAGGTAGGCCAATGACTTGGAAAAGGTAGACACTGAAATAACGTTTACGAAAAATTATCAAAATTATATGACAAGAGTATTCAGCTTCGTCTCTTACATATAGCAAAAGCTCTAGGAATTCGAACCAACAATCCAAATCCTTGTGGGCATAAGTAACACCCCTATCTATCTCTTTCTTAGACGACCTAGCCTTAACAAACAGTTTTATTTAGTAATGGTGATATTTTTGTGATGTGCCATCGAGTGTAAATTCGTATTCCCGACGTTTCTTGACTTAATATTGGAATCCAGAATTTGTGTTTCTTTCTAGTTGGGGTTCGTAAATTATATAGACTTTGGCATTTGAAGCAAAGGTTCTGTGTTCGACTATTATTGTCAAAGTTAGCTGCACCTATCTCACGAGTCGCAAACAAGACGAAATGCTTGTTCTGTATTTTACTGCTAGCTTAATATTAAATTTTCCAGAACTTATGACATGACTCCATATTTTGCGACAATTCTCTCGGATTAAAAGAAAAAGAAATCAATTATATACCTGAATATCAACTATAGTCAATTAATAACACTAATCCACATGATATATGCGTGTATATTCTTTATTTAGCTGAAAAACAACAAATTACTAAGTTTTTCTCTACAATTACTGGTCGCTTGAGAAAATGTGATCGAAAACTTGCTTCAGTTAAATTTCTTCATGATTTAACTAGACGAGGACTAGCTGTTCATCATAGCGGGATGTTACCTATATTAAAAGAAGTGAGTAATATTTTTGTTGTCTGAATACTCTTGTTCTTTTCTGACTTCAATTTCACTGTGACATTTGTACTCGACATGGTGAAGAAACTGTAAATAACAAATATAGATTAGAAGTTCTCAAGAGCATTTCTGTAAAAAAAAGTGGAAGGATTGGATAGTAAAATTCATGATTACGGTAAATCAATATTTAAATGTATCACTTGTCCATACACAATTTCGTTCTTAAATTGAATCATTCTCAATACTCTCGGTACGCACAACTTTCTTAAATGACTGTACATTGTGAAATAATGTATTTGTGGTGTGTCCGGTGCTTCACGTTGAGAAAATTTGTTGATTACTTTTGTGCTATGGGTTAATACACTATTGTTCCAGCTGATACGTCTGCTACTGGGACGCTTACTACTGCCTTCGTAGCCGCTTCCTATAACCCCAAACCACTTTTACACGTCGACTGGAACAATAGAGAAAATGTACGAAATATAAGTAGAAGCTTACATTTAGGTTAGCTAATGTACGGAAAATTAAGGGTATTTGAGTAGTTACGTGTGACCTTGAGTCTCTAAAGATTTATGTATCAGTAAACGTGACTTGTGTTTCCTCATTTTCTATGTTCTGAGGAGCTTCTATTCAACACTGATTAGATATAACATTTTCCATCGTTTTAGCCAAATGTGGCTTTGAATGTGAGAGGCAGCAATTAATAGACTAAGGATAATTCAAGAATGGTAAATCGAATAATAATAGTCTATAGTTCAAAATAAAGCTCATAATAAGGGGAACATGAATACGAATAGTTTAGTTATTTAGCAGTTATACGATAAAAGATATATGCATAATATAGGTTCATAAATAGATCATAAAGTTACCATTCACTAATGGTATCGGGACATAACACTTTTTATCAGATCCTCTAGGAGAAAAATGACTATATTTTGAATAGTTCCTGTGTAATTATTTATTTATTTAAACACATAAATATTGGTACAAGGAAGCGCCAGATACATATGCGCCGCACAGATCTCATCCGATTTGTGTGAGGGCTGTGATACTGCCCAGGTGCCCAAACTGAAGCAGGTGGTTTTCTTAGAGGGCTACACACCGAGCCTTCGACCTAAAGGTCTGATCCACAAGGCAGTGGAGCATCGTGAGGAGATGCAGTCCCATGGTAGTCGGTGACCAACAATTGATTCATACGCCATTTGTTCCCTCAGGATACTGGATCCCATGTGCACCGTTGGTTTGAAATCAGGGTTTTCCAACTCCTCTAGGTGGACTTTCCGTGTCCACCAATCCGGTTAAAGGGCCGGACATTCGCTTTTCGTCCTCTCAATTTCGTAAACAACAGTAGTGTCACGAGAAGGCAGTGAGTAGGACTTCCCTGTCAGAGGCTATATACGCGTGGCTATGTGAGGGCATTTGGAGAAAGAGAGCGGACTCTCCCCACTCTCGGCTTTACCAGGGCATTTGGGGGCCTGTCTGTAGACCATTCGCAGCATCGTATACAATATTCAAGCCCATATTGTTAACTATCGATTTTCAACTTTTCTTCCAAAAATTAAACTGTTTAATTACAACAAGTATGAGAGATTAGAATTTCCATAATCACTTTACTTACGATTGCTTCCTTTTCCTCTGTATTCTCCTCTCTCTTCGTATAATATCTTGTATGGCTAATCTTCCCTATTACTACTATTATCGTCACTACTTCTTATATTGTAGGATTTTTCTGTGGTGATATAGTGTATGTGAATCTAATATGCATGCATTCCAGATTGAACAACATAACTAATACTGATGCCTTTGTACATTTGCGTTGATTCTTTCAATAACAACTACTTTCCTTTTCTTTCTTTGTTAATAATTTTATATCCACTAGACTGTAGAACTTTTATTTAGAGATGGATTAGTGAAAATTCTTTTCGCTACCGAAACAGTTTCTACAGGAGTTAATACACCTGCACGTTGTGTAGTTTTTACGTCGCTTGAAAAATTTGATGGTCAGAGTAGACGTCCTTTGGATCCAAGTAAGTATTCTAGTGTAATATATAGTCAGGCAGCTCTGTTAAGCATTAATATATATATATATATACTGTGGTATTATTTAAAGAGTATCTTAACCGCTGAGTTTTTATATTAAAAGCATTTAAGAAATTCACACCATCACTTCAATAGTCGTTCATATTTATTTTCTGTTTGATTGTATAGTATTGCTGCCTATTATCTATCCTTTTCACCAATTCAATTAGTTCAAAGTTTCATGCTCAATTTTTTTCTTCAAATCAAACTTTAACAATATTTCCATTTATTTTTAGTGTTATTTTCCATAAAATATTATCATTATCATTATTGTTATTACTATTACTATTTTTGTTACCAGGTGAATTTACTCAAATGGCTGGCCGAGCAGGTCGCCGTGGTATAGACGCTAAAGGTCTTGTAATTATTTTGGTTAGTACTATTGGTAAATCATTAAAATCATCTGTCACTGGTCTACCGACTGAAAGTCTTTTGCGAAATATGATACTTGGAAGACAAACAGAATTAATTTCAAGATTCAGGGTCACGTATTCTATGATTTTAAATTTACATCGATCATCTTCACTAACTCCACAGGTAATTTGCATCTTAGTAAACCTTGTATTTAACACAAATGCATTTTCTTTAAATCTTTTAATCCGTTAACGCGAGTTTAATACACTTTACTAATCAATTTAATAGTATGTTCTCTGATCTAGATGGTTTAATTCCGGAGCTGTCATTGTCTCCCTGAATAACTTCATTAGTGCGTACTGTTTTCACATAAAGTAGTGTCACTTAAACCTTTTTGATATTCTATCATCCTAATGAACTATTTTTTGTTTGTTTGTTATTCTGTTCAACTAATCTTTAAAATACTTAACTCTTACTGGGCCATATTGTCAAAGTGTTGATGAACATGTTTGCACCTGTTTTCTGTCAAATCAATCCTACATGAACCACAACTTTTTAAGGAGTCTAGTTCGTATTTCCGAATTTACGACCAACGTAATAAGACGAGGTGGCACCGTTTACTCTTAACAGTGAGCACAAGTATAGCTTCATAAGCTAGGCCTTTGGTCTCATTTATAATCCGAATGCTCCAACTTATGAATTTTCTTCTACCTCTTTCACCACATACGCGTGTTAAGTAAGCTACCATATATGTGATAAGTGGTTAATTACTCATACAAAGTTTCTCACCTGTACTCAGTCTTCTAAGTCAGTACACTAGAAATGCAGTTGAACTTTTTGTATTATTTTACACCGTTTTTAGACTGAATGTCAGCTGATGGTGGTATACATGGTATACAAGCCCAAAACACGCTATAATCGAAAATGATAATTAATTGGGTCTTTTTTTAGTTGGAATAATGAGTAGATGATTTATGAATATGCCAGCAACCTAACAATGAAAAAAATAATCATGGTAACATTTAATGTATCAATCTCTGTCAAGTACACTTCGTATTCAAGAAAAGTACCTAACCTTTAGAGCACTGAGTTAGTGTCCGGCGTTTTACACTTAAATTTCAATTAACTGGCGATACTGCAGATCATCTAATTTCATTGTTTGGCAGTTGTTTTACAGTCAATATGCTTGAACTATACTACTGGCTACGGCTTCCCAATCTAGAACTTCGGAAATTACCCTTCCATTTCTAGTAGAGAAAACAGCTTCTCAGTGCTTCTTAGCTTCCAGTGGTTGCATAATTAAGGTCAGTTCGTAAAGTAAACTATCGAATTCAACAATCTCCACAAACCGCGAACTAACAATAACGAAATTACTTTTGTCTACAGAAATGCTATTTTTCTCAATTTTGCTGAGGAAACAAGTGGATCCAATGCAATAATCAAATCAACGCTGTCGCAGTTGGTGTTGTTACGCGTTTACACAATTTATTTTACCTTTGGATAGATGAACTATCCTAATATTTTCAGTCATTTTGTCACATTTTTGTGATCATGAGGATGTGTTTGTAATAGTACGTATATCTCCATGTGGTTGGCTGAAAAGCCCTTCTACATTTTTCACTTCTTGTTGTTTGTTTGAGCAAATCAGTGCCTGAAATAAACTCTTCCAACTCAATTCGTGTTTGACTAATGTAACCACCGTTACCCGAATGAGATTAGCCTAAGAGTGATATGTGTGGTACAACGGGAGATTTATATTTTGTGGTCCATTCATAATCATCCATTATGAAGTCAGATCGTGGGCATCAATGGTAATCATCCGGTAGACTAACGTCTTTACTTGTCAATGAGTTGAAAAAAGATGTGTTCATAACACTATTGGTTTTCTTCCTAATAAGATCTCGAGTATTTCTCACTTACGTCCATTGATAAATATTGCTTTTCATTCATTAGTTTGAATTCTTATTATGAAGCTGAAATAGAAATTATGCTTATACTACGTATTAGTATAAAGCAAATTCCTATTATTTTATCCTTTATTTTATTCTATATTAGGCTAATCAGTATGGTATGGAACTGTATATAGCAATTTAGTCATTCACTTAATTTACGCAACATACTGATTCTTTTTCTTTTTTCAAATCATGAGAAATCCCTTATTGTTTTCAATAATTCTTATTTCTTTCAGGATATTATGAAGCGTAGTTTTATGGAAGCAGCAAGTCATCGATGGGAGACCAAAAAAAGACAACATTTATCGGTACTAAATAAAAAGTTAAATGAAACTACTACAATAATTTCACACAATAATAATATTAGTAATATTATCACCCAGGTATCAAACATTACAATGTCAACATCCATTGAAGGTACTAGTGATTTGTTTAAATCTCTGATTGACAGTCTTGATGTACAAGTTAAATGTCCACATAATGGAGTTGAATGCTGTGATTCTATAGATCAATACTATCAAGTTAGTTAAAATGCCGATTTACCAATACGTTTTTGTGGCTTTTCTCACATACGATAAAATACGTACTAATTTCTATCAGTTTGATAAAATAATATGTTCGGTTGTGTGGTGTTCAATTCAGACACCAATACACAGAAGCTTCTGTATACGCGAGCTCAATGGGTTGCTTCAATGAGAAAACCAAGATTGAGAAGACGTTTTGCTGGAATACATCTGTAATCATGTATATGTATATATATATATATAACTATTAAATAGGATGGTTGGATAGTGGCTAGCTGTAAAATCCGTGATAAGGGCTGATTGGCAAAGAAAAGGTTAATCAGCGTGCTCCAACATAGTCCTGTGTGGTAAGTGATTAAATCCAGCCTGTGCGCTTCTAACAGAACACGTTAGCTATACACAAGTGGATCCAAATGGTAATATATTCGTATTGCGCTAAAAACCTGTTATTATGAACACCGAATCCTTATCCATTAGGTGACTGAATCACTTGTAGTTGCAGTCAAAATCAAAGCATCTGTTCATGAACAAGTGCATCGGCAGTAACTGAACCAACATAGTCATTCATAAGCAACATAGAACGTGATATATATGTGCATTGTTCTAAGTTACCATAGCATATCAGATCAGCAGAATGGTATAATCAATAACAATCTCAGTCTAATAGAAACTGTACATACATTTGTTTTAGTGTGGTGTGTGCTACTTATACGGACAGACATCAGTAGTATCTATCAAGATTTGGAATTAGAATTCCTACAGACAAAAGAGGAAGATGAGCAGAACAGAAAGAAAACGATAAGCAGTCTCAGCAGCAACTGGAATGAAACAACGACGAAACTTGTAAGAGACATTTCAAGGGATGTGTGCAAATGATGTATTCAATGTATTGTTTTCGTATTTTACAAATGCATGGTGTGACTTTGCACTATACAGTAAATTGATCTACCGCCTAAGAATTCGTTCATTACAGAAGTATCAAACACTACACATAGACAATATAATTATAGAAGAAAGAATGAATTCGCAGCATAAAAATGGTAGGATTATTGTGAGACTGGGTTTACTGAGGGCTAAAGGGTATGTGCACTACTGGGACCGATCGTGAACCGTCACTCGGTTTCCAACCGTTAACTGTAAGGACGGAAATGGGAGCCCTAATATATAATAGAAAATTGATGATATGATAAATATTTTCTATACAAGGTGTTTTTTCTCGATCATCAATAAAGTTTAATAATAATAATACCAATACAACTAATACTATTACTAATGGTAAAAGTGTAAAAATAATACTGCTAGCAATAACAATAATAAATATTTAGTGACGACAGTTATGACTAGTGATAAATATACCTTGTAAAACTTTGACAATGTCAATTTCGATTTTTGGTAGATTGTTATGTTTTGCTAAGTATGTGTTAATGTTTTACTTTTGATTGGTAGATTAATTCAGGCTTTGTTTTCCCCCAAATGCCCTGGTACGGCTGAGAGTGGGGAGAGTCCGCGCTCCCTCTCCAAATGCTCTCACATAGCCACGCGTACATAGCCTCTGACAGGGAAGTCCTACTCACTGCCTTCTCGTGACACTACTGTTGTTTACGAAATTGAGAGGACGAAAAGCGAATGTCCGGCCCTTTAACCGGATTGGTGGACACGGAAAGTCCACCTAGAGGAGTTGGAAAACCCTGATTTCAAACCAACGGTGCACATGGGATCCAGTATCCTGAGGGAACAAATGGCGTATGAATCAATTGTTGGTCACCGACTACCATGGGACTGCATCTCCTCACGATGCTCCACTGCCCTGTGGATCAGATCTTTAAGTCGAAGGCGGGGGCTGTGGCCACGTAAGAAAACCACCTGCTTCAGTTTGGGCACCTGGGCAGTATCACAGCCCTCACACAAATCGAATGAGATTTGTGTGCCCATATGTATTTGGTGCCCCTTTTGTATCAACATTTATGTGTTTAAATAAATAAATAGATAACCTTTTCACAAGATTTATTGTTCATTACATATATGCACATAAATGTTTTTAAAGTTGTATAATGAGTGTGTATACGTTGTCGAAATATTTTATTTTGTTACACAGTTGTGTTACAAATATCGCCAACTAACAAATTCAATTATTTCTACACTTGATGTAAAATACGCACAACATTTACAGCAAATTTTTTGTCCCGGTCGTTTAATACTGCTCCAATTTATGATAAACCAGTCTGTTTGGTTAGTACCAGCTGTTATTATAAATTACCATTGGACAAAAAGGAATAAAGATTCTGGAAATCAAATAATGGTGCGTATGTGACTTTTTTTTAAAAGTATTCGTTTTATAAATGTTTACAATATGGCTTTTGATGTGATTGATATTAGGGGGTCAAACGTAGGTCGGCCAGAAGCCAACCTAGCTGAACCTACATGACGATCTCTAGAGAATCGATAACTCACATCTTAAGTCATTCACTACCAAGCTCACCATTGAACTATCTGGACCACGACTGACGTTTTGTTGGACTAATCTGTTTACGTTGATTGATCACTGAATTGAGACCAACGTCGCTCGCGATGCTCATAGTGCTGATGACAGTCTATTGTTCATATATGTGTTTGCATCAGATGTATACACAATCAGAACATGATGAAGGACCAACAAGCATCGATTTGTCTTCATACTTTATTTGAATTTATTCTATGTTGTCAGCTTACAACGTTGCTATTTATAAAAGAGATTTTGATACCTTCAAATGTTGACAAGGTACACGTCTACTCTATACCCATCCTCTAGATAATATTGTACGTTGATTTTCAAACTTTTCCAAAATCCTCGAGTACTGTTTGTTACATATCGGAAATAACCGTTAAGGTATTAGGGTTTTCGGTTGACCTATGGTAACTTCTATTTACAAATGATAAGTGGTTCTTCTAATACGACACTATGAATAAAAAGTCGAATAGACCGGACACATTAACCACACCAATAATTCAATGTTAATAATTCACATGGTAATACGATATAGAGAAGATGAAATTTTCAGGATAACTTTATAGTCCAAACAGCAGTCAGAAACTGAATAGGAACAACTCCGTATAGGCAGTAACATACAATGACTGTAGACCACATAACAATGTTAGCAAACTGGAATTGAAAACAGTTAATCAAGTATCACTGAATGTTATTAAAGAAATGTTGTGGTAGAAAAATATTACTGAGGTTGTTTTGTGAAAAAAAATTTAATGTATTATAACAAATATTTAGGAAACCTATCTCCTATGAACATTGTTTTTGTCAGATAATGTCAAAATCGTACACACTATTAGCCGCTTATCTGTTATTATGGTGTTTAGTCATGTATTGGAGGATAAAAAATATATTAAGTTACTTACAGCTTAAACAACCTATGTTTAGAAGTTAGTTTTCTTCTCATTTTAGTCAGTCCTTGATAGTATGGTGGTATCAGAAAATACTTTGACCGTTTTTCTACAACAAACGGAACCTTTAGATGTTTTACACATAATAAGTAAAATAACAAGTGTAAACGTTTAACACGTTTATGGGGCTGTTGAACTGAAATAACTTAATCGTCTCTTTATGAATGTTAGATTATTAAATAGTGGTTGGTCTCTTAGGTTTCGAGCTTCGTAATGTACCTGTCTCTGACTATAGTGATTATAATTAATACTCGAGATGTACTATCAAGTGTATACAACCTATCCGTAATGTAAATTCATTGAGCATAGTGTGATAACCGCACCACAAATAAATTAGATGAAACTAACTGAATTAATGACTAGTCATAGTGATTGTGATTAGTTTTGTGATAGAACGGTTAGACTTATTAGTTTAGCTATTAATTATGATACATATTACATGACCAAGACGACTGAGTTGTCGTAATCAGCTTTAAAAGATAAACATCAATTCATTAATATTTCTTGGACATACTTTTGCATGGTATACGTTATCTCATTGTAATTGTTTTATCAACGTGATGACAAAAATGTTAAGTTTTATTGTTGGTTCATATTTTTCCATCAATGGGTTAGTTAGTCAGTCCGAGAAAGGTTCCCAAACACTACCTAAAGAAATTATTCCTAGGGTGTACCTTCAATGTTCAGTCTCGATGTATTAATAAGCTCCACAGTCGAACTGATGACATCATCTGGAGTTCACTAACAAATTTTTTCACGGTCAATCTTAAGAACACAGTACTTCAACAGATGATTGACGGCTTTCACTTACACAAAAGATATATGTATGACACTTTTATTATTTGTGATTAAAAAAGTGAACTTAATGTCAACCTCGATAAGTTCAATAATTGTTATCAATTCATCAAATTTACATTGAAATCCGAATCAAATTCAAAATTTCATATCCTCGATGTTTTAATAGATAGAAGACAATCGTACATTACATAGGTTTATATTACCGAAAATTCACTTGGAATCGACAATGTAAGCATTTTCATAGCTGGGTCACATTAGAGAGAAAAGAAATTATTTCAATATTCACCATCAAGGGCTAGACCAATATTCTCGAAAGACACGATTTACGAGGAAACTATTCAACCTTCGACATATTTTCCTCAGAAACATCTATTCACCCAGGTTTGTTAAGCGAGAAATGAAACATGAATTACAATCTGCAAGACCTAGGAAACTCTCTTCCTGAACGTTAAGTTCGAAAAAGATCCTGCTTATGAAACTTTCAAGAATCGTCTAACGAAATCCTTGAGGATACTTTTTATGCCGTCAAGCTTTTCATCATCCTTTCCAGTTACATCATTTATGTATGCGTGAAGAGCGAACTCCCACATTGGACCACATAAATATATATTTATAGATTCACTTTTTCTGTGAGACAGATTACATTGCCCATACAGTCGAGTGCTTTCAAATGCATTTCTAAACATTATCCTTTATGGCTTTCAAAAGGCAAATGTAAATCAATTAATAGTTCAATATTAGAACATCTTGTGAACTCTAGTTAAATGACTTCATCTAATAAGTTCTTTAAAATTACCTATACAGTCCGACGATTTGTTTCGAAAAAATCACAAATTAATAACTTACGCACTGTGGGGACTCTAGTGATACACCTTTTTCAAAACTTAAATTCTGTGTACAAAAGAGGCATACACAAGCTATCAATCTTCCATGGCTATAACACTTAATTTTCATATATGGTAATTTGACTTTATTATATTCTTATAATGTTTTCAATCTTATTAGTTTTTATCATTCATTTCTATCACTTTCTTGCTTTTGAAATTTTTACGTTTTTTAATTGATACTTGTCAAGTGAACAATTATCCTTTTCCCAGTTGGCTTCATCTTATTGTCTTTTATTCTGCTTTCAACTACTAAACAACTTTCCTTGACACATGATATGATGTAATCGTCCCCTTATTTTTCAATAAACCATATTATTTGTAAATTAACTATAAATACGGCTTGAGTGAATAATATATCGACAAGAATATATATTTTCAAAATGATACATTAGTCTGGTCGGTGTAATACTTTGTTTCATACATCTATTATTGATTCCTTTCTCCATCATGTTCTACGTTAAACGTTTTTGCAAAATGTTTATCTAGCTCAATGTTATTCAATGGACACTACCTATCAATTTACCAAATTCGTTGACACAGGAAGAGAGACAGTCCTCCTCATCAGAATTAGTATTAGTAGTATCTGGAAGCGATACTATCACATCTGAACAAATCAATAATAACAAAAATACTAATTACTATGAATATGATGAAATTGAAGAGAAAATTCTACGTCATTCCATTAATGAAGATAGTTTTAAGGCTACCAGTACAGTACCAGTTCCACCACATTTAATGCCAGTTTTTGTACCATCTGTAAGTGTTGCTTTGTTTATATTTACTTTTAATTTATTCATAAAAATTCCTTCTGATGATCTTAGTGAATTTGTGTATACATCACACCGGTATAATATATAAATTTTAATGTACCCCAATGGTATGTTATATTAGATTTTTCTGTACTCTATTTTACTTCCTTTACCATGTATAAATGCCTGATCACTACGAAGAACTATCTAATATGACTAAGTATTATGTAATCTTTATAGTATATATATATATATATATATATATATATATATATATATATATATATATATATATATATATATGTATCCCTTAGAGATTGAAGCCACATGTTCAATAGTCCATGTCTCATTTATGAGAATAGAAAGCCAAATGTCGGCCAATATCATGAGCCTATTGTTTGGCTGATGTTTGGTTGACATAATGTATCAATTTGTTCATCCAGTGGGAACATAATATTCGCAATTGTATACTGACCCAAATTTTCATGCTTTTAAAGTAATGTAATCTTACAATATTAATCCAAAAACATGAAAAATAGTAATAAAATAAAGGCTATTGGGAAAATAGACCCCGATCAGTTCTAATTGCAAACGATACTGTATAGATTTGTTTTAAAGAAAATTTAGACTCAACACCATTTTGCACCGTGTGACTACCCTTTTTAAATAGTAGTTTTTTATTTGAAATAAAGCAGTGTCGTATTACATCAGATGTAGACATTGTTTTTATTATTGTTATTTTTATTATAATTACTTCATATCTGCATTTCTATTCATTTAGTCATTAGACGATGGATATTCACGTTTAACACGTCAATCAGTCTCATTAAGTGATTCGCTTGTGAGAATCTGTGATCAAATTGTTACCTTTCAAGATATGAAATGCAATTTTATTGATAACAATAATTCGAAATCACATTCGAGTATTTTAGAACTTCTATTACAAAGCATTAAACAAATTAATATTAGTCGAAAAGATGATGCTAAATTATTATCTGTCAATGGCAATGACCATCGGTTTGATATTTATTTACAAGTTATTAATTCGGCACTTTTTAATTGTGTAAATTCAATAGTACCACAAGAGTCATCATTAAAATCTGCAGTTCACTATACTACTCTAAGAAATGTACCAAAACAAATGGATTTTAAAAAGGATTCAAACCTTGTAATGGATGAAGAGGTGAATGACCTATTTTTTTAAATTTTTGGTCTTTTTCTTCAATGTTTCGGAAGTCAGAATTAATCTATATGATTTATTAATCTCAGTAGTAAGAACTTGAATTCCATTGTTAATATTCTTAACCGAATTTTAATCAATCCTGAACAGTAACAATAGAATAATTAGACCATTTATTAGAAATATTATGCAACTCAGTGGATTTCTCATTAGAATTTGAAAGGTACTATATTCGACTCTAAATATGAATGTCAACGCGGTCATTAAGGTGCATCTAGATGAAGATTTCTAAATAAAGTAAAACATGCCTTCCAGGTTCCACTGATACCGAATACTTATCTGTTTTAAATAACGTATGTGCTGTTGTGGTCGATATTCAATATAATTGATATGACGTCGAGAATGATAATGATTGGCTGTTTTGCTTAGTCAGACTTGTAGGTAATCTGACAGATGTAAGGTGATTTATATATTCTCCTGTCCTTATTATTATTATTGTTGATTGTCCATTTGTTGTTGGATTGTATCGGTTCGGTGTGGAAATATATATTTACGTTCTTGTCAGGCTAATCACGTATCCTTGATCTGAGTTGTGTCGAAGTCCTTTAGAGTAGACACTGGGAGAGAATTTAGTGTGGATATTCGTCTAAGGCAAATTAATGTCCCATTCACGTATACATGAAAACGGACTGTTATAACAATTGTCCTTAAACTTCATATACATTTCGTCCTGATAACCGTCGCTAGATAATGCCCCAACGGTTTATTAATCAGAAGGCGAATACGAAGTGTTGAGTAAGTTTATTATTGCGCTACTTACAGATTACCAAAATTGCAGGTACATTAAGCAACCATGAAAGAGTAGCGTTGAAAAGCGAGCGATCAAGCGAGTGAGCCGACAGGATTAAAATGTACATCTTTACGCATAGTGAAATGAATAATCATCGAACCAACTAAGCGACCAATAGTGTGGCTAGCAGAATGAATATATGCGTAGGCAGTAAACAATATTCAGGCATGCACATTCACGTAAGCATTGCAATAATAAAGGTACAATGGTATAGATAAGTTGTTATTGTACGAATGACTGTCCGTTAAATAAGTTAAAAAAAGGCTTAACCAAACTGAATGTGAACAGATTCAATCGCACGTGAGCAATATCCTTTATTGTCCAGATCACACCTCTTAGTGAACTATTGAGTTACCATTAGTGTTACAGAGATGAGGATACCTCACCAACACTTAATTTAGAAAAAAAAGATTAGAGATTTCAATGAATTGATACTATGTATGATTCCTCTAACCATTCAGTTTTATCATTACTATACTACTGAACAACTTCTTATAAAAATGGAAGATAACATAAATCCACTAACAAGTAAGAAACGTTAAATAACATGAGAAATCATTTTGTATCATATAAGTATTTGGATGTTATTGCGTCACCAAGACCTAGGAGATATAATTGACTTCGTTACTGGCATTCCGTGAAATACTTTCAAATGTTTTTCTTTAACTAGATCGCTGAAATACTAGGTTTGTCGAATATTTCTAGAAAGTATTTTTATTATGGTTGCAGTGCACATGCTTTTAAAGCATTTGAAATGAAAATCACTTTGACACCTTGTTGATTAAAATATTTCTTCCTTGAAACCATAATGTTTAAACGAGAGCATAATAACATTTCTGCAAACTTCATGTTATCCCGTACGTCTATTTAGAAGAACTAGGGGATAGCATATTTAGACGGATGTTTCGAAAGTGCCTGGGATTTTAGTGAATTTCACTTTGAATGAGTCTTAAACGTTAGAAATATGCCTTTCTTTAGAATAAAAAAAAACCATACTCAGCATTCTTCATTAAATATATTCCCGAAAATATTGTCCTGTCTATGCGTCTTCTTTGAATACGACACACTTTAGTTCATCCCAGCTTATCTATTGAAAAAAAAGCAAAGTGGAATATAGATCTTTAAATGAAATGCTCAGTAAAAACTATGCGGCATTCACTCACTAAGTGAATGACGGAATCCCTAATGTTGCACTCATGTTGAACATTGAAAAAGATATGCTCTACAAACTGACGTATATTTCCTATCAGGTTTGCCTTGTAACATAACTAATCTGGAGATCTTTCGGTGTCTATTTACCTCGGAATTTAAAAACTCAAGTTATTGTCCTACTGTAACTACGGTAGTACCGAGATATTTTAATACATGTTCTATTGTTAAAATGTTCAAGGGTCTCACCAATTATTCGAGTCGGCTTAATCTAAATTTGGGACATCGTTATTTCGGTGGTTTTTGATAGCTTAAACAATGTTTCCTTTAGCTTCAGACAACTATGTGCGTGATTAGTTTTGTTTTACAATTTTCTAACATCCATATCCAATTCATGTTCGCACCATCGATTTGTTATTCATGTGGGCGTAAATGCACACAGTTAAATAAAGCACCCAAACAGCTATGAGAGTAATATATATATATATATATATATATATATGCAGGAATTTTCATTTCTTATTGGGTCCATATTTGTCACTTGTGTGGCTTATTGTCATTATGTTAAAACTACTAAAACTTGGAATGTCCATATTCTAGTTCAAACACAAACGCTATTTGATTTCCTATCGTTTGGACAACATGTACAGTCACTAAAATCTGCTTTTTCAAAGTGCGGTATATATGTTGGTTTTTTCGCTCGACTCAGTTCGAGTATACCAAAACTTTAAACAGTATACTTTGTCCTCCGTTAGAACAAAAAGACAATTAAGTAAGAAGGCCTAGTCATCTACGTGAGTTATGATGCACACAAATCATGTTTAGAGACGTTTGTTCTAACAGCCCAGAAAAAGGCATATAGTCTGAGACCTTGAATAGCTTCCTACAATAGCGCGTCCTGTTTACAAATTTCTACTTATCTTTTGTGTTTTAGATGATATGTTAGCCGCTCTGTTTATATACAAACACATGACTCGTCTTAAACTTTACCAGCCAACCAACAGCACACACAGATATTACCAGACGGGTGAAAAAAGATATATTTTTCATGTTTTTTTGGTTTATAAGATAATCATGACAGACATAGATAATCACAGGAAAAATGTACACAGTTTGCTACAGTTTAAATGTAATTTTGAGTTTCAGATAAATTTATCCACTCGACCAAACAATATTAAAAGTAGGATGAAATCATAGTGACCTGAACGGCAGGTGTATGAAAATTTTGTATTGCCTCTCTCACATTTCCTCCAGCCGATGTACTAAAGTGTATAAGGACGTTGTCAGTTTCCCATAAATCTTATCTCAGCATAGATAAAATAGTCAAACATTCGTAATTGGCGGCCTTCTTGAACATCTGGGACACCTGTTTCTGCAATGTGGATATTCCAACAAGTTGTTTGTTTGTGCTTGTTCTGACACATCATTATGTTTATTAATCTCAGAACCGAATAATGTGCGTTTATAAAACGTCTACAACCTTCCGCTGTACAAGTTGCAAAAATAGCCCAATCAGAGACATCGTGGTTGCTGGAAGTATGTAGCGAAAAGAATATACATTATTTAGTCGTCGATTCCTGGACTGCTGACTTCTACCTGGCGACCACTCAATATTTATCGCAAGGATCGATCCAGAAATAAGAAAAGGAAACTTGTTGAAATACTCTTTGTTGAGAATTCTATATTTTACCAAAAGTATAATATTGATCAAAGCTAATAATAATAATAACAGTAATAATAGTAGTGACAGTAATAATGAACATGGTTATTGTTCGTAGATTTAACTCTATTGCAGTTAAACAATAGATAATTTAATACCTTAATTTACGATAATGTAGTTGGAAATCTATAACCAAAATGATTCAGATTCTTTAATTAATTAATTAACTGAATTATTTCCATTGAAATCCTCAACATCGGTATTATTCCATGCTTTTCAATTTTGTTCCTATCAGGTTTTCCTATTTTCTGTATAAAATTATGTCTCATATCGGTTTCCGTCATTGATGCACAGTTTTAATTGCTTTCCGTTTAGTCTATAAACTGATAGTTGTAGTGTGATATTGAAGGGCTCAAATATTTGTCAAAGTTGAAATCTCCACAAATCCCCTTCAAATATTTGTGTTAAGAAATTCCTTAAATTTAGTTTTTATGTTTACTGATATTCATTAAACTACCACCAAAATCCGAGAAACACTGAATTTACACAATGATGAGAAGTTTCATAATATGGCAAAACATTTATACAATGCTTTCTGGTTGTCAATAGGGGTCCAACGAAGATCAGCATATGATATGTGATCTATGACCATCACACATTCTTCATACATTTTGCTGAAAGATATACTATTTAAATTGAAAATCAGTGTCATCACCATATGATAGACTGATTTGTTTTCAATAAATGAATTTTTTTGTTATATGAATGAGCGAAATTCGTTCAAACAAAAATAAAGTTTATTGGTAAACACCAATGATAAGGTATCAGTGGGGCATAAATTGGATTAAAGTACGTTCCGTGCAGGATTATGTTGGGGTACGCTGATTGGCTATTTCTTATCCAATCAACACTAGTGGATACTTGGAGAAGACTCGAAAATCTTATATAAAAACCATAAATATGCCAACATTTTTGTTATTGTGATCCCTACCTCCATCCAACCTTTTTATCTGAAGCATAGTTACTTTCCTGTTCAAAAGTGTTCTGGTTTGGGAATTTGTCGAGTGAAGTAGTGTCCCAGACTTCTAAACATTAAAAGTAGCTCGGTCGTAATAAGATAATAATAACATTCAGTGATACTTGATTAACTGTTTCCAATTCCAGTTTGCTAACATTGTTATGTGGTCTACAGTCATTGTATGTTACTGCCTATACGGAGTTGTTCCTATTCAGTTTCTGACTGCTGTTTGGACTATAAAGTTATCCTGAAAATTTCATCTTCTCTATATCGTATTACCATGTGAATTATTAACATTGAATTATTGGTGTGGTTAATGTGTCCGGTCTATTCGACTTTTTATTCATAGTGTCGTATTAGAAGAACCACTTATCATTTGTAAATAGAAGTTACCATAGGTCAACCGAAAACCCTAATACCTTAACGGTTATTTCCGATATGTAACAAACAGTACTCGAGGATTTTGGAAAAGTTTGAAAATCAACGTACAATATTATCTAGAGGATGGGTATAGAGTAGACGTGTACCTTGTCAACATTTGAAGGTATCAAAATCTCTTATAAATAGTGCATTCTACTGTGTTATCTGGAAACACTAATAGGCGTATTCGTCGTAGCATGATTCATTGTAACTAAACTTTACTGAATTCATTGTTTGTGACATTTTTCGCTTTCAATTTACAGAGTTCCTTAATTGAAACATTTTTAATGAATCAATGAACAATCTGCGACAAATACGCAATCTGAGTTTTTTTTAAATAAAATATAATTATCTTTGTATAACACAAGTGAGCATTTAAAGATCTGCATCTAAGACTGCGTAATCATTAATTAAAGTGATCAATATAATACATTTGACTTTTTGATTATTTTAATTAGCATCTTTTAATTAAGTATATCTGTAAACTTAATGACGAATTCTTCTCCGGAGATGTTTATCAACTCTTGCTGCAATAAATTAACTTCATCATCATGTCACTTGTTATTTAGTAATATCATCTTATCTTTTCCCAATTGATTATCGAATTGTAATACTTCACAGAATGACTAGGGAGAAAATTACTGAAAACTAGGAAATGGCCTGGCAGATCGTTTATTATTATGAATCATTGTAAATAGCTCTTCACCAACGTTCATCCACGTTCACAATAGTGGTACAAATTAGACCTCAGGCCTTGTAGCAAGCGCCAAACTAAATAAGTGTCCACTCATTTTATTTTGTTTTTAGCTGTAACGAGTTCAGAATTGGTATTAATCGTATTTTAACATCATCCAAAGACGCGAAACTGAGATTAATAAATTTTGACTACTTAAAAAGGAAATTCAGTAGCAAAATTATGATTCATTGTTTTCAGTTATGACATAATGCATATTTATGTGGCTAATGTGTATCGAAAGCTAGCCGTATGCTTATTGTATCCATAAGTCAGTTTATGAAATTCTTGATTCAATTTCTATCTTACATTTATAGAACCATAGTAACATAATTACATTCGTGATAACATGACGTCGCAAGATTGTTTGTAGTTAGTTGTTTATAATGTATTATGCTTGAAAATTTAAAAATTACACCGTTGAACTCCTAGCATGTTTTTCTGGTTTTAGTTATGGACTTTTATAATTACCATGACCAAACTACGCCTTATTATCCCAAAAGTAATGGGTTAAAAGGGGTTCTGGTGAACATTATGGAACCAATTGGTATTTTATTGTTTAGGTCTTAATAATTTTCTTTTCCTTAATCTTAACTAATTAAAGTGTGGTGTATAAATATACCTTCAACATGTCTACGTAGCCGAGTATAAGTGGTTATAAACCTTAAGGGGTTTGCAATTGTTTAAAAACATTACAGATTTTTTCGTTTTCATATTTTTAAACTTTTGTACATCTCGCTGACACTTCATGTCTTTGCAAGAGTTTTGCTTATGGAAGTCAGGTTTCTTGATGTTTGTTGCTGTAAGATTTATTCTATTTGTTTCCAAGTAATGATTTGTACAATAATAAATTAACTATCTTATTTCTCTTTCATATGATTTAACTTATGTTTTGTTCGATTATTAGGATGTTTGCTTATTTGATGAATATTCCACGCTTAATGAGCAATTAACAATTCCTCTTTCAAAAGACACGATAACAGCATTCGATCCAACAAATCTATTGAAATGTCCGAATTTACTACAACATTTAAACCTTGTTCATCAAACAGTTCGACGGAAACTTGCTATTAACAGTATCGAAAATAATTTAGCCAATTATCAATTACAACTTTCTAATGAATATACAGGACGTTTGAGTGTTCTGAAAAAACTTGGATTCATTGACTCGGCAACACAAAGCTATTGCCTTAGTTTTAAAGGTGAGATATTTGCAATGCCTAAAGAATCATGGTTTGATTGAAGGGGTTTTGTGGCGATTGGATTAATTTTAATTTGGTTATTTATTCTCTGAAGAAGTGGCTTACACTGAGTCACGTGACGTCAGAAAATCTAATTTTTCTACTCATTGGGATATTACAAAAATATTATTTATTTTTTGGTAATAAGTTTAATTTATAGATTTTATTTATCACAGACTAAACTCACTTCAGGTATTATTGAAAGCCTATAAACATTGGACAACTGTCTCGTTTTAATATGCTGCGCATCTCGATGGAGTACGCACGAGCTTGCCAAAGATCAAAACTCAGGGCGTTGAGATCGCTCAGTGAACGTTTCACCATCAGAATCACTGTATTGGCGTCAGTTGGTACAATTTCATGTTAAATCCATAATATAACGCGACGATGGTCCGTTGCTTATGGTGACGACTGTCACTTACAACATGCTTGGACTCTACTAATCACGACTTTCCACTAGAACTTCATCCACATCCTGAAGAGGTTTTGTGGAGAATGTTTTGAATTCGTAGGTTGTATTGCTTACAGATTGATCCTATTTGAGATAGGTTTCTGATTTTCATTGGTTTCTCAAATGAGTCTCTAGTGTGACGAAAACAGGTCATTATTGAATAATAGTTTTTATAACAATTAGTCCCTTTGATAAATTTCGATAATGCAATGAGAAGACGAAGTTTATCATAATTATATGATATATTTGCGCAATACATTTCGAACAATCTAATCACACATATACTTGTTAAGACATTTTTATATGAAAATTAAAAGGTCAACTAGACAGATAAAAGGTAAGCAATAACAAATAAAGAAAATAAAGTATACAAAAACAATGTGATGACCACTCTGGATAATAAATCAGCATTACCAGGGTAGATTAAGGGTAAGAACAAATTGTTTTTGAACACATAAAGGGGGTTTCAATTTCCGTAAAGCCAAGGCTTCAATGAACCTTAGTATACGTCCTTGAAGGCTTTTGTACAACAATACAAGAGCTGACTTGATGTCAACCTTATTACCAGTTTCAACCAAATGTTTCGCAATGGAGGAAGATGTTTGTCTGTCCTGTGATCTTATTTACCATTGGAATTCATTTGGTTCTGCAGCCATTAAGGTATGTGTTCCGCCACCCTTAATTGCAGATCACGATCGCTTCTCCCTATGTACGTGTTACCGCACATACATGTAAACTGATATACACAATCGGATATGACACAATAGCTTATTTGCTGTTTTCGTTTTTGGTGAAACATCGACCTTGTCTTTTCAATGATGACAAATTGAGCTGTATGAAATGTCCTGTTTATGGCTAGTTTCAGTCTCCGTTTCAACATGAGACTATTTGAGCGTGGAATGACATCCGAAAAGCTGTGGAATCAGCAGTGATATCCGCTAGTAAGGTAAACCATAACGTTAGGGAGAAACAATGGATCTCGGCAGCATCTACCGCACTGATAGATGCTCGTAAACTCATCCCACCTGGCTCTGAGCATAACGAAGAGCGGAGTCAACTTAATCGCAGGCTTATAAGAAGTCTACGTAATGATCGTGAACAGTGGTGGGTAGCGAAAGCAAGAGAGATGGAAAAGGCAGCGGCAATAGGTAACAGTAGGCAGCTATTCAGACTCGTTAAAGAAACCGGTATTAGGAACCCGAATATCAGTGAAACCATCTCAGATAAAGATGGGCATATTATTCATTCTCAATCCAGGAGGTTGGATCGATGGGCAGAACACTTTAGGGATCAGTTCAACTGGCCTTCAGCCACACTTCAATTACCCACGATCCCCAGTCGTCCTGAATGGCAAATTGATGTAAGTCCTCCAACCCTCTGTGAGGTTGAAAAAGCTATAGGAAATCTGAAGCGAGGGAGAGCAGCAGGCCCTGACAGGTTGACCCCTGAGATTTTTAAGGATGGTGGTCCAGTACTAGCAGTGAGATTGACTGAGGTCTTAGGTAGAATCTGGGAACTGGACGTAATTCCATCTGACTGGTTCCAATCACTGATTGTGCCAGTTTATAAGAAAGGACAAAAGTCCTCTTGTGACAATCACAGAGGGATCAGTTTGACTAATATAGTGTCTAAAATATTAGCTTCAATAATACTAGGTCGCCTAACCAAAGCTCGTGAAGAGCAGACTAGAGAAAACCAGGCTGGTTTTCGACCTGGACGTGGTTGCATAGACCAGATATTCACCCTACGTCAGGTTCTAGAACATAGACACAAATTCAGACGTCCCACAATAGTAGTATTTCTTGACCTTAAGGCGGCATTTGACTCTGTTGATCGTGAGGTTCTATGGCAATGTTTGTCACTGAAAGGAGTACCAAAGAAGTACATTAACCTCATAAAGGCTCTCTACTCGAGCACAACTGGTCGAGTTGGAGCCTATGGCGAACTGTCATCAGAACTGATTACCACAAGTGGCGTTCGTCAGGGCTGTCCACTCTCCCCATTCTTGTTTAACTTTGTCATTGACTTACTTTTAGAGATAGCACTTTCATCAGCTAAACCTCCAGGAGTTGAACTTTTACCAGGAGGCTCACTTGTTGACTTAGAATACGCCGACGACATAGTTTTACTCGGTGAAGACGCTGACAACATGCAGAGTCTTCTGACCACTATAAGCAACTATGCAGGCATGTTCGGAATGCGATTCTCTCCCTCGAAGTGCAAAATGTTACTTCAGGATTGGGTTGCATCGACACCTGAACTAATGATAGGGAGTGAAGTAGTTGAGCGTGTAGACCACTTCACTTATCTTGGAAGTCTCATCAGCCCTTGTGGTCTGGTATGTGACGAAATCTCAGCACGGATACAGAAGGCTCGTCTAGCTTTCGCCAACTTGCGTCATTTATGGCGTAGGCGAGATATCCGTCTAGCAACCAAAGGACGGGTTTACTGTGCAGCAGTTCGCTCCGTCCTACTCTATGGCAGTGAAACATGGCCAATAAGAGTAGAGGATATTCGTAGGCTACTAGTGTTCGATCATAGGTGTCTTCGAAGCATTGCTCGTATATCCTGGGACCACCGGGTAAGTAATGCAGTTGTTAGGAAACGAGTACTAGGTAGGGATGGCAAATCGATTGATGAAGTAGTGAAACTTCATCAGTTGAGATGGCTGGGACATGTGTTACGTATGCCCGACCACCGACTGCCCCGACGTGCAATGTTTCATGGTGTAGGAGTAGGTTGGAAGAAAGCTAGGGGTGGCCAGACCAAAACGTGGCACAAATCAATGAAGTCACTGACAAGTGGACTGGGCCATGTTGGTAGGTGTAGACTACCTGGTTGGGATTCGCGAGATGACAGCAACCGATGGTTAGAGACCTTGAATGACATGGCTCAAAATCGTTTGCAATGGCGAAGATGCATCCACTCTTTGTGTTCTACCAAATTCTAATCTTCTGAATTCCTCATGTCTTTATCTTTTTCTCTTTCCAAATTTATTTCACTGTACTATACTCCTTCAATAATTTCTTCAAACCCCTAATCTTTTGGATTTCTGATTATACTCCTACTACTTCTACCACTATGGGATTTGAATCGACAACTGCATCTCTGTGCTAATGTGGTATGGCAACTCGAACTGATGTACGTACGTACGAAGTTCTACGTTGTGACTGACTGACTGACTGAGTCACTCCTAAATGGTAAAGTAATATAAACTCACTTTTTGGGTGCCAGAAGCGTCGTAGGTCTAATCGTATTGCAACCCTTCCAGCGGTTTGTGAACTTTAATGAATAACCATTATTCATTAACGTACCAGTTAAGTGCTTCGTTTCTACTTCAATCGTATCTCTAGTACAAATACGATTGATTCTATTGAATAAACCCTTTATTAAACCACGTTTGTAGTGAATTGGGTAGTGACTATGGAAATTAAGATATTGCCCCGTCTATGTCGGCTTTCTATATATAGAACGTTGGATGGAACCATCTTCTCTCCTACTGATCACTATATCTACCCATAGCTACGCCATCAATTTGTCGAAAGTGCTCACCTTGGAATGTGAATTTTACATTGTCAGTGCACAATAATAATAATAAATCTTTAAAAGTTTCAACAGGAAATGGCAATGGAAGGTTATTACATGGAATAAAGTCACATATCATATCAATAGTTTTCCTAAGAGGTGCATTTGTAAATAAAGTGTTCACATCAAAAGACCACATTGTCTTTGTTTTTATATTCATGTCCTTTAAGTATTTAATTCAATCAAAAATCCTGTGATCTTATTTGAACATTGCGAAACATTTGGTTGAAACTGGTAATGAGGTTGACATCAAGTCAGCTCTTGTATTGTTGTACAAAAGCCTTCAAGGACGTATACTAAGGTTCATTGAAGCGAGGGCACTGAGTTCGAGTCCCAGAGTGAACATCAACTCTGAGATGCAGGTACATCCAGCTGACGAGTCCCAAATAGGACGAAACGCGCGTCCTGGATTCCACTGCTAGCCACTATCCATCTCTGCTTACCATGCTTGTGAATTAAGGTATATCGAGGCAATACGCACAGTATGCACATATGCCAATTAGAGACTGACCAGTTGCAGTCCTAAACACATCGATGGGAGGATCCAAACAAACAATACTAAGTGAATTCACTATTACTATTAGTTGTTAATGTTGTATTATGGTGTGGGTTACTTACATCGATATAAGTAGTATATATCGTGAGTCAGGAA